TTGTAGTTACTTACTTAACCTTTGTAGTCTTGCTTCGACTCTAGGTACAGTTCGTTGCTGCAATATAGTCTTTCCTTACTGACTGAAGATCTTGCTTCAACTCTAGTCGGATCTAATCTTTGTCTTCACAGCCCCGAGTTTATCATGGACACTCTCCGACCATTCCCCTTCGCTCAGCTGATTGCGAGCTGGGGCCGGGGCCGCGTCAGCTTGATCTGTCTAGCCGGGCCAAGCTCTGTGATTTTCCAGCCAAGCCCAGCCAGCCGTCAAGCCCGACTCGAATTGGCGGCAACACTAACAGCAGGGAACCGGATGTATTCGACCCTCGAAAAGGCAGAAGAAAGGGGACGCAATGGTTTACCTTCCTCGCCACTATTGGACAAGTTTTCGGGCTGATAAATGGTACACTACTTCATCAGTTTCCCACGAGTATTGACATGGCGAAATCAATGCCCATTCTCAGAGCTTTTCGACCGTCGAAAAGTGGTCATAGCATTTACCATCATGGCAACTTGCCACCTATGTCGTGCAACGCCAACCCCTTTTGGCCATCCGAGCAAAATGACTACTTGCCTTCTAGGGCATTTCCCCCGGTGATATATGGCCTGAGAGATCCAATGATGTATAGAATATGCAGAAAGTCGCCATAATGGTAAACAGCACGACCACTTCTCGATGGTCAGAAAGCGTCTGCAACAGGCATTGTTTTCGCCACGCCAGAAGTCGTGGGAAATTCTTCCGGTAGTAATCGCTGTAACGGCGCAAAAAGTTGCCCAATAATGGCGAGGAGGGGGAACTATTGTGTCCCCTTCTCACCGCCTTTTCGAGGATCGAAAACAACTGGTTCCCTGCTGTGACGGTGCTTACATGGGGAGCTCCACGACCATGCTACTCCGTAATAGTGCCATCCCAGCTGTTGAGGGGGCAGAAGAAAAGATTGGGGTGTATGGGCTTCAAAACATATGTTCCAAGTCCTTGTGGACCACCTCCTGTTGGCACCCCTACCCACAGGAATTGTAGCGCCGATTCCGGAACTTCCAAACAATTATACTGGATTCATACAACATACATCACAAGCGGACATCGATCATGAGGAGTAGACATAGCAGAATATGGAGCGACACGCGATGCGAGAGATGGGGAAACATGACAATGAAAGAGAGCAGGACACGATAGTAACCACGATGATAGCAAGCACGATTCAGAGATGACAAGAGCAAGGACAGCAGGAGAACGAGGTACAGAACACATCACAGCAAGCAGACACTAAAGACCACAGATGTTCTACACTGACCCCAAGGTCGACAGCTGACTAGAACTTGGAGACGCCGGGGAGTGGTACACAAGGCCTAGGTGAAGTACATCAACTTCTTGGATTGATCGTGCAGAGGTTTGAAGTTCGCCCGGTAAGCCTCGAGTTGACGACCAGCGTCGCTCAACTCTAGGTGTGTGCCGGACTCGGTCAGGTCGAAGTCACCCTCAGGGCTGTAATGATTCTTGGCCCTTGAGCACACGATGTCCGCATCTAGTAGTAAGCAAGACGAATAATCGTCAGCGATGAGGGTCTGTACAGGCGGCTTCATGGTATGACGAGTGATGTACGACAGCCCCACTTACAGTACACCGGGGCGGGAACCGAGACAGAACGCGTAGAACGTGCATAGACGTGACATAATGCGAATGTCAGTGACTGGAGGTCATCGGTCGTGAACCCGTTCTCGTCGTAGAGCACATTGTAGTGCGTTGGACGAGACGTTCCCAGCAGCGTAAACACCATAAACATATCGTGTCAGTTGAGTATTCATCGAGTAAAACTTGAAGGTACTCATCCAGCGTGACTCTGAAGATAGAAGTCGAATTCCGTGGGGTGCGTGATATCGTTGTCAACCACGGTTCCCGCTGGGCAGTTCTCGCTCCTGTCCGCGTCCTCTCGCTTCTGAGGGAAGAAGCGAACGTGATGACCCTTGCTCACGACGAGCAGGGTGATTTTGGCTTCTACATTGTTGTTCGCGAGAGCTCCTGTGAGGCAAGCAAAAGATGGCGTCAGACCGCAGGCTTACAATTCTTTCTCGTGAATCACACTTACTCTTCAATTGAGGTAGCTCTATAGTCATGTTTCGAGACGTATGTGAGGGAAAGATTAGCTGCAAAAGGATGATGTTTCAACGCACCATAGTCCAGGACTGTCTTAAATTCTCCTTCGGATACCCCGTCGCGGTAGAAGATCAGGCGCTTGGGATCGGCGGGAAACTTCTTCTCAACGCCAGTACGGTACTTTTTGTACATTGCAATGTGCGCAGTTGCCATGGACTCGAGGTCGTCAATCATCTCCTGGCGCGAAGTCTGTACGCGGCAGTCCGCAACGTACTTGGCCGTCTCGTGGTCGAGGTTACCCACCAGAGCAGTGAAGGAGGGGCGGCCGTGAGCTCCAGGAGCAGGGTGCATGATGTCCGCGCCCATCACGATCGTGGGATTCTTCGGGTCAGTGAGGGCCGGCACAGAACGTGCGTCGGGGATGACGTTGATACCGCCTAACTTTACATTAATCCTGCGAGCGACTCGCGCCAGTCAATATAACGCCCTAAATAACTGGAGAGCAACGTACTTCAGGACTACATTGGAGAAGTACTGTTTGTTCGCCCCCTTGCACTTGTAACTCTTCAGGCATTGTGTCGCAACACCCCGCTGGATATCGCCAAAGCTACGCAGAATGAGCATGATGGGTTGGAAAAGTAGAGCTTGACAACTTACTGTTTGATAGCTTGATAATAGTCAGCTGACGACTCGGGAAGGACGATGACCATTAGATTAGGTCCAGCACCGCCGCCGTGCTTTTCGATACATCTCTTCCCAGCCGTCTGAAGAGACTGGGGAGTAATGGTCGATGAACATCGCGGAGTTCACTAGGATAAGCTGATCACTCACATCGTAAATCCTTTGCGGCCGATCGTAAAAGATGACAGGATCGTTGTCGTTGACCACCATGCCTGCCTTGATTGAACACAGAAATAGTAAGGCGACTGAGCAATGAAAACTTACCGGCGGCTACCAATGCGTCCAGAAGATTCCGGACCATCGCTCGAGCAGTGCCCATGTTGAATTGCTGCTCCCGCTCGTAGACCACGACGACCCATCTCTTGATAGTAGCCGGTCGATAGAACTTCTTGTCTACCATGTTCCAGGCGCCATCGCGAGGCGTCTTGAAAAGAAACATGGCGTAAGGTGAGCACAGCTTCAGACGAGATAGGACTTACAATAGTAGGCTGACGGCTTCCTTGACCGTACTTGAGGGTCGGCGGGTCAAGGACGCGTGCACTGGACTCAACGGCAGCGTTCGAGCTGACTTCCATGCCGAAGTGCTGCAACATGTAATGGGTAGAAGCTACTATGACGCCTGCACAGAATTCTACTCACCTTGAGATATTCAGACTGTCCGTAGTTGAGAACATCAGGGGCCTCGCGAATACTCTGCAAGCGCTGGGGCGGCCTTTTCGTCGCGAATTTGAGGACGTCCTTCATCATGTCCGGAGGAACTTGCTTGCGCATAATCTGTCCCTCTGGAAGAGTGCAACATTCCATAGGAATAATTGCCCCCGAAGCGAGCTATAGTCATATATTGAGCAATAGCCCCTCGAAGTGTTGTTGAGGACAACGACATACCTCGATACACACTATATCTGGCCAGCGTAGCTTGTAGTTATGAGTCATTTCAAAGTACTGAGCGACTGTCACAGTTTGACCGTCGCGCATAGTGAACGAGAGCTCGTCTGCGCCGGCCCTAGTGAGCTTCTTGATGGGGCGAGCCGGGCGTCGAGCGGCGGATGATTGTCCGGGAATCTCTATATTGATGCGGACTCCCGAAAGGTGCCGCTGCAACCTGATAAGCTCGCGGTCAGGAAGACCGCGTCTCAGAGAGAGGGCGTGTGGCCCTCTTTTCTTGAGGAATCCCAGGGCGACATCAATGATAGGTCCTGGCATATACATGACCGCGGTGGATATGTCCACATTAATGAGCATTCGGCCAATTGCTGGTCGCACGGATTGGAAGTATCCGCGCCACAGGACCATGCCAGCGCCAATGTCAGCGGTCTCTCGATTGGTGAAGAAGGACCGTACGTTGAACGGGTAGTGCATGACGGGCTCCATGCGAATCACCACATTCAATGCCTAAAAGGGGCTGTGAGCGGAGCAACGGCTTCAATGTTGCCTATGGCTCACTGTGATGGCAGTGGGGACGGCATTGTCATGTGATTGCGTGCCCTGTAAGAAACGGGAAAGCACCCTTGACCAATTCATTACTAACGATCCTTGTGGTTCAGGAAAGCATGAAAACATACTCAGGGTTGATCGTAGCGACAAGTTTCAGTCTGACCTTGTAGATCTTTCCACCACGCCTTCTCTCGCCATCTTCGGCGGTCTCACCTGAAGATGTTGTATCCGTTAGGGTGAAACTAAACTGTTGCGCCACGAGGGAGGTTAGCGAGGCTTACAGCCAAACTACGGAGGGGGACGACAAGTTCGATACCTCTTGGGAACCTGATGGGAAAGGCAGCTCGCGCGCGGCAAAGACATTCTTGCGGCCGTCATACACTGCGCGAGGGGTAAATACATCCGGAGCAACATCGAACTGGAGTCTCTTGAATATCTCCATATTCAACCTGATAGGCAAAGTCTTCCCAGTTGGCGAGATGATTTCTATCCAAACTCTTTCCGTCAACTTGACTAGGCAAGATTCATAACACCGAGGCTTACACACCGACTAATGACAGCGCAGTATTCTTGGGTACGTCAGTATTCCCCATCGATGGAGATGGACATACCATCATAGTGATATATGTTCGTCCCGGGAATCTTCATCTGGAAATGATTAGTCCAGACTTTTAGAGAGCGGCCGGCCTTTCCATAAGATGGCCTCTTGACTCCGATCGTTGTGATAATCTTGTCAATTCTCGGCACCTGATCCGCGGAATTGTGACTGGCATCCGCCGGTCTACCAACCCCGCGGCTAGAGCTCCTTTCATCACGAGCGCTAGTACCTGAAGGAGGGGGACTACCTGACGGAGAGGGACCGCCTGGAGAATCTCCACCAGATGGCCTTCCACCAGTGCCTCCCTCGCGACTCCCGTCGCCACCACTTCTGCTACGAATACTCGCAGCTGCACCGGAAGACATACAGATATCTTTGGATACGATGCACGACAAGGGAGAATAGAAGGTGCGAATAAACAAGCTCGGAGAGGGATGGTGCAGGAGAGGAGTGCCGGGAGGATATTTATGCCAGGAAGAAGTGCTGTGCTGCAGCTTGAGTTAGCATAGTCGAAAGGACGCGTATGAGCGCGCACCTTCCATAATCAGCCGTCCGAAGTCTCGTTGACGGCAGGCATTCCACTGACCCAGACGTCGAGCGTTTCCTCTCCTTATCCCTATTCCAGCTAACGCAAGAGTCTTGCTTGGGAAACAGGGGATCTCGCCCTTAGTAGCACGCTCTTCGTCTCCCTTCCTCGTCTTCCGTCTCTTGCATCCGCTGGCGGCGTCGACATCCCTTCTGTCTGTGCACCGTCTTCTTCGGTAGACGTTACCTACAGCATTCTCCTTTGCTTTCGCTACCGCAGCTTGCGTGCTTCCAGTCCTGCTGCGGAAAGGTCATTTCTCCGAAGTATACATTGTCACCACAACACAGTGCGCGACGCAGGTAACGCAGACGTTCATTTTATGGAGGCTCTCTGTCAGATAACGATAGAAGAGTGGCACGCGCAGCACCACTCGTTCTCGTCCTCTGTCGAACGTGCCCGGTACGCATCCGTCAGAATCCCGCCTCACACCAGACGTGATTGTGCTGACTCACCTTGCTTTCTCGCATCCATCTTCCAAGTGCCGTCTCAAGAGAAGAGGAGATGTTGCATCTAACAGGTATCAGCCCTTCTCTTCCTGACCATTGCGGTTGAGCAAACGACAGGTGACCTGTGTGCGCGTACTGCAATGCTTCCTTTACCATTGCATTCAGTAGAAGCGAGGAGACGTCAGCGTTGGCCAGTGCGGCCAAGTCCTCTAGCGCAGATCTGGCAGTGGGAGATCCGCAAAGCGGCAGGACTGCTCCGTAGACGAGCGTCAAGCTACCGCAGTCCCCTGCGCATATACCACTCGCAATAGGTCCGAGCGCCATCGGGCAACAGCAGCAGTATTTCTGCGCAACCAGACCCGCGCCAATAGTGACAGTGCGCAGCGTCCGTCGTCGGCGTAGGCGTACAGTCCGGCGAGGCAGCCCACCAAGATGCTTCGACTGTCTTGTTGGTGAGCTTGGGCCCAGACCACGAGACCATTCTTCAACTGCGCGCCGGAAATGACCGCGGTGCCCGTTGTGTCTGGAGACTCCCTAGATACTTATCACTTCGTGACTCCTGACTTAAGGCAGAGTGCATGTGTGAGTGCCTGTGCGCTTCGTCAACCACGCAACTGTATGCTTGCGAAGGTGCCCTGAATCATGCACGAAGGTATGTATTCGGAATATAGGCCCAGTGTATATGGCCAAAAGGTGGATTAGCTCAAAAGCCGGCGTCGTGGACACCATGCCCCATCACTGCAGAGGAAACGTAACACGCCGACTTCATTTCGAGCTACGATTGACACGAGAGGAGGGCGAACTGATATGGAGAACAGGGACATGGAGAATGGCATCCTGCGTACTCACCGCTTCCACTTGACAAGATGCCACACTGGGGCCGAGTAGAGCTCAACGGAGCAGTAAAGCTCTGGCGGCGCATGGTAGTCGAAACAACGTGGGCAACTGGGGAGTGGTCAGGGCATCTGAAGTCAATGGGGAAGCACATCCGTGTGCGTATATCTGCGGGTTTCGGGAGACGAGTGGGTCATGGTGATTACTTGGCTGTATGCGGTGGCGTTGATGTCAGGTAACGACTCACTGGCACCACCTATCTTCAAATCACTCGAAAATGGAGGATCCATATGTTACATAGTTTTGGATGAGTAGTTAGAGCACGACATACCAACAACTTCCGATGAGCCTCGTGCGCAGACATCTTGCACGCGAGCTATATATCTCCATTAACCGATGAGAGGATGCACTGCTTGCATTGGAGTGATAGAGGGGTTCAGAAAGTATCTGTGGGAGAAGTAAGTATGTGCAAAAGCGGGACAGGATGGAGAGTCTTCACGTTCGCGACGAATCCCACTATTATCCTTCCGCTCGGCCTCGTCTGTAGGAGGACGTGGCTCTAGGTACTAGACCATCCTGATTCCAGATTCCAGATTCCCCTCTGTGCGATGAAACATACCACGGGCACCTGCCCATACTTGTTTCCCTTGTGGGTGCTGGTATGGGCTTCAATGAGAATTAATGTTGGAGACGACGGGTCTGAAGGGTTGTGGCACCACGTCGATGTCTGAATTTGGAGTCTCCATGCATCCGTTTGGACAAATCACTTGCTTACCCAAACAGCCAAAATTCCACACACCGACATCATAGACCTCCCACCTCGCTCCTTATAAGTAGATTACGCCAGCAGTCGATCTTCGAAAAAAGAGTTGCATGGTACGTTTTGAATCTAGAGAAAGCTCGATTTCAGACTTTGGCACGGATTGAGGAGGCCCGCAGGTGGTGAGGTGCGGAGATGTCGCGGTAGACGAGCGAGAGAGTGATGTGTTGGATCATCAAAGTTGAGCGCTGAGCGTTTGCCGAGCGCTGTGCAGACGGCCCGTCGTTGCCCTCGGCCGGCGGTCGCGACGCAATCATGGGTTGCTCGAGCTCGCCGACGACGGCGTGCCTTTGCCAAAGCTGCTGAACTCTCAGAGGGAGCAGAAGAACACTGGGCAATTTGAGAGAATTGAGGTATGCAACTTTCATCACCAAAGCAACCGTGCTGGTCCTGTAAGTATGAGACTTGATGTTGATAATGCGGCTTCGGACTTCTGCAAGACAACTGTGCGAGCGGGCGCGCCGTCTCACCGCCAGGCTTACCCCTCGCAGATACGGGATATCCATTATCGTATATAGTATAATATACTTCCGATGGGGTTGTGCACTTCTCTTGATACCCTACGATTGGTAACCTACCGTAGGGCCCAGTGGTGGCGATGTCACAGAGCCATCTAGCGTCATGATGAAGTATCACCTCCATTGGGCCTGGATTGTTTAGCACATGCTTAGGGCTGAGTCCCGTAGCGGAGGTTGACGACAAGGAGATTGCTATCTTCAAAGTCCCTGTGACCTCTGCGCTGAAGTAAACTTTGAGCCTAGGCAGAACACAGATAATATATCGCGGATTATGTTTGTCGTCCTTGAAATCTGAGGTACAGTGATGGAACGGCAGCCCTTAGACAGAAGGGCTGTGACTGTAAGACCACGCCAAGGTCCTCGTGGGTGAAAATCTGACCAGAAATTGGTAACAATGGTGTCCGGATGTCCTGCATCTGCATGTGTTTGTGCACGACAACTGCACACCAATAGACAATCGACGATCATCCGAAACTTCAACAAGCTCTCAGCTGACCAGTTCGAGCGCAGGTTTGAGTCGCAGGATAGTGTCTGAATATGTACGGTAATCATAGCCGATCCGTATGACTTTTTACTGATGCTTGAGTGACGACTCTAGGTTGCACAATTACAGAGCACCAGAGTAGATTATAGCCCAGGCTAATGTGGACAAAACACAAGTACAAACGTGTCGCAAGATATACCTCAGTCCCAATATCAGTCAAATCGGTGGACAAAATCGAGCACAAAAACAGAAAAAATCTTGGAGGCCTAAGAAGCGATGCCGCCGTAAGGCATAAAGTTGGGATCCTTCAGCCTCGCAATCGGCTCATCGGCCGCACGGTTCTTCTCCCTCTCCTCCCGCATCTTCTCTTCGCGGGCAGGACGCGCCTTCGCCCTCAGCGCCGCCCGCTTCACGTGGCCAATTGCTCCGCTCGCGCTTTCGATGATCGGAATGCTCGTGTTCACGTCCCGCCACGGGCTCTGCTCGCCCGTCGTCTTCTTCGGCACGATCCCGCTGTCGTCCTCCTCCTGTCCTCCGGCGCCATCCCGGTCCTGGCCATTGGTCCCGCTCGTGCCTGACCCTTCGCCAGCCGAGGCGTTCGGGTCTGGGGGCCAATCCATCTTGATGTCGAGCTCGCTGCTCCGTGGGGGAATGTACCAAGGGTATCTGCGCATCTCCTCTTCCCTCGTGAGCGGGCTGACGGGCTTGAACGGGAACGAGGGCCGAGGTTTGCGCTGTTGTGGTTCCGTCGGGCGTGGTTCAGCGTCCACAGTCGGGTCCGTGGCAATAGGCTCGCCATTGACGGCCTCGACGTCTTTCTCGTTGAAAGAGTGGTCGCGGATGTACCCAGAGGCCTTGGGACTTGGAGGAATGGGGCCCAAGAAGGACGTGTTGGGTTCTGTATCGTGCACAGAGACAGGGTCGGTAGGTAGGCTAGGGGCTGGGTCGCTGAGGACGCGATGTGGCTGGCTCTGCGGAGAGAATACGGAATAGATGGGCGATGAAGGCGGTAGGCTGGAATCGCGTACACGCGTCGGGACTCGCGCGGAAGGGTGCGGAGGCGAGAACACGCGCGGCCGCTTGGGGGGTGGAGGCGGGGGAGGCTGTTCCCGTCGACGTTTCTGAGCTCGCACGGAAGGAGCGAGGGACGGGGACTCCGGCGCTGGGCTGCTTCGGGTGCCGTACGGGGTGTCTGAAGGGTCCAAGCCGTCATCACTGACGACGTAATAAGCGTTAGAAGTTTGATCGTCAACTATGAGAGAATTGTTACGCACTTAGGTGCATTGAATGCAGCGAGATTGCTAGGAGGGGGCCGGGACACTGTATCACCGTCCTGTGGACGATAGTTCACCTCGATTCCCACTTCGCCTTCCTCTACCTGCCAGCACCCTATTTTCGCAGCCAGCCCTTCAACGAACTCCGTCCCCGCGATCTTCTGGATATCCTGCAGCAGCTCCTGATATAGCTCCAACTGCTCGTCGACCTCGAATTCCGCAAGCGTCACGTGCGATAGGCGAGCATTCACCTCACGGCGCATGTCCACCAAGAGCTTCTCGAAGTCCTGATAGCTAGACTCGACGTTACCTTGCATCCTGTCGTACCACTTAGGGTCGGCAGGACGCTCCGGGGGGTAGGCGTATCGGAGCCCGTTGTCGTCGCGAAACCATGGGCCGGCGTGGACAGCTACTTCTGGGGGAGGGCTGAGGGACGCGCGGGGGAGAGGTTCTACTTCCGGCCCTGGAAGCTGAGGGAGGTCCTCTGCGAGAACAGATGGGGGGTGGAGGCGGTTCGGACGGTGAGAGAGGCACTTGGACACGGGACGGGCAAGGAAACTGACCTGATTCGTGCGGACTTCCAGGCCATGCCGAGCCGCTTTTGGCGGAAGAAAAGATGCCTTCTGAGACTGCATCCCGAAGCGTGTCGAAGGCCTTGCCCTTGTCCTTGCCCTTCCTTGTGTTGTGGCGGAAGACTTGGGCGGGAGTGGTTGTTGCTGCGCGGGTACGCCCTCGGGGTGCAGCTTGGGCCTTCTTGGCGCTAAGGCGTGAGCTGCGACGCGGCGAGGAGCGCGATTGGGAGGATAGGATAGGTGGGGTGTCTGACGTCGCGACGGGGACGTCGAAATCGGAGTCCGTGGTTAGCGTATTGGAGGGTTCTGACTGGAGTCGACGCTTGTGCCGTGGTACCATCGCTAGACGAAAGAGTAATCGTGATTTGTGTGGAGATGCTATTAAGAAGCGGCAGATCAGGTAGCTGGAGAGCTGGTGAAGATGGTGGTTGTATGTTGGAGAAGGTGAGCTCGGCTCCCGCGCTTCAGGCGGGCGCCACCCAACGACGCACATACCATACTGTCCAAATCGGGAAGACAATCAAAGCACGTGATTTGTTGATAAGACGCGTCTTGTCTCGGGCCACTGAACACAGACAATAGTGGCGCGTCGCTAGGCACGATTGTTGTCCAGGTCAACATGTTCACATGCGGTGGCATGATTAGGCATAGTACATACTGGTACAGCAAGAAGGAACATCCATACAGCAAAGCGCGGTGTCGAGAGCGAGGTCGAAGGGTGTAGATGTTCTGTTATGCGAAGGGTTCCTCTTCCCGTTCGGGCACATAGACATAAGTGTTTTGCGGAGCCATGACAAGCGGGTTGGTGAGCTGCTCTGCCTGGGTACTATGGCGGAGAGACATCAGTGCGAGGGTAACAAGAACTAACCCAGGATAAGCACATACCCAAACTGCCTCTTCAGCAACTCATCCAGCAACGCGTCTTTGCGCTCCTTCCAGCACTTCTCCTCGTGCCTCAACACCCTCAGCTCCTCCACAAGCGCCTCGTGCTGCTCCAGCACCCACCGATGCTTCGCCTTCATCAACATGTACCGTACCTGCGGGTGCGACCGCCCCATTATCAGCCCCGTCGCGGGGTCCTGATGCCTCAGCAGGTGCTGCGGCAGCTCGTCCTCCGGGTCGTACTCGAATGTGCCTGGCTCCGGGCTGAAGTGCCGTACGGGGGTCTGGCTCTGCGGCAGCCGGGAGGCGTGCCCGGCTCCGTCGACGGGGGACACGCGGAAACCGTCGTCGTCGTCACCCTGCGCCTCAACTTTGAAAGTAGAGTAGCCATACGGATCAGGCGTTGGGGCGGGAACGACGGGCTCAGCTTGCTCTTCGCGCTTGCGCTTGCGGTTCCCGCCGCGGCCGGGCAGGGGCGGAGAAATGTTGTGCTGGATGCGCATGTGCTTTGCAAGGGCGTCCGAGCGGGTGAAGGACTTGTCGCATTCTGTGGACAAGTGGATGTCAAGACGGCTAGAGTTGCAAGGAACGTTTTATGGTGGCGTACCTGGCCTTGGGCAGGTGAAGGGTTTCTCCCCGGTGTGTGATCGTATGTGGGAGATGAGGGCGAACCGAGATGTCTGCGCGATGCCTCGGCGGACACAACCTGCCCATTCGCAAGTATAGTTCGACTTGTGTACACCGATGTGATCTGTCAAGGCATTTCAGCATCTAGCGTAAGTGGCATAAACTACAGTCAGTCAATGGTGCATGACTCCTCGTTCTAGACATGAGGTCGCACAACCTGCGCGTTCTTTATCCTTCAAACAGCGCGCGAAGAATCGCGTATAATAGCACTTTGTCTTTCGCTCTGACATACGTCTGCCACGCTGGCATCGTACTGGAGCTCATGATGGCAAAGTATCCAGAGTCTTCGCGTAGCATTGGTGCTTCCTACCAGCGACTTACAAAGCAATCACAATGGCCGAGTCTAGCATTTGCACTCGGGGAAGTGCACATCGACTCAAACGCTGAGCCCCGATGCTGTTTCTTCCTCAAGATATCTCGAAGGAGCTACACGACATTCATAGGTATAACTCACCGTTGTGGATATGGTCGATAAGAGTCGGCAGATGATTGAACACCTTCCCGCACTCCTCCCACTGACAAGTCATCGTATCCGCCTCTTGCTCCTCCCCTAGCATGCTCGCCTCCGCAGTCTGTGGCGAGCCTGGCCGCGACACCGAGGGTCCATACTCCCCGCCCTCTCCGTACGAGCCAATGTCCTCGTCAGAAGACGAGCTGGACAGGGGCGTGTTCGACCGAAGACTTGGAGAGGGTGACGGGCTGTATACGCTTCGTGCCATGCTGTATCGTTCTCGTCTGAGACCGTTGGAGTACGGAAGAGATAGAAAAGGGGAGAAAGAAAGCAAGGCGAGTATGAATGTTTCGAGGGCCAACGAGCTCGACGCCCAGCTCGCAGCTGGCGGGCGCGAAGCTGCCACTACGCCCGGCGCTTCGTACGCAGTTATCTTTGGCCTTAGCCACCAGGCACGCTGGAATCTAGGACGACCCACGCTCAACTCCTCCTTACTATTGGCTCTGTATTTGGCTTGCGGCGGCCAACAACAGCACTTTTGAGCGAGTCCTTACGTCAAGACTCAGGGGGAAAAAAAGTCAATTCTCCTAGGATGAGCTCACCCTTTGCCACCTATCCCGTCCCCGAACGCTCCTTCATACCGTCCGGCACGCCCTCCACACCAGCCCCAGCTCGCGGAGGGGCTCCGACAGCTCGGGGGACAGGCGCGAAGCGCGGCCGGAAACCCAAGAACCCGAACGTCAATGCTACCGCAAATGTCAATGCCAGTGCAAGCGCGGAGACCCCCCGCGCCCCATCCACTCAACCCTCGTCCTCACAAGCTGGTCTGCAATGGCTAGATCCACAGCTCAGCGGAAGCTCTTCCTCACAGGCTACCGCCGGCCCCGGTGCGGCGAGAGGCAGCTTGACTCCCGCCCCCGCACAGGACCCACAAGCGGCGCTGCTGACTCAAGGGTTGAGCCTCCCGGGTACGCAAGCATCTGCCACGACACCCGGAGCGACTGGGGAGAGTGGCACACCAGGACCTTCAGGTACGGGTGCGGCTGCGGCTGCAACCGCGAGTGGTGCAACAGCAGGAGAGGAGGACGTGGATGGAGAGGACGAGATGTTGCCCGCGATGGCGGATGACGATTATTCTGCGCAATTGTCGTGGCAGAGCCAGTCGAAGGACAATCTAAAGTGCGTCTTGTTCCATCACTGCCGTCGCCGAGACTCACCGCGCATGTGCGGTCTAGAGTCCTTATGGACAACTTCAGTCCTCAGCAATACGACCGCTTCGAGGCTTACCGTAGACATGCCCTCCCCAAGCAGGCAGTACGAAAGGTCCGTCTATGTCTCACTTCTGCTAGCCCACCGAAGTCTGAAATCGGCTCAGGTCATTCAAGGAGCGACAGGACAGCAAATTTCTCAGCCCGTTGCGCAGATCGTTGCGGGTTTCTCGAAGGTCTTTGTCGGAGAGATTGTCGAGAAAGGTTCGTGGCTGTCTTACCCGGCGGCAGAGCGTATGTCGCTTATCGATTCATCGGGCAGCGCGACAAGTTCAAGCCCGACGGGGCGACACAGGACCGCTGTCCCCAGACCACCTGCGCGAGGCGTACCGCATGTATCAGGAGGAGACGGGGCGCGTAGGTGCTGCTCGTCCTCTGAGGGGGAAGCGGTTGTTCGTGCGTTGAACTTGTTGATTGTGTTATGTGTATTGTTGTTCGCTTCACTCTCATGACTGCACTATGGACTGCTGTATTAGTATGTAGCTTGTTCCTTCTCCCCGCTGACCTCTGCTAACGAAATCTGGCCCCCAGATAGTAGACTTCTCCTCACGAACTACGATGAATGCGATGACATTTCACGCCATATCTGGGGATTTCCGAGTGTGCATCTCCAGGGGCGCTAGAGATGAAGCCTCGGTGTGGTGTTCTCAGTGCATATTCGCCGACATCTGTCTAAGCTAGATCGTGTAAGGTGTCAACAGCACTCAAGCGGATCATGCGAACATGTTGATGATGTCGGTAAATGCGAAGGAGTTGGCTCCCTGTATTCGAATCAGTCGATTTCATAATCCAACGTACCTAAAACCATAGGACTCCCAGCAGTACTCATGACAGGTACATGCCTTGCGAGACATACCCATCCTGCACGCCCACCACATGCTTGTCAGTATCGACTCTCACATGCTGTGACTTCTTCTCTGGACCGACGACTGACATGCCCACCCATGCAGTTAATGGTTTACTATGGTTCACTGACGATGCTGAGTGCGTCATGTATGATAGATTTCTAGTCTTCCTTCTGTCGAACAGGAGTTGGCTACTATGCATACCATACGCGCTCAGAAGTCGAGCGTTGAGTCACGGCAGCTGCGGATACGGAAGCATCCGACTCAGATGGGGCGCTTTCACGCGCCTCTTGACCTTCTACAGCACCCGGTCGCCGGCTCGAAGACTTGCCACTTGATCGTAAGCCAACTCCGGTACGTCGATTCAGGCTTCGTCGCCCCATTTCTATACAGTTCGCGGACGAAGATAGAACACGTTGTGACTCACCCGTAGGTAGTCGGATACTTCTCCTTCGACACGCAGTTGTCCACCCAGAGGCAAAGCGTCAGCACTGTCGCGGCCGGTGCCATCGGAGCCGTTATTATAATGGTCTATGTGTACCGCATTTCGGGAACCTATTGCACTATATAGTCAGGTGCTATGGTGGTGTATACTCTCCCAGGTGCCCACGTTTCCTTCGTGCCGATGGCCTCGTCTGAGCTTGGTATAGATGGAATGCTATCCTCCTATACCTGGGCGTAAGTTCCTGAGTGGCAGAAAGAGAAAGTCATTGACAATATCCCCTTCAGGTCGTTCCTGATCTACTGGAGCGTTGCCATAGGAGGTACGTTCTGTTGAGTTTTTATTTTGACACTCTAACATGCGATTGCAGCGTTGACGGTTTATGACTCAATGATTACGCTCTCTCGGGAAATACGCCTTTTCTTCCCAGTGAAAGCGAGAAATATATCGGCATGGCTATACTTCTTCAACAGATATATCAATCTCCTTGGTACACTGGTCAGTCTAACGCTATATGGCAGGTGGTCTGCTGAGGTATGCTTCTTGTTTCTGCTAGGGCGCATATCAGTCGTTGACTAGGGCAATACAAGAGGTGTGTTGTGATAGCAGGGTCATGAACCTGCAGTAATAAACCGAAACGACTCTTATTTCTTCAGCTGTAACCGCATCCTGATAGCAAACAGCATCTTAGGGTACGTCATGATGGTCCCTCCCGCAGGTACGCACTGGACAAGGTGTCTTGGTGATACCCTTCGTTGAAGTCTCGCGTGCAGCGTTCAGTGGGTTGAGAGCTCTTGCACTCAGCCGATCTTGGAAGATATCAACGCCTATATTAGTTCTCTCGCTAATGCCGTGTGCTACTGGGATGGTGCGTCCATCCATTCCATCACAGAACGATATTGAGCTGCACGTATTCATCAGACATCATTTGCATACGGTTTCACCGGGATCCAAGTTACCAAACCAAGCTTCCCCGGGTGTGGGGTTATTGTCGGCTACCCTCTTGCTCTCGCCCACAGGTGTGTCGACTTCTCTCATCCCACGTGCTGTACTTGATGTAGCCATGCCAGGAGTATGTACTCAATGTCGGCATCTGCTCACCTCACTCACTCCACCATCTATCAGTGACAATCATCAATCGAATATGTGCTATCGTTGCCGATACCCTACTCATTATCCTTACCTGGCGATCACTTGGCGGAGGGGATGTGATACGCGCATCTAGCGTCCTGACCGGACGGGGTCTCATAGGTGTTTTCCTCCGAAATGGTACGTTTCTGTCTGCTTTCCATATCACATACTGACATACCGTATATAGGGATTATGTATTTTGTGTGGGTGCGGGCGGCTGGCTCCTGTAAACCTTCTATTGATGTCCCCTCAAGCGGGATCCTTGCGTCGAATATTTCAATTCTAACCATTCTGCGACAATCGGAGGTGAGTACCCGACATATACTCAATGACGGCTAGAGCTAACGGTGAAATAGTTGCACAACGTCACTGCCGACATAGCCTCGACTTATGTCACTCCGTATGTCTCCCCTTCAAAACGGTCTGAAAGGTGGACCTGCATCTGTCTCTGGTTGAATCCCTATCATGCAGGTTGTCGTCTATCCTTGTGTCACACTTCATGCTAGACCTTCAAGAAGCATATCAAAAATCAAATATGGTTCTGGATTCGGACAATCCCCTGAATACACTGACAAGCCCCAATCCTGGTTCGAGGAACTTTTCTCCCGCACTAGGCTCGTTTTCGGCACACTTCGACAATCTGGGTACCAACGCATCATACGCGGAACGGGAAAACGCAGGCGAGGAAGCTGTGGATATGACAGCTGACCCGTCAACGTTGGGTGGTGCAGGACCCGTCTCAACATAAAGCCCCGCGAGCCGGCCTCAGTACTGTGGGGCATGTCACAACAGAAGTAGATATATGTGAGGCGAAGGAAGCTTGGAGGGAGGCAGAAGTGTTCCGGGAGGGTTTCGAAGCTTGGTAGAACTATTCGAGCTTAGTGGTCAGGGCCTGGCAGCGCTTCGAAGGCTAGAGCGCACATGTATACGTCTCAACGCACTCGTACTCCAGTCTCCCCCACCCTCCGCGCGACGAAGTCGTCTGAAGTGGGCGCCACTAGTATTGTTTGTCATTGCAATTCCACTGAGCCCGAGCCTGCGCCGGGCTTTGCGCTGTGGCGATCCTGTTGGATGTGATTCCCCCGACCGCCATCAGATCGTATCCTTGACGTAGTGGTGAGTACGGACTCGTTACACACTACACAATACATGGGACACAGCGTGTTGCACAGACGGTAGCGGCCTCCGCGGCCAGCGCAGACGACACTAGGGGCGCTGAGTGATTTGGTGGATATAATTGGACTTGCAACTGGCACAGCCGCTACCCGGATGCCTGTGCGGATGAACACAGGACCCCCGGCAATAGGCCCAAATGTATGATGCCTGATCCGGACGAAATTGGCCCCTCAAAAAGGCCTATGCCTGGTCCAGTCCGGTCAAATCGACCAAAAATTTGCGGATGGCCTGCGCCATACTCCGGACAAATCTGACGTGCTCAGGTCGAGGCCTGATCCCAGGCGGCTGTCGGGAGAGGACCGGTCCGGGGAGGCCTTGAGGATATAATGTCGTTGGCGCACTTACTTATACGTCCTTATACCTATGTTTATCTGTTGCTACTTACTTCGTGTCACAGCCATCCATGTGTGTAATATAGGTTGTTGTACATCTAGCCCGAAGTGTGACACCTCCTTACTCAGTCTATCTCCCAATGTCACACCTGTGCAGGCGGCGGACAACGTCAGGAGCATTTCGAATCGCAAGAAGACAAACGAGCTATTGCTAGCCTACGCCGTCACTTAATACTGCTCGCTATAATCCCTATGTCTAGAAGCTCAACTATATTCATCTCCGATGACGACCCTCCCAGCAGCGACACACGAACCTTCGTTCCATCTGAATGGATTGCCTGCGCAAAGACATACCCTGCTCTTGAGACACCACCCTTCATCCTCGCTGCACGTCAGGCCGCTCTTACCATCCCCCCGGAATACAACACCCTCATGCCCAACCCCCACACTTCCGTGCTGCATTTGCTCTGCACAGATCTTCCCCCTCGTCCATCGGCACTCACCTCTCAGAAGGCCTCACATGCATTCAGCGAAGATCCTCCGAACGAGACCCTTCGTACACTCTTCGGTGAATGTAGCGCCGGACATCTAGAGTGCCGTATGCGAGCTCCTCCTTGCGTCCTTACATTATACCTCTATCTACGACCTCTCCTGCATGCTATCCCACTCCTGTAGTCAATATCAGCATGGTTACAGCGGTCCCCGACGAAAATCTGCTTTCAGGAGGCCTGATCCAGCGAATCCGGACAATTTTGGACCTCCCGATGGCCTGATCCAGAGTCCGGCCAAATTTGAGCGAAAATCTGGAGGCCTGGTCAAATCCGGACGAATTTGGCCTCAGACAAGGCCTGATCCATCGGACAATTTTGGCCGGATTCAAGGATTTTGGATCATACATTTGGGTCTATTGCCGGGGGTCCTATGAACACCTCTGGCAAATATATCACTGGCATTCATCCCACCCGAGCATTACAATTATGGCTTATGTATCCTGATCCAAAGACGGCCAGACTACCCAAATATAGGCCCCAATTCCGAGTGTATACCGTTGGAGCAACAATGGCCACGGAAGATATGTTTACTGCGACAGTGTGTTCATTCTGCCATACACCGGTTCGCTTGTATTCTGACTTACTCTGGGTTGAAACGTGACATCAAGCGTAACATGCACCCCGCAAAACGACGACGATCACTGTGACACATGGATGGAAGGGCCCCGCAAGAGATCTGTAACATCAACGTTGGCATGGTTAGCGACACTCTCCTAAGAAAACCCCATAATTTACACTACCTGGAAGTGGAGAAACGCGATCGAGACATTGTTCACCAGACGATGCAGGAGGTCGGGTCCTGATACGCCCACCTTGGACGGATCAAGGGGATAAGTCGAGTGGTTCACATTCCGCTTCGATGATCATGACTTCACGCCCTGTGGAGGTTGTCAACACTCCGCTTCGCGCACCTTCCAGATGTCAGTGCCCCAAGAAGAGATCGCTCTAGTGAAATCACTGAAGCACGCATGGACGAGTCGCTGGAAAGTACCATACGATCGGCAGGCGCCACTAAAGGCCATCTCCAGCAAACTACTCACGATCGCTTCGGTAGCGGGGCAGGCGTCTACCTCTCTCCCTCAGCTCGGGCAGATCTCCGCGCCAGCAAGGATACTGACATACCTGCATTTCGTGCTCTGTTATGGCGCACATTGACAAGCCAACGTCGTCGCGCCGTTCTATGATCTGCTCAGGCACCCAGCGCGATTGGCCAGAGTCAGCCAGGGCCACTGCGTTGTCTCTGCCCATGCATGCAGTCGTGACAATTGCTGCCGAACGGGACCCAAAAAAGATATCGACGCACGCCCCGGTGGTATTAGAACAGTGATTCCTTGAATGGAGGGTGAATCTGGCCCGTGGAGCAAAGCAGTGTCTGACGACAGATCGGAGTGGCTTAAGCGCTGTGCGTGAAAGATGAAGCGGGGATCCCGAAACATATGGTTAATAACGCTACTCGCCATCCAATCATTAGGCAGTCCCGGCGGGCGCAATGAATGACACAAATCCACCGAGGCGGGCACCAGTAGCCTCGCGTGCGAAGCCAGCGTCGAGTATAGACATACCGGATGGAGAGAAAGTCGTTTTTTGGATGCAAAGACGATCGCAGCTAGCGGTCGTATGACGTGCCTTGTTGACGTCGATGGCACTCTATGGCACGCACTAGTATCAGACTGGCAGAGTGCGCGAATTGCAGAGAACGGTTGAGAATTTGCCTGGGGACTTGACTGGTCCAAGCGTCACCAGTGTCCAACGGCATCGGAGACGTTTCCTCGGTGAGCTAGAGCCAGCCTCCTGCACTCACGAACATACGAGAAATCGATTCGGTAGCAGCACCCTCTTCTGAGTGCCCCCGATCACACACAGGAGCGTCGACCACCGGCGACTCCTGGCCGGCAGCCAGTGACATTCTCTCAACCGTGACGCTGCGCGAGACTCGGCGCGACACCAGATCGCGGCGCCGTCCAGACCAAACGCCTAGCATCGTCATTTGCCATTGACAGGAGACACCCCCAGCGCACGAATGCGAACTGAACGTCACACACGTCGGCCCGCCGTGCGTGATCCAATCCGCCCGCAGTGCCTGTCAGCGCCCTGCACTGAAAGTTCCAGCGCGATCGGGGGGCGTCGCGCCAGCAGCGCGCGGCGGACGCCCCTACCCAAACCAGGAGACCCACGTCCCAAACCATTCCACGCGCGAGCCCCGAGGCGTCGCACCTCACGACGCGCTCGACGTGCGCGTAGCACACCCCCAAAGCTCCTCCGCTGGTGATGGCAGACTCGGCTCCCGGCGACGAAACCATTCCTCGCAGGGCCAGCGCGCGGCGCCTGTCGCATTTGGGTATAAGGCCATGGCTAAACGTCGGCCCGTGGCCTCTTGTTTCGCGCGCACCGTCCACGTTCGACTCGCACCTGTACCGGGCACGCAACGGCCCCTGCCGAGGAGCTTGTGACATGCAAAACCTCCTTCGTATGAGTATGATGAATGGATGCGGGAGCGATCGCAGAATGTAAGCCCTCTCAGCGTGCGACCGGACGGGGAAGAAAGGTGTGGGGTGGGACGGGCCGCGGGAGAACGCAAACTGCGACCCGGGGCGGTGCTGTGTTGCGTGTCTAGTGTGTCTAGCAACGTAACGTCGAGTTGGAAATTAGGATGGCGTTGAACTGAACGCGTAACGACCGCCCCCGCACGTATAGATCGTGTCACGCCGGAGAACGGGAAAACAGCGAGTTTGAAGGAACGACACGGGGCCCGCTCCGGCCGTGCGCGCTGTCGTCGTGGCTCTCCGCCTTGAACGCTTCCGCGAATGCAGGCCACCCAAATTTGAATTCGGGTGATCCACAGGGGGAAGGGGCAGAGGCAAGGAACGCCAATGGAAACGGGATTACGACGACGATGCACCAGATCCGCGGGCCAGCATGCACCACAACGACCCGAGCGCAGTTCGGAGGGGGAGGGGGTAAACGACTCGCCGCACAGCACTGGGGCACGCGCAGGACCTTGCCAGCTTCGCGAAGCACGCAACGGCGTGCTCACAGACGTCCTGAAACGTACACGAGGGCATGCACTCGGGACTTCTGCCCGAGTCGGATGCACTTGGGGAGGAAGAACTCTGGAGCCGGGCGTCGTGGACGCTGGTATCATCGCTGCGGAGGACCCTTGGCGGGTCTCATGCGCGATTCGAGCGGATGGCGAGGGGGGACGATGTCACGAGAGGAACAAGGACGTGGAGGGGAGCATTCCACGTCAATGTATGCGCGCGAACACGTACCCTCCGGGCCTCAATACAGGGTAGGTGTGCCACGGTGACGCCAAAGTGAGCCTAACGCAGCAGTAAGACCCGGGCAACACATGGTGCCAGACGTCTCGTGCAACCACAAGAACTGTCGAGACATTCCGCAGCATATGACGAAGCACGTACGTGTACGCATAGGTGCCGGGATCGGGCGGTGAGTGCGTCCGATGGCGAGGAGTCGACTATATGCGCTGAAATGAGTCGCTTCTGACCGCTAGCGTCATCCAGGGCTTCTCGAGACGAAGTTTTCGAATTGGAAATGGGGTACTCATATGTCACAGACGTTATTGAATGAACACACAAATGCGACATACCTACGACCGCTTCCGACGAGCTCCGGGCGCAGTGCGCTGGTCAGCAAGCCAGAGCACCTCCAGACGCTGAGTAAGCGAGAGCCCTGCATGCACCGGAGCCCCGTATGGATTGGAAGGAGCTGCAAAGTACGTATCAACGAGAGAGGCATGTGCAAAAAAGGACAGGATGGAGGAGACGAACCCGGCCCCGAACGCGCCCGTACGCGTCAGCGTGGTCGAAGTCCGCACTCGAAGCCGCGAAAGCCCGGTCGTCCCTGGAGGAATTGTACAGATCAGGCGACAAGTACGCATAACATGGAGCTCTGGAAGGAGGTTGCTCGGTCAGCACGCACTGCAGTGAGGTGCCCGACCGCGAAAGACCGACTCCCGATGGCGGGCGCTCATATTCTATGACGTCGGTGAGCGCGGGAAAGGGAGCTGGCGGTGGGCGACGGAATTTGGCATCCGAAGCGCCGTTGAAACAAGCGAAGCACGAGTAAGTACAACAGACGGCACACACCTGTCACACTTATCACCCCGCTGGCAGCTTCCCGTCGCACATCCATTCATCGTTCCCGCGCCGGCCTAGCCACCGCGACCACATCCTGTCCGTCCATTCACGTTTGCACCCGGGACCCTGCGTGTCTGCGCGCTCCGTGGTGACAATGTTGTCGAGGGTGACATTGCAATGCTCTGTTTCTCCGAGGTTCCTCCTCCTCCTCGTGCGACTCGCCCCATTCCCCCCGACGAGGGCGGAGGGGCGGGGCTTTCGATGCAGATTTGGACGCGGTCGCAGGACGGGTTGACTGGGAACAGCGAAGGAAGATCTGAGCGGAGGGTCTAGGCAGATCGTAATGAACTGACCGACTGAGACTGACATAGGAGAGCCTGGACCGCTCACCACCGTGCGAGCCCTCTCTCATCCAATCACCAACGTTGAATCGAATCGCGAGACCTCCCCGATGCTGGGCGCAGCTGGGATACTGAATGAAGGCCGAGGCACTCGACGCGGACGAGGCTGCACCGCCTTCGTAGAACGAGTCGGAAAGCACTGTGGAGCAGCAGCAGCACACGGATCCCGAGCTTCGCTGTCAAGTAAGGTACAAAGCCAGCTGTAATCGCACCCCGGCAACCGACGCGTGCAGCACACGGAACAGGTCGCATGTTCTGTGGGCATTCGGCCGTGGACGCGTTCGCCAATTCACGGGGCCAGGGACGAGTCGTTGTACTGTGGAGGCAATGCTGCACGTATGGGTGGGGCCCGTTCGTTCCGCACGCCAGGTGCCACCCGGTGTACATTGTGGATCGCCGGAGACACGCTTCGTGGGGGATCAACAGAAAGGTTTGACAGTGAGGAAAAGAGGAGGAGCCGAGTGGACAGGCCAGGCCTCCAGCTTCCCAGACGAGGCGCACAATATTCAGATCAGCCAAGCTGAGAGCGAGCTGCAACTGCGAAGGGTCGAACAAGAGGCGACTCTCGACGTGGCCAGCGACGACCCCGGCAGACCAATCCCATCTGTCCATCCAATCACGATCATCATCCGATTACGATTACCGATCCCAGGAACATCCTCCAAAACAGGGAAAACGGATCCCACACGGGGCTCTGATACAACTCCCACCTTCCAAGCGAGCGGGCCACGCTGCCCCGGGGGCGTCCGCCGTCGGCTCTCACTCGGATCAGCTTATCGAGATCGACAGCCAATGCCCCAATGGTCCGAGTCCTCGGCGCCTGGTGCGGTTGACGCGGACAGGCGACTCGTGCCTCCGACGCTGGCGGCTTACTTATGGACGCGATTTGGCTCGGACGCAGAAGTACGCGGGCGGACAGTACTGATGCCGACATTTACCTCAGTCATCCGAGGAAGAACTCGCCGAGTGGAGTCAGAGGCTGACTAAATCATGGGCCGGGAGGGCGCACAGCTTCTTTGGAGCTACGGAATTCGGAATTGCGGGACTCGAACCTTGCTATGTAGTGCGACGCAACTTCTAGAGCGACAGGAGGGGAGGAGGCGGATAGAGTGGACGCTGCTCGAGCGCGAATGCTATCTGCCTTTTGGGACTGAGCACGTTATCCGGATGTCTCGAAACCCTCCGAGGACGGCGTAGCCGTATGATTATGAATGCCATCCCCAGAGCGTCCTGACTCACCGAAGCGGAAGATGAACGGCGTGGATGAGCTGACTGCAGTGTCTCCGATCGTGGTTTGACTAATCTTTGGGAACGAGAATCTCGAAGGGGAAGGAGTAGCTATTCGGGTGCCTACATGCGGGGGTGCCGGATTCCTTTCTGTGGCCATCGTTGACTATTACAGCACGTTGATGTCGGACGGAAACGTAGCATTGCATGTTTCCTTTCGGACTGTCCACCAGGTGAGCCCTCGTGCTCACCCCGGGCTGACAGCACGACCCCGGACAAGTTCTGCACGCCCTGCGCACATCAGCGCTGTGACACGGCCCCGCACCCAAGCAAAGTCCAGCCAATGGATTACCGCTCTCAGCGCTCAGCGCTCAGCAGGGAATTAGAATCATCCGGCCTGTCGACGTCGTACTAAAGTTCGAACCGTATACGAGGTAACGAGGGAACACTTACATGCGAGGCGCATCCCCCGCGCTACCAGTCCTCGCGAATCCAGCAAGGCCGTCTTCCAATCGGGCTCTATACCGCCACGCGGCAACTCATCTCGTCCCGCAAACGCGCGAACGAGCGGTAACTCGCATGACGAGCGGCGGGGCCGTGTCTGCAGCCTTCGAGCGAATCGCCTACAGTCTATGGCACGGGCGTCCCGTCGCGCACGCGTCCCGCGCGCGCAGAGATCTGCTCCAGCACGCACAGGCCTGCGTTTGCCATCAGCTCAGGACAGGACGGAATCGGGCTACCCCTTGGCACGCAGGGAACGCGCAGGGGACGCTCGAGAAGTCGACGACGATCGCGAAAGTCGCGGACGATCTCGCGCACAGCGTGCGACCGCAATCTCCGCACCGTCCACGTGCGACCGCACTGTCCTTCAAGTCAAGGGCCACATACACTGGGATCGGGTGCCCCGCACACTTTGGGGATGAACAGCGGGAAGGGTGAGGATGCGGGGGCTACCAGACGGCGGTCAGACGCACGCGCCGCGCCTCCGAGCCTCCGACGCCCTCCATGCCGTCGTCACGGCGGGGTTCTCTGCCATGGTCAGAGACTAGCACTCGGTCTGCCTTATGCGCACATGAGCGCTCGGCGGGTGGGAGCGGACAGCAGAGGATGCGGCAGTGCGTACGTACACGTCGTGCATGCGACGAAGGGACGCAGGACATGCCCCCGCCTTCCCCTCTCGTCCTGCCGTTCTTCTTCTGTTGTGGTGGCATGATCGTAGGTGCCCGGCGCGCTGGAGGAGACGACATGTTGATACTGTCCAGGGACGCTGGGCCAGCGCTGCGTACGACTATGACGTCCCTCGAGCGCTCAGGGTTGTACAGTACTTGCTTTCTGTGCTCGACGCGACAACGTTGCTGTGCATACCGTTCAAACTGCATGTCCGATGCCTGAGACAGTATCAGATCTAGGGTCTCCGTCAGTCGAATTCGGCTCCGCGGTCCTCCGGGGGCCCGGCGTACGTACCTGGCCTTGTCGTGCAGCAACATTGGACTCGCGTGGGCGGTCGTGCCGCGCCCCTCGAGCGCGAGCGCCCTGCGCTGTCTCTCTCTCTGTCTCGTAGCGGAAGGATAGCGTCTCCCAGGCTGGCCCGCGACGGGACGTAGCGGCACTCTGTGTAGCTTGTGGCCCATCGCTGTTTGTGTCGACTCGACCCGGATCGCAGACGTATCGCGGACAACCTTGCACGCATGCTCACGTGCGCAACGCACAAGTGCACACATACAGGAGCAGCAGCAGACGAGGTGCAGAGACGGCGTCAGGCCCCCTCGTTGCCACGCGCGACGCGACGGGCCCCGCGCGCCCGCGTGCGCGGCTGCGTACATACTGCAAGTAAGTAAAACGGGCACTACATACGTACGGGACCGAGCCTGATCGCGTGCATCTCGTCAGGGCACCACGCGAGCGTGGCATGATCCACGGACGCATCAAGCTCGACGGTGTTGGCGTCGTTGGCGGTCGTCAACGTTCGACGTCCGATGCTTGATGTCGTCGATCGCGGCGTCACACACACGACGGCGCCAGTGGCTGCGACGCGCAGAGCAAAAAGTCGACGGCGTCGTGTGTAGTGTGTGCGTATCAGAGTCGGGCCCCGGGCGAACAGCAGGATCAGGGTGGTATGTACATACGGGCCCGGGCGCCCGTGGATACGGGAGCTGCCACGATCGCGGGTCGACGTCGCAGGTGGGCTGACGGCTACGGGACGCGTACGGTCGTCCTCGTCAACCCCGCAGCCGCCCTGGGGGATGTACATAGAAGTTCACGTGTACGGATATGTGGGCTGCCGGGCCCGAAGCTGCACAAAGTCTCGATTATGCCTCCTACATGATGCTGTGGCAGGTAGCAAGAGTAGAAGTTGCCTCAGACGGTCATGCCACATGCGAGTACAGCGGATGCGCATCGATGCGAGGCGTGCTTATGGTGATAGAACACTGCTCGCCAGGCGCGAGGCAGCGCACCGGATCGTCGCGGTCGACACTGGCCGTCCGGCTGCAGCTTGGGTCCTAGTCCGCAAGTAGATAATCCGCTTGGCGGCCCCGCGCGTGCGATGCGCGTGCCGCGGTGCCAGTGGATCGCTGCGGCATCGTGAACAGAACCATATCCTCATCCTTGTGCCGGGGCGAGCCTTGTCGGCCCCGCTGGCGATGGGGATCATAGCTAAGTATGCTGTCGTCGTCAACGACTATCCGGGACACAAGTGCCAAGAGACGCTCGCAGGTATTTCTGCCATCTGAGACGAGCATTCCCACAGCGCGACGACGGTATAAGCGTGACCAGCAACGTGCACCGTTGGGGGGGCGGCCGACGACGCATCGAGTGTGTCCTGTGTGCAGCCAGTGCGGCACGCTGGCCCGCGTTCCGAGCGTCACTGTCACCGGGACACTCGCGCGTGCGCGCCGTGTGCGGAGATGGGGATCAGGAAGCGTGCCCCAGGCGCGGTGCAGTGTGGTCTGAGCTCGAAGGTCTCGCGTCTTGGCCACGCGTGTGCGAACGGCTGGGCGGACAATGAAACGGCTCGGAGGGGTGCTGGGAACGCGGGAGGGACGGGAGGGCGTATGTGCATGTACGGTACGTCTCTGCAGACTCGGGACGCGAACGCGTGCACGGTCCGCAGGGCGCAGCGTCAGACGTTTCCTGGATGACTATGGTTTGCCAGGGGGCGGAAAGGTGGGCTCGCGGATGCGCCTGTGCACAGGACGGCACGAAGGCCAAGTTCACTTATTGGGATTTCAGCCTGACAGCTGTCGGGCTGACGAGGAGGCAGGGCGGGTGGACGTGCGCGGCGGCGCCTTGGGAGGAGCGTGTGGGGGATCGCATTGGGAGTGGTCGGGGCGGGTGGGCAGAGGGCATTGGCTGCGAGATGAGGCGCATGGGCGGTGCGGGATGGTGGACCGAGGGGGCGGGGGAGCATAGTTGGCAGACGTCGGCCTGGATCGCGGATGCTTGGCGTGGAGGGAGCAGTGCCCCGCGGCCGTTGTCCGCGCTCGAGAGGCTGTCCAACCCCTCGCGCGCGAAGAGCAGTCAGCAGGGGCTCGGGTCGGCGACTGGGGGTTGCCGTACGGAGAGTGCCGGACGCGGGAGCCATTGAGCCGGGCGGGCGGGCGGGCGACTGGAGGGGGCGTGACTGTGACTGGTGTTTGGGGGTGTTTGGCGGGCGGCTGCTGGGGATGTCGACTTGGTGGGCGGTGGGAGAGGAGAGTATATTACGGATAGTCGTCGTCGCACTCGGCAGATCGCTCATCTCCCCAGTCTCTCGACTTCATCCCGCCGTCCTCTTCCTCCCTCATCCCGCGCACTTTCCTCTGCGTGTCCCGCCGCTCCCTAGCACGCCCTACACTCCTCCTGCCTCCTGCTTTGCTCATATAGACCCTCCTCCGCTCTTCCATCCTCCTCTCTCACGACCTCTCGCACCAGCTTCGTCCGCACCCAACATCTCTTCTACTCCAACGCATACTTTACCAGCCATGGCTACCGCACAGCCAATATCCTACAACTCCGCCGACCCCCAGGACTTCATCATGGGCTCCGGCTCCTTCACTGGCCAGAACGGCTCCTTTAATGCCGCCTCCTCCCTGACCCGGCACATCCTCGGTGGTTCCCCTCTATCCTTCCGCGCTGGCTCCTTCGGCAGCCGTTTCTACCCTGGCATGTCTCCTGGCCAGCTCCTTGGCCCATTAGAGTGAGTGTTCATTCCTGGCTTCATCCTTCGTTTGGCATCCCACCATCTCGGCAATGTGATTGTTGGCGTCCTGGTCGGATTGGCGGTCTCCACATGTGATCCCGCCTAACGCCTATCATTTCTTCCATTGTGCTTGGTCGCTTCCCGTGCACACTCCTTCATGGATCGCCCTTCCGCTCTCGCACCCGACTGTCGGCATATCGTGCATGAGCGGTTATCACCTGTTTCGCCACATCCTTGCCGCCTTTCACGTCGAACGGCCTTCCACTAATCACTCCTATTCAGTCCCAATGACTTCAAGTTCACCAAAATGTCCTCGTCGGTAGAGAGCGACCGGGGTCCTATCGTGAATGCCCTGGCCATGCTCGAGAGGCAAGATGAGCTCGTAAGTAACACGGACTTCTCCCAGATACTGACTTGGTCGGCTGACACGAACACCAAGTGTCGCGACTACACCTGCTGTGGACTCAACCTCACCGATCTTCACGCCCTCGTCGAGCACTTCGAAGAGTGCCATGTCGTTGTCCTCGACCCTTACGCTCCTCAGCAGCTCCCTCCTCAGACGTCCGCCGCTCTCCCCAACTCCGCAGGTCAGCAGGCTGTAGCGTCATATTTCCCCGACGGAGCCGGCGTTCCCTCTACTTCCTCGCAACAACAGCCCCAGCGCATCCAGACTCAGCAGCAACAGCAGCAGCAGGCTATCGCCTACCAGGGATTCGACCCCGACGATATGGAACTAGACGTCGATCAGAACGCCAGCGCCCCGTCGTCCGGAGCGCCCTCCCCTCCAGACACCCCCATCTCCACCCCACTCTCCGGCTACCCTTCGCCCACCGCGTACTCCGCCGCCTCGTCCCCGCACCAGAGCCAGCCCGCGTCCCCCATCTCGGCGTTCGAGACCGCGACCGTGCTGCCTTCGCGCAGCGCCCACTCGGCCGCCCTCGGCGGCTTCCGCTCGAGCATGGGCGGGGCCCCCGCGGGGTCCGCGGCGCGCGCCGAAGACGCGTTCAACGCGTACGCGGGCTACTCCGACTACTCGAGCCTCCTCCCCGGCGCGGCGCCGCTCGGCTCCGGGCCCAACGCGATGTTCATGCAGCAGGGCATGACGCTGGGTGCGATGAACGGCGGCGGCAGCGCGAGTCAGAACGGGCAGACGGTGTGCGCGCCCACGGCGCTGCTCCTCAGCGGGAGCGCGGGCAACACGCCGGACAGCACACCCGCGTCCTCCCGCGTGGCTTCGCCGATCCCGGGCGGATCTGGCGCGGGGTACAGGAACGGCGCGCCGAACGCGCACGCGTCCTCCTCTTCGTCCGGCGCGGGCGCGTCCGCGTCCAGCTCGGGCGCGAATGCGAACGCGGGGGCTTCGACGGCGCGCGCGTCGACGACGCTGTCGCGGCCCGCGTCGTCGCTGCTGCTCTCGAAACCGTTCAAGTGCCCGAAGCCGAACTGCAACAAGTCGTACAAGCAGGCGAACGGGCTCAAGTACCACATGACGCACGGGAGCTGCAACTTCGCGCCGCCGAAGGACCTCGAGCACCTCCAGGAGCTGCTCGCGAGCAAGCGCAGCGAGAAGGCGCGCGCGCAGGGCGGCCAGGGCGCGACGGGCGCGGAGGGCGAGGTCACGCTGAGCGACGCGGAGCTGCGCGAGGTCGAGAAGGAGGCGGAGCGGCGGCTGAGGCCGTACGCGTGCGGCGTCGGCGAATGCCAGAGAAGGTACAAGAACATGAACGGGCTGCGTGAGTCTCTTTGTTCGCTTTTGATTGGTCTGGAGGGAGCGCGGAGCTGACGCGGGGCGCGCAGGGTACCACTACCAGCACTCGGGCGACCACGGCGCGATCGGGCTCGCGCTGCTCGCGAGCGGGCAGCACGAGTGCCTGCAGCACAACCGGTCGCGGCACGCGACACCGTCGCACTCGGCGTCGAACTCGGTCTCGGGCACGCCGAGCCAGCCGCGGACGCCCGCGCCCCAGCAGTCGTTTGCGGGGCAGCAGCAGCAGCAGGCCCAGCAGGCCGCGTTCGCGCAGCCGCCGACGTACCAGAGCGCGATGGCGAGCCCGCCCGCGTACGCGTACCAGCCGCAGCAGTATGCGCAGTACGCGCAGGCGCAACAGTATGTCGTTGGCATGCAGCAGCAACAGCAGCAGCAGCAGCAGCAGTGAGCGTACGGTTGCTGGTCTGTGTTCCGTTTGGTCTTCGACACGTTGTCGTCGACGCCGTCCGGCGTGTGCTCTGTGCTCCATTTATACTGCTACGTCTCCTGCCCGCCACGGTGTCCCTGCTGTCCTCTGGCCGGCCAGCTACGGTTCCCCTGCTGTCATTTCGCCGGCCAGCCAGCCTCGACGAGGGACAGGAGGGGTCGTTTACATCTCTGCCGCCTTTTTTTCTTCCGCTCGCTCGCTCGTAATGCCAACTCTACTGCCTGGTCGCACAACAAAAGTACAGGTACATCGCGCGATATAGCGGCGTACATAATTAGAGTACCTTTACTTCCCTTACCTACGTACGTAGTTCGTCTTGTGTCCCTCTCCCCTCTCGTTCGTGTCTTTCGGTCGTGCAGTGTGTATAGTCCGCCTCTCGTTCTGCGCTGTCGTATTCGATCTCGATTTTCTTTCTCCTGTCCGCCCCGGTTTCTCTCACCTCTCACTGTATAATTTGTCCCTGTCCCTGTCTCTGTCTTGTCTCCGCCTGTGTCCGAATTTCCTCTCTATCTCTCTTGCGATGCTCGACACTTACATATCCTCGTCGAGACCAGTGTCCCATCCGATCCCACGTTGCTCCCTCCCCCCCCCACCCTCGCTAATGATGTCACCCACCCCACCGTTGTCCCCTGTCGATGACCCGTTGTTGTTGTTGTCTGTCGTGTCTGCGCCCTTGGTCGCCGGCTGCGTCCGGCTGTTGTTGTCTTGCCCCACACGCGTATAATACCACCGTTCCGCCCCCACTTATTCTGTCTCTCGCGCCGTTACGAATCCGCATTTGATTGCTGTCCGACGACGACGCTCGCGCACACGATTCGGAAAAAAAAAGTAGGGTACGATACGTCTGGACGTACTCGCTATGTACGGCTACGGTTACGGCACTGCACGGTACGACTGGGGCGCGTCGTCTCTGCCGTCGACGTATCTATGACCTACACCAAAAGTAGCATCACCACACCAATAGAGAATAGAGTCCCCAGTTTTCCTCCACCGCGTGGGCGAGTGTTCTCGCCGTTTCGAGATCGAGCGACCGAGCGACCGAGCGACCGAGCGCAGACGCGCCGTGCGCCGTCGTGCCCCCCACTTCCCATTAGCCACGCGGTTCGGGGCCTCGGAGCCGGGGGTCAACCGGTCACAGATGGGCCTGCAGGTGCGCCACCCGCACGCAGCTCGCGCTCCGCACTTTCTCCCCGCCCGCCATCCTTCGCTGAGCGGGCACCCGCGGTCCGCCCCGCCGACTGGCCGGTGGACGATCGACCGTCCTCGTACGTCCGCGAGCGTGGTTGACAACGTTGACGTCGTGGCGATCGTGCAACCCCTCCGCAGGTGCGAGACTACGCACCTGTGCGGGCGGGCGAGAAGTCCCGGAAGACGAGCTGGAGGCTGAAGCCCATCCGGATATGTTGCGCGACGCGGCTATGCCCCTTTGCGCGTACATAGACTTACCTTGCCGGCTTCCTCGTCCGCGCGCTGCCGCCCCTGTTGCACGACGTCGACGTGTCCGGTCCCGCGACCCCCTTTCTTTAGGACTCGAACTCACCGCATGCGCCACCGCCGGCCGCACCGTAGGCACGCAACCCACCCAGGCAACGACTTCCGGAACGGCTGCGGGGCGGGGGTCTCCTCACCGTCCACCGCGCCCCTCGCACTCTCCCCGGTCTGCGCAGCGAGGGTGTGAGGTCGATAGGCCCGCTGTCACGGCGACCTGCGGCCGAGTGTTGTCCCGCGTCTTCCCAGGTCGCCCCCGTGCGCGCGTGAAAGTGGGCCCGGCGTACCCGACGCACCTGACAGACTTACCGTAGGACGACCGCTCGCGTCGGATAGCTAGCTTGAGCCTCTCGATGGAGAGCAGGTGCTTCGTCGTCCCGAGTCCGTAGAGCTTCGCGAATCGTGATGTGTGTGACCTACTCGCTATGTGGCCTCGTTCCTCCATTGGGTGTGCGCTATATCTGGATAGATAGATGCCGGTTTGGGTGAGCTCGTCCTGTCGCCTCCACCTGCGTTCATTGTCTCCTTACAGGGCTCCCGTGTTAGATCGCAGCCATCGCGCCGAATTCATAGATATTCCGCCTGCCGTATTGACCGTACTATTGGCTCATGCCTCAAGCTTCGAGGTCCGCTTGAGTCGCGCAAGGTTCGCAAGCGACCCTGCGTGTCAACGACTGCAATCTTAGACTGTCCGCGTGAGTGTGTTGAGGTAAGGTAAGTAACGATTGAGTGTGTTGTATACGCACGAGTCCAGTGTATGATGGTGTGTGGCTTCGGCGAGTGCGGGCAGGTGTTCCGATGCATACAGCTTAGTGATAGTCAGCCGTACGTACTGGAGCGTCGTGGTCGGCGGGCCAGCGACCGATGTGGCGATCGATAGGAACAGGATAGCACGGCTGAGGACTGTCACCCGCGATACCGTCCCCGTGCGGTGTCAGCCGAGCGTGAGCCACATTGCCATGAGTCGCGGGCCACGGGCGCGCTTCCGGGATGGGTCAGATGCGAAGGGTGATCAGCAGCGATGAGCCTACTCTAGCCGTCTAGGACGTGTGAAGGGTAAACGTAAGATAGCCTACCATAGCGATTGATGTCCACCTGGGCATGTCGCTTGCCGACATGTCAGGTTGAGAGAGGGCGTCACTGTGCGCCGCTCGGCCCTTGAGAGCGTCGTCGGTGCATTGCAATCCTCCGGAAACGAGCGCACCGGCGGGAAACCGCAGCCGTTTCATCTTCGTTAACCAACCGTGACATCAATGCGTGGCTGAGCAGCCTCGGGAGGAACCTCCGAGATGCGTTCGATGAGACCGGATCGTCCCTCCGCAGGTGCAAGTTAGCCGTTGCAGCGTTTCGGCGATATGGCAAGTCAGGCCCAGAGGCCGGTACCCGATTTCGTCTGGCAGGACGTCGTACGATCGCATCGCCAGACCACGCCTGAATCGCATGGACTCCTCGAGTGACGCCGTGAGACGGGAGACTACACTGAGTGCGCGAGGTTGTCCACACCGCCGTTCTGACGGAGGGTCGATAATTGCGATGTACGTAAGTGCGAGCCGGAGCTTGAGGGCTCGTCCGGCAGATCGATGGCCTCTTCAAGCGCTATTGGTGCTAGATCGCCGGAGGTTCATCACAGACAAGGAGATAAGGCCAAACGGACGCGTGTGTTGTAAGAAGAAGAGCACGGCGGCGGCCGTTGGGCGCGCTTTGTGCCTGCGATTCCGCGATTCCATGGGCAGCCGTGGCTTCGAGTTACGGCGATGTGCGTCGACCAGGACCATCTGCGCGACTCCGCGTGTTTGTGGCCTGACAGTTGAGGTCATCGCCCATTCGGCTCGGCTGGAGAGTAAACGCGATAGATGCAAGATAGCTTCGTGACGCTGAGATACTTGTAGAAGTAGTTGATCACTGGGTACCGGTACACGCGATGACCAGGTGGGCGAAGGACACGTGCCAGCGCAACGTGCCCTCGCTGATAGGCGCTTCCAGGGACGTCCGTCTCTCTGAGCTGAGCCTGAACGACTCAGCTCGGGGAGCGAGTGATACCATGTGCGGAGCTGCGAGCCCACGCGCGCTCGAAGAGGGTCCGGAGGCTGTTCTGAAGTGGAGTTGGAGAGAGCGGAAAGCCACGGGATCCGGCAGCGCAGCAGCGGAGACATTAGTGTGCTTCCGTGACTGTGCGTCAGGCCCGAGCGGAGAAGGGGAAGCAGAGGGATGGCAGATGCGCGTGTCGGCGCGTAACGACGATGGGGATAGGCGGGCTCTTGCTGGTTGGCCAGAAGAGACTCTCGATCCTCGTTTATGGAAATGGGGCGCCTGGCATGCGCAGTGGTGAGAAGACAGACATGGGAGGGTATCACCACGAGTACGTATGGAAGCTACGTACGCACAGGTATGCACAAACGCCTGGGAGCCTGGATATGAATAGAGCGTGGATGCGATAAGTCCAATCGGTACCCCAACGCAATGAGTCCAAGAGTGGAGCGTAGCCTGTAGTGAGCTGCAACTGGATTGACGATCCGCCCGAACATAACCTCGGCACCAGACGGAACGTGCTATCTCCGAAGATAGGTTCCGAGCAAGACAGTGCAGTGTGGAGTGGAGATAAGTTGGTGGGAATTAGGCGAGCGGAGACACCGGTATCAAGGAGAGGTGCAAGTTTATAGACCGCTGCAAGCCCAGGGCCGCCGAGACTAAGGCAAGATGTTAGAGATTGACATGAGGCTGAAGCGATAACTGAGAAACTGAGAAGACGTTCTGTGGAAAACGCACCTGCGGATATGGCGAAGAGCGTTCGGACGGCTGAACGTACGACTGTCTCAGTACAACTGGCACTATGCTGAGGCTCTTTTCGTTTAAGCTTGAACGCGATACGATATAAGAGATCATCATTTGTGTACAACTCCACTACAAGCCGCAAGAACGTACGTGGAAGGTTTCGGTGTTTCAGGGCACGTTGTCTCTGCAAGCCGCTAGGTAAGTGATTCTAGAGTTGAGCTTGTAACCTTGCAAAGCAAAGGAGATTTGCTTACTTCTCATAGAAGCGCCGAACGATCTCAGTGCAAGTATAGCGAGGAAGAAGTTCGCGCGGTAATGGCATGTCCTCCAATTCCACAGAAGCCTGGTGATGAGTGGAGCGGTCGTAGCGTATCAGGTATGAGGAGAAGGAGAATAGCAGTGGTGTCGTCGAGACATTACTACGTCCGAGAAACAGGACTGTTAGTTTACCATTCAACTTGTATGATTTACGGCGTACCGTTCATATTAAATCAGAGGGGGATGAGGCCGCTACTAGACCATCGCGCGTAGCACGTGAAGTAGAATATATGCGAGAGATAGATCCGGTTGGGGCGAGGAAAGAGTAGAAGTTAATGTAGCATCGGAGGCTCCATTGATGGGAGTTAGGCGCCGCCCACCGTCGACCACTTACCGTAAGACCTGGGCACCTGAATAACCTCTCCCACATATGAACGAGTCCAAGGCCAGCTTCACACTGAGAAAGAAAGCACTATGGATGGAGATAATGATGGTGGCAGAGAAATAAGAACAGAAAATTTCCTTGCTCGCGCGAGCTTCTGTGAGCGCTCAGTGCGTAGGCCTCGGCGCGGCCCTCGACGGCATCCTCCGGAACTCCTTCCAGATCTGGATAGCAGTGTGTAGTTGGTTTAGCGCTTCTTCTCGCGGCTTGCCAGCGATGGCGGCCCTGAGTTCTCACACCTTGCCTAACTGAGCTCGCCATGCACTCCTCATCATACACACACCAGAGGCTGTCAGTACGACTGAGCTACTCACGCTGCTACAGCTCTGCGAATACACCCGATGCGTGGCAACAAGTCGGAGGAGTCGCGATTCGAATGATCTGGGGCCCTCGCTTTGCTAGACGTTACGATTGCCAGACTCCGACCCAGCTCAACCATATGTGTTGACATCCAGGCTCGCTTTCATACGAATGCTGTATTTAACCGATCTCTGTAGTGCGATACCGTTCTTGCACGTCAGACGACGAGAGCGATCGATGGGTGCCAGCAATGTCCCATCATCCGGTGAACCCCTGCGGCTTGTGCACTCACGTGCAGTTTGAACAGCGTAGCGAATGTCCGCGGTGCGCTCCGACATCTTGTGGAGGGCATTAGCGTACACTGTGCCTGTCCACCACGGTCGTTTTTAGAGTGACCCGTCTCACTCCGAAGAATAGCACCCTGGGTTCTCACAGAATTCATCTCATTTAGATCTATCCTCAAGCGATATGAGTAACGTAGGTTAGTACTCATTTTGCACAATATAACTCATGCTCATGTGTGCAGGTAATAATGAGACAGGAGAGTGTGCACAAGATATCTTATCATGGGTTTGCCCTCCGTGGGCCCTACTTTCGACACGCTCTGCAATGCTGCCTCCTCAGTCGTGGGTGCGGGCGGGCATTCTCGGCTAAGTACCGACTCTGCCCCCTTTCTGAGATACCTGCTTTGAATGTATGCGGAAGCCAGGATACTCTAAAGCCGCGAGTTGTCCACGGGCGTACGGAAAGCTTAGGGATTGGCGTACAGGTATTTTCCAGCGCCTACCATTCGGCATCCACGTCTTCGTTGTAGATGTTAGAAGATGCGTTGCAATGCTCCGGGTTGCTCCTCTGTACTCAATGGGGCAGCCATCACTTCAGCCTTTTTGCAGCTGCTATTGCCTACGCTCCCCGCATGCATAAAAGGCAGAGCGGACGAGGTGGGGAGGCAGCAATCACTCCCATATACCTCTAAATGATTCCGCCGCAAGCTACAAACACCTTCTATAGGTGAACAGGGTACACCATCATGTCTCGATAATACTGACGTTCTGACTGCTTGCAGGGAGCCTGAGTTCGAGACTCTCCAGCTTCATGCTGGTCAAGAAGTCGACTCCGCTACAAACGCACGCGCTCCTCCCATCTATGCCAGCACTAGCTTCGTATTCAACAACTCCAAGGCATTCCTTCCGCTTCATGTATACCACCGTCTTCAGCGCTAAACTGGTGTCATCAGCATGGCGCAGATCTATTCGGCCTCAGGTGTGTTGCTGCGTGCTCGCGGAACCCTTGGGATGACTGAATGACGCATTATACAGATCTCTAGGGAACATATACTCTCGTATGGGGAACCCAACTGTGGTAGGGACAAGACTTACGCCTGGAATCTGTTCTTGGTTTCATGGAGACATCCAGGGCGTTTTCGAACGGCGAATGGCAGCCCTCGAAGGAGGTGTCGCCGCCGTAGCGGCGTCCAGCGGCCATGCTGCACAATTTATGGCTATCGCTGCGATTGCACGCGCAGGCGACAATATAGTATCCTCGTGAGTCACCCTACCTGTTTCTGTTCCGTTTCGTTTTGTCGCTCATATTGGAATGTCTAGGTCCTACCTCTATGGCGGAGTATGTTGGCGTTGTATCTCTATCTACAACTATGAGCGCACAGACTGACATTCCTCGGTTTTGGAGACATATAACCAGTTCAATGGTAGGTCACCGCACATGATGTTATAGATCAGTTCTAACGTACTGGACTCTAGTCTTTCTTAAGAAGTTCGATATTCGTGTCAAGTTTGTCCCAAGCCTTGAGCCCGAGTCATTCGCTGCTGCAATAGATTACAGAACCAAAGCACTGTATGTTGAAAGCATTGGGAACCCCAAGAACACTGTTGCTCCCCTTCCTGAACTGGCTAAAGTACCTCATTCCCTTGTTCACCTTTGTTTTGTTGCGCTGATGTCTTCCTAGGTAGCTCACGACCATGGTATTCCCCTGATCGTGGACAGCACGTTTGGGATGGGAGGTGACTGTGTAGTACTATGCCGAGAAGCTCATGAGACTAACCGGAGGCTTAGGCTACCTCATCCGACCCATCGAGCACGGTGCAGATATCGTTACCCATAGCGCAACCAAGTGGATCGGCGGGCACGGCACGGTCCTCGGGGGCGTTGTGATCGACGGCGGTACCTCTCACTTCTAACATTGCAGTTCCAAACGATATTGACGCATAGGTGTCTTGCTACAGGAAAGTTTGACTGGGCCGCATCCGGGAAGTTTCCGGACTTCACCGAACCTGCAGAGGGCTATCACGGCATGCGATTCGTCGATACGTTCGGCAAGGCCGTCCTTGCCGTCAAGGTCCGGCTGGACGTTCTCCGCGATCTCGGCCCTGCTATGGATCCCTTCGCAGCGTTCCTTATGCTACAAGGATTGGAGACTCTGAGCCTGCGCGCACAGCGTCACTCGGACAACGCTCTCGCACTTGCCAAGTAAGCTCCGCTTTTCCTGCCAGCACGGTCGTTCTAGGTCTGACCGGACCACTGTGACGAAGGTGGCTGGAGAAGCACCCAAAAGTCTCCTGGGTATCCTATCTTGGACTCGAGTCGCACGAGTCGTACCGAGATGCGCTTCGCCTCTTCCGGCCGAATGCATTCGGTGGGATGCTCACATTCGGTGTCAAGGGGGACGCGCAAGTGGGGAGCGAGGTTGTTGATAAGTTGAAGCTTGCGAGTAATCTCGCTAACGTCGGTCAGTCTTACTTCCTCTTCCTGCCTCAAGGGAGTTCTGAAGGGCTTTGATAGGCGATGCGAAGACGCTTGTGATTCATCCAGCTACCACAACTCACCAACAGTTAACTGTCGAGGAACAGCTCGCGTCGGGAGTAACCCCGGACTTGATTAGGGTACGCCGCAACATCAATGGGAGTGTCGTGGGCATGCCTTGACATTAATCGCTGTTTCCAGGTTTCTGTCGGCATCGAAAACATAGCCGACATTATCGCCGACTTCGACAACGCCCTCAAGATTGTGCCGTGATCCCTCGTGGACAAGCGGTCCTAGGGCATATGCAGCCAAGATGGACTCTACATGTACCTGCCCCCGCAGGCGTACAGCATTGTGACCCTTGAACCACAGACTCATTTGTGGAAGGGCGATAACGAAGACTGACATTATGACATGACGGCGTGATGCTACAAGACAAAGACAAAGAAACAAACAACAACAATGACTACGAGTACAATGGCTGAGTGGGACGGATCCGAGAGGTGTGACTAGTGCAAAGCAAGAGATAATGGTGCATTACAGCCGCCACGAGCGCATCACAATCGCAAAAGGAGCTGCGTCGGTCGATGTCCGACGTGTACAGTGTGCGGGGTGAAAGGAGTGGAGAGGAGGTGGCGACTATATATAGGAATATATAATCTCGACGTGATAATGGCCGAGGCTCACAGGCTCGTCACCCTCGTTACCGGCATCGGACCGTCATGAATGTAGGGGGTCGACGGAATGAAGACATGCGGGCCGTTTAGCATCTTCTCCAAGTACTCCAGGTCATCGTCCAGGGCCACCTGGGTCTTCTCTACGAGCCGCGTCGCGATATCGCTCAAGTCGGGTTCCGAAGCCGTGACCGAGAAGTCGAACCACTGTCCCGAGGTGAGCTTCTTGCTCGTACTGCCAAGAATCGGATTCATATATAAAGCTTCACATAGAGCCAGGCCATGACTTACCTCTTGTCTCCGTAAAAAGCGTAGTCATTCTTATACGACGGCGCACGCGAAAGAGTATTGACCGGCGTGGCGGGACCGTCGGAATCCGACCCTTCGGATGACAAGTGAGAGAACACTTGACACAGCGCCGGCATAGGGACTACGCTGTCGTCCTTAGCTGGATGCATGGATGCGCTTTCCGCCCCGGTATCTTCTTTCTCCGGCAGAGGCTGTAGCAGCCAGCACACGGTCAATTCAACATACTACAGTCTATGTAGGAAGAGCCTACCGGAAGCGTGTCCGTCTGACACGTCCATGAACACTGCCCGAACTCTTGGATGGAATGCCTCCGCTTTTCGTAAAGAAGCTTGCGCCTCCCAAAGCTACGCCCCAGTTTGGTCCAGCTGATCTTGCTCGAAGCTTGCTCCCGGACAGACGTCTCCGCGGTGCCCTTGCTCGGCTTACCCACCGTCAAGCTCCTGAAAGGTGCGGGGAGTGGTATATCGAAGAAAGGCATTGTACAATGGGATGTGGGGAATGGTGGCGAAGTACCGGGGAAGAGACTTGCCGGTGAGGGCGGGGCGGGGAGAGTCAAAGGGAGGGACGGGGCGGTACTCAAGTGGCAGTTAGGGGAAGAACGGAGAGCGTCTTTTATAGGCCAGACTAAGCGGTCCATGTGGCCTGTGGTTCAGTCAACAATCTGATAATGAGAATGGGGCATGACATACAAAGCCGACCTGTAGTTCAGATGAATGTGTCTGTCTTACCAACAGGTATTTGAGAACAATACGCGTACGTCCTAATAGTTTAGCGACATGTGCTCGACATAAGGTCGAAATGTCCAAAGACATTCGAAGTTTTAGCCCCGGAACGCGAGAATGAGAGTGGCGTGGAATAACGATCATTGTCTATTGTCTATTTGTCGTCAGTGACCTCGAAACAGACCATATGCGCTTGGTACTCTCCAAGCGTGTCAAATCGCTTTGCCCGGTCCAGTAGTTTCCGTTTTGGTATGTGACAGGCAAGGTGCTATGGTCCGAGCGGGGAAACACATCTGGGGGTCTTCCACTGGTAGCCGCACGATGAGTTGTCAACCGGCCAATGCACTCCCTTTTGCCTTCCAGGAAAGGCTGTTAACGCCTTAGATCAGATCAGGGCCTGAGATACAGCGAATGTTTTCTTCCCTCGACCATCGCGCTGTGCCTGCTAGTTGTATGTGTACTCGAGTGTATCGGTGTGCACAGTGTGCACTCGTCCTCACCGATTGTTAGGCAGGGATTGCGTTGAATCTGGCCGTCAGACTCTGCAAAAGCTCTCCGAAACAGCTTGCGAACGACGGCGAACGACGCACCCAGCGCCCTAGTTGACGCGTTCTTCGATAAGAAGGGACGCCAGCTTCGCAACCACGACGTCCTGGAGGTCGGTGCTCGCCGATGGCGGACAATGCCGGTACTGGCAGTTGCTGAGTGCATGATGCCCTACCCCGTAAAAGAGGTCTGGCCATCGGAGAGTGTGGAATGTGCGATGTTCGAGCCCTTCGAGAACGCCGTCCAAAGCTTCCGCGTCCAGGCCAATCAGAAGCATCGGTACCCGTATTCGCCCTCCCAGCATTTCGACGCCATCCGCCAGAATGGGCGTAGACCGCTGCGGAAGCTTAGTGCCCGTACTGTCGCTGACGTCCTGGCCGACTTCTCCGAGAATCACGTCATCCTGTACGTGCGCAGCGACAAAAATAATCATTTTGAATACCGGCTTCGCCCTGCGAGAGATCCCAAGGCACTCTCCCATAATGGTGCGTGAGGCCCGATCACTGGATAGAGCCCATCCCGCCACCCAGATACGTCGAGCACTGCGATGCGCCACCCGCACCCAAAGAGCGGTCCTACAGAACGGTACCGACGCTGCGCATGGCGGGGACCGGCCGCCAGATCGTCCCGGCGGCGAGAAAACCAGAAACCATCGCCCCCTCGGTTTTCGTCCCAGTCCAAGACTACCACCAGTGGTCTGAGACCCGCGCCGTACGGTACGCAGCTTCTCCTGGCGAGATCACCCTGTAGGACGCGAGCACGCTGCATGGACGCGTCGTACGGTCGTCTGAGGCAACCCGCACAGACCCTGACGCAGCCCGGGCGGGAAGGCGCAAGGTGAACAAGGAGCCCGTGCCGCACATGATCGGGATTGCGTGGGACATCGGAATGGAGGAAGGAGGCACACTGCGTGCCGCACATCGGCGGGGAATCGGTCAATACGTGCTCGATCCGACAGGGACAAAGCGGGGCACATACGATGATCCATCTCCACTGCTGCTCAGGCTAATCGGATGCGCCTCGGTTGGCGCAACAGTTTTCCCTGCATATCGGGAGGCGATACATGGCGTCCAGCAAAGGGCCGAAAGCGCTGGTGGAGGCACCAACCAGCTACCCGCGAAACGAACCCTGATGAAAGCAGTCGTACGTTTGACGCCTGGCACGCCAAGACGAAGTGGATCCGTGAATAAGAAACAAATTGCGCCAATTGTCCAATAATGCTTTATTGTCTGCATTCGACCTTGGCTTTACCGAATATCATTCCCAGGTGGGTGCAGACGGTACGTTCGTAGGCGGTGACCACGGGACGTCGAAGATGACGAAGACAAATTCGAGGCTAAAATCGCAGGCGCAAAGCCGTGTATCTGGCTCATGTCCGTCGAGGCCGAAGAGACTGGTAGGGGCAGCGGAGACGAGCTCGCAGATGATGCACCCAAGCCCACCCGACCCGTCCAGAAGGGCGATGGCACAGTAAATTACGCCGCTCTCCTGCGCGCATCTAATATACGCGGCAACCTTGTTAGGGCGGATGAGTCTGCGGAGTTGGAGGTTGTGGGCAGCTTCATCGTCGATTCCGGCCTGGCGTTCCTGTTCTTCAAGCACGCGCTCGAGCAGCCCCTTTCCGCTGTACCGCGGGAAGACCGGGAAGCGATGATAGAGACATTCATTGACGACGAGTGAGACGGAACCGTCTGGTGAGTCCACTTACCTCGCTTGTCTGCCATTCGAACCTGTCCATTTTTAGTCTCGAATAGTGATGGTGGAGTATTGATCGAAGGAAAGCGGGACACCGAAGGGCGCACGATCGAGTTGAAAATCTGTTCATGACTGAAGCTGGTGGATTTCGACTACGGCGCGACATGCTTGGCATGCAGCAGCCTGCTACTGGGGTTCGTCGATGTCACTGCAGCTCGGGACTCACCTTCGATAACAAGGAGATTCGAGTCTGATTTCTCCAGCAGCATTGGCCTGGAGGCGAGACCCTCGACGCGCGTTCGAGAAGGGCCAAAGTCGGTCAGAAACCTATCGCGCCGCCTGTGAACCTCGCCAAAGCGACCGCATATACTCCAACGACTGTACGTGCAGATAACGGCAGCTCAATAGACGTTATCTTGTGTCTTATCCAAATCATGACACTCACACACAGGAGGATTGGTATTGTTCTGTATCCCTACCGGAGGGCCACCGTTTTCAATAAGGTTCAACGGATTACCGCAGTCGGATGCCAAAACAACTTCGGCAATTCGCGCGCCTTAGTCACGCGGCGCGCGGAGACGTTTGGGTTCGGGTCCGGCCGGGTTCATCTCCAGCGTCTCCATTGATTTCGCGTCTCGTACTATTGCCTTGCATGTACTGTTCTCAGAGATTTACTCTCCACAGCCTTGCTGACCACACCCATCGCACTCAACATCCTGTCTTTTAGAAATGGATACATATGACTCGCTGATTGCACACGAAGCTCATCGGAACTTGTCGTCGGTATGTTACGCCCCCACTATTCATGATGCAACATCTGTGCAACGTAAATTGAGTTGAGCTAGTGAGTCATCAACTACCTCTGGGCGGAATAAACGACTGATTCAAATACATACAGTCAACTGTCACCGTCCGACGCATTCGTCGGTGGCGCATATTTGTACATATATGCACTTCAAGTTCGACTTTGGATGCCTCGACTACTCCTAACCGTATACGAGCCATCTTGGAAGCCACGCGCCTCTCGAGCTTGACCATTGTGCTGCGCTTCACCCGGCGTTGATGTAGGACGCCTATTAGTAAAAGGACTCAGTGAGTACGCGGAATACTTTCCTCCGTGTTCTCGCGAGTCTGTGTCCCATCCTTCCCTCGTCGCGACCACTCCAGTGTGAGGGGGTCTGGTTTCATAACGCCCCCCCGCTGAGATACCCCATTCCTACCTCATCGAGGTCGGGCAGATGTCCCGAGTCCATGCCTTCGTGTACGTTCGTCTCTTCGACTCTAGTCCAAATTGTGCCGGGGTTGACGGGTCTGCGCTGGTCCGCAGCTATATGCTCGCTGCGTTACTCCTGGATTCAGTCGTGTTCCTAGGCCCTTCTATTGATGGCTCAGCTGGATCGAGTCGCTCCCGTGGCTTGTGGAGGCGTAGACTATGACGGTTAAGGTTGGGCACGGTTTATGCTTCATGCCTTCTATGCGGCTAGGTTTGCCAGCCTGACATGATTCATCCACCCCATGTCCTGGCATATCGCGTCGTAGCTTCGTTCTCCCGTTACAAATCCTCCCTTCTCTGGTGTCCAGTTGCGAACCAACGACATCACTACGTCTCGACTTCAAGCTATCGCTCGTTGCTATGTTTGACGCAGCCTCTGCGCCAATGCTTGAGTCACGAAGCGATATATGGAAACAGGGCTCGGGTCTCTAGACACTATAGGCTTAGCGGCTATTCGTCGGCGTGCAGCCCCAGAGCCTAACGGCCTCGTGGTACGGAGTCGAGCCATTAAAGACAAACGGAGCCGTTTAGCGCATCTCTCTACACTCTACGCGGATCTAAAGGAATGGTTTGAGTGTCGTATCAGCGTCACCGCAGTACGGACGCTGCGCACTGCCGTCGCGGGTCAGACTTGACCAAAACCCTGCGGCTGTTGCACGATGACGCTCGTATAGCTGGCGTGTGGTCTATGCGCGAGGGGACTGCGGTAGCTTTGCGTCCGTCACAGAAAGGTATGGGAATCAGAGGGAGGATGAGTCACTCCTGCGGCTCTGGGGATCACCCAGTGCCATATATGTGCTGGAGGATTTGGGCGCACTGGCTCATAATGACGCCTTCTGGCTCCTGTCGTCCCCCGGATCTAACTGCAAGTAAAACATTGCAGTCCGTTCTGTTGCACAATTTGGAATAGAACATGCTCTCTGCGATGTTCAGAGTCCTCTCTTGTAACGGCACTTGGAAGATGCGTACAAGAAAGCAAGGTGAGTGAGAACTACCCGTATCTGGTGTGAGGCGGAATTCTCACAGATGTGCGCCGGAAAGTTTCGCCAGAGAACAGGCAAGAGGTGCTTCTCGTGCAATCCTCGCATGATCATTTGACGGAGAGCCTCCCGATTATGGACGCACGCGTTGCCGGCGCAGGGCAATGCGCTGCGGTGACAATGTACACCTGGAGAGAACGCCTTCTCGCCCTAAGTGGGAGGCTGGAAGTCCACAAGCTGCGGTAGCGCAATGCACTTGGGAATGTGGTGGTAGATCTCTTACCGCAAAGAAGACACCTGTGAAGATATAGGGTACTCTGACGCCGCGAGCGAGAGCAAGGAACGGAAGACAAGACAGGGAGACGAAGCGCGCAGCACGGCAGGCGTCTCTCCTGAACAGCGCGAGCGACACGGAACGATGGCCCGGGGAGGCTAGCGACACTTGTGTGGCGACTTCAACGAAGGCAGATCAAACGGGCCGACGTGGAGTTGGATATAGCACAAGGCGTCAGCAAGATATCAAATAGCCATCTGCGGCAGGTGCGCGGTCATATACGCTCATTAAGATTGCTAATCTCTAGCTGCAGCACAGAGTCACAACTCCCCTTCCTACTATAAAGCCCTTCCTAGCTCTATAATCCCGGCCACCTCGCTTCTCCTGTCTCTTCCATCACACGTCCGGCTCTCCTACGTCTCGGCAAAGACCTCTAGTATAATGCCTCCTCGTCGGGCTACAGGCAGTGGTCGCGGCAGCAGTCGCGGGAGGGGTTCGCAGGCTGGTGGGGGTACATCTGGTCGAGGTCGAGGTGGCCGAGGTAGCGCTCAAGGCGATCCTTTAGGTGGGAGTGATCGTAGTGGCAGCCGCTCTAGAGGTCGCGCTACTGGCATATCTACAGATGTTAGTCGCATCTCCGCAAGTCGTATGCCAGACATCAGCGAACATATCTCGACTATCGGGGTCAGGAGGCCATCCTATGGCGAGAGTGGTCGCCATCTGGTCGTCTGGACCAATCATTACGAGGTGAAGATACCGGAGGCCAATATCTACCACTATGATGGTGTGTTCATCTTCGTAGGGTTCGAATTACTGACGTACTTAGAATGGCCATGCCCCCGCTTAGTCGGTGTGTATAGCTCTCTACTTATGGTTCGCTCTCGTCATATTGACAGACGCTTTGTGAAAGCAATCTCGCCCTCCGAAAAGCCGTTGCCTGCCCGGTTGAACATGGAGATTGTCAAGAGGCTCCAATGTGATATTGCTCCGGAAATATTCACGCCTCGTGCCGTTTACGATGGCCGCAAGAATATGTTTACGTCCCATGAGCTGCCGTTTCCAGACGGGGCACAAGAGGTATCTTATTCATGTTCCATCGTGTGGTAGTTTGAGTATAACCCTCGCTAACCTCACTTCTGATGGAATAGTTTGGCTTCACCCTCACGGATCGAGCATCATCGGGCGAAGCCACTGGAGGCGGCGAGGGAAGGCGCGGTCCAAAGATCTACAATGTCAGACTAACACATGTTGCTACTATCAACCCTGAGTAAGTCTTTCACCATTGCCCAAGGTATAAGCATTGTTTGACCAACTCTGTCAAGGGTGCTCGCGCGTTTCCTACAGGGTAGGCAGTCACATGACAATGCGGTCCTCACTGCAACCACTGTGGGTCATCTAGACATTATTTACCTCATCTTTCCGCTTACGATATCCTGGCCTGTCTCAGGCCCTGAACGTAGCTATTCGCATGGAGCCCACCATGCGCTATCCCTTCAACGTTCGTTCCTTTTTCACTAACAGGGAGACATCTGCTATTGGTGCCGGCATCATCCTCTGGCGAGGGTACTTCCAATCCGTCCGACCAGCGGCTGGTCGTATGTTGATCAATGTAGACATCTCTACTGCGGCTATGTATAGGCCAGGATCCGTCATCGAGGTCGCCCTCGAATTCCTCAACATGATGCAAAGAGGCCCGCTCGCCCTCTCCCCGAACCACGGCCTCCCTGACCGTGAGCTTATTAGGCTGCAGCGGTACCTTTCGGGAGTCCGCGTCAATATAGAGATTCCAGGACAGTCATCTGTCTCTCGACGCCCACCTCGCCCCATCAAAAAGCTCACTAGGACGGGCGCAGGTCATCTCGAGTTCACAATGCGCGACGGCCAGACTGTAACAGTCGCTCAATACTTTGAAATGACCCATAACTACAAGCTGCGCTGGCCCGATATTGTGTGTATCGAGGTATGTCGTTGTCCTCAGCAACATATGGAGGTGCTATTGTTCAACTTGATCTCCGTAGTTCGGTTCGGGCGCGATCATCCCGATGGAATGTTGCATCATTCCGGAGGGTCAAATCATGCGCAAACAAATCCCGCCAGAAAGAATGAAAGATGTTCTGAACTTTGCGACGAAACGGCCCCACGAACGGCTTCAGAGCATTCGCCAGGCCCTTGAAGTCCTTGACTACGGACAGTCCGAATACCTTCGGGTAAGTAGAACAATCCTCAGTCGTGATAGCAGCTTCTCACCCGATATATTTGTGCAAGCACTTCGGCATGGAAGTCAGTCCGAATGCGGAGGTTGAATCGATTCAAGCACGTATACTTGACCCGCCGACCCTGATGTATGGTCAAGGAAGCCGTCAGCCTACCATCGTAAGTCCGTGTTTATCTGCACCTGCATGCAACTCATGTCATATCTTCCTCGAAGACGCCCCGCGATGGCGCGTGGAACATGGTTGACAAGAAGCTCTATCGGCCTGCTGCTATAAATAGATGGGTCATCGTGATTTACGAGCGCGAGCAGCGCTTCAACAGGGCCGCCGCACAGGAACTGGCTAGGAATTTTCTGGGTGCCTTTGAAGCCGTCGGTCAGTTTTCGTCACTCATCCGCCTTGTTGTGCCTATTCTAATTGCTCGTAGGCGTGAATGTCACCGAGAATGATCCAGTGATAATCCACGATCAGCCGCAGCGGATTTATGACGTGAGTCAGTATCCCCATCCAGCGACTTCCGTGATACTGATCGGCCGTGTTTCCTTAGTCGCTCCAAGCTTCCGGGAGGAGATGCATCGAGAAGCACAACGGCAAGGGTCCTGGACCCGACCTCATTGTCGTCGTTGTTCCCGAGTCATCAGCGGATGTGTACCAGGCTGTTAAACAGTAAGTGTTATTTACGCTCTCCTTCTACAACCTTCTTGCTCATATCACATAGTTTTGGTGACGTTCAGCGCGGTGTTGCGACACAATGCCTGAAAAGTTACAAGTGTAAGGGGGCGAACAGGCAGTATTTCTCAAATGTCGTACTCAAGTAGGTTGTTCGATATCTTTGTGTACGAATTCCTGCTGATACGGGTCGCATAGGATCAATGTGAAGTTGGGCGGCGTCAACGTCATTCCTGACCCACGTTCGGTGTCCGCCCTCACTGACCCGCACAACCCCACGATCGTGATGGGTGCCGACATCATGCACCCTGCTCCCGGGGCTGACGGTCGTCCCTCCTTCACAGCACTAGTGGGAAACGTGGACCACGAGACGGCCAAGTACATCGCCGACTGCCGCATACAGACTTCGCGTCAAGAGATGATCGATGATCTCGAGTCCATGGCTACTGCGCACATCGAGATGTACAAGAAGTACCGCGCTGTTGTGGAGAAGAAGTTTCCGGCTGATCCCACGCGACTAATCTTCTTCCGGGACGGCGTATCTGAAGGGGAGTTCAAGCAAGTCCTGGAATACGGTGTGTTGCCCTTTCTATTTGCTCTGGCGGACCTTTCTCTCACCCACGTCCGACCCTAGAACTACCTCAGTTGAAAAGTATGCGAGCTCCGAAAGGGCTCTTTACACGCCTTGGAGTCTGACGCCTTCGTTCGTTTGCTTTACAGGGGCTCTTGCGAATAACAATGTAGACGCCAAGATCACTGTGGTCGTCGTGGGCAAGGCCCATCACGTTCGTTTCTTTCCAAAGAGGCGAGAAGATGAGGATAGAAGTCGGAATTGCCCAGCGGGAACTGTGGTGGACCGGGACATCACACATCCCACGGAGTTTGACTTCTATTTGCAGAGCCACGCTGGATAAGTACCTTCACTCCGTGCTCAATCATTCCTCGACTCACACGATCTCTTTTGGGTATATACAATTCTCGGAACGTCTCGTCCGGCACACTACAATGTGCTCTACGACGAGAACAAGTTCACGCCTGACGCACTCCAAGCGCTGTCGTTCGCGCTGTGCCACGTCTACGCCCGCTGTACGCGCTCCGTATCGATCCCTGCCCCGATCTACTGTGAGCGTCGTTGCTATGCTGGGAACTGACCTTCGCCAACGACTGACAACCTCGTCTGCCACTAGATGCGGATCTTGTATGCTCGCGGGCTAAGAACCACTACAGTCCGGACGGCGACTTTGACCTGACGGGTTCAGGCACGCAGCTAGCGTCGAGCGATGCGCGTGGCCAACTTGAGTCCTACCGGGAGAACTTTAGGCCCCTGCACGAGAAGATGAGGAGGCTCATGTACTTTAGTTGAAATTACGGCCGCCTTCGCCAGCGTCTCCAAGTTGGGAAGTGCCGGGGTTGTATTGTCATTGACCGCGCAGTGTCGTCCTCTTGTAGGAATTCAGGCATTACTGTATCCCGTTCACGTGCTGCATTCCCTGTTTCTGTGCCGAGATCGTTTTTTCTTCAGTTACATTTGTCGTCTTGCATCCCGTGGTCTGTTAACCAGTCTCGCGGTTCACGCAACACTCTGTCGGGTGTCCTATTGTAGTCAACATGTACTGGAATTATCGCGTATAAACCCAGAGTGTCCATCTTAAAACTAATACTGCAATTCCCGATCAAGAGGCACCGTTGGCAAATGGCGAGGCTGCAGATGAAACAGGCTGGATATGCGACATGCATTGTCTCTCTCCTTGAATGCAAGCCACAGTTCACCATTAGCCCTTCATCAACATGAAACGCACCTCAAGCTTAGCTCGTAGTAGTAGCTCGTCTTGCCATGTTCCCGGGGTCCATCAATATCGGCAGCGGCATCGCTGACGCTAGCCTACGGCCCTAACGATTGCGCGCTTATTGGGCGGTCCTGGCTCCTTGTCTTGCCAGTGAATGGCCCATCCACACGATCAGCTCTGCCACGCCCCAGCGAAGCGTTGTCACCTATACTTCCTTCTCCTTGTGCCTGTGCTACGCCGTAAACATGGTAGCGAATGAAAGATGTTACAATCCTCTCCAGGCTATGGCGGCCCTCCACACATCACTATATGCGTTCCCCGCCTATCAGTACCTAGGTCGAGTCCAAGTCTGGGATCCAAGCCGTGGCATGCGAAGCGCCGGCTACCCTTTCTCTAGAAGAACGATTATTGGTACGATCTGGCATTTGGAACGGGAGAGACTCGCTCGTGACATATGTGGCAAGCACACGCAGGCGCAGTGTGGAATGAGGAGACTGAAGTCGCCATGTATGGGTGAGCGACCACTATCTATGAATGTACGATGGCCCCCAATTCAAAAGCCGGCACCACGCCACGTCTGTTCAGTCCCCAGGAACATCGCCCTCGACACTCATTCTCGCCGAAATCGATTTTCCCGTTCACGCGGTCACGAGGGGGGAGGATGTGTGCATGTACCCATGGTACGTCTTACCTCCCAGCAGCGAGCTCGACATTACGCTAGGTGGGTCCCACAGGTGGAAACGTACCTGCAGATGAGAGCGAGCGGAAGGTAGGGGCAAGCGGCGCGCGTGAATGATCCCGATGAATGTGCCAATGGGGACGATATCCTCCTGCGCCGAAGACCCTACGAAGACCTGGTACTAACCTGGAGCTTAGGATGACCGGAAGGGCGACAGATACGGGGACTTCCTCCCGCGTCTCGATCCCCTGCACCCAAGACTGTACATGCCGGCACTCCGAGCCTATCTCTTCTACCCACGAACGCAGGAACGGCTGGATGTCATGGTATTGCCATTTGCGCAGCTGCACAGCGTGGAGGATATGGTCGAGAAGTGTTGCGGAGAGCACAAGGATCGTCCGCTCGCGGCCTCGGTACGCCATTCTCATCAGTCATACTCACTCGTACCGTTCCTCAGCGTGTCAAGCACTTCCAAACCGACTTCAGCCCACTTCCCATTTTCATGTTGAGTTCCTTGATGTTCCACTTGGCTTTGTTCTTAACCTGCGATACACCCAGAATCACCATCATGTGCGCGACTTCAGGCGTCGAAGTACGCTACAGAATAGTATGCAGCATAAACTCGCCAGATAGAGCAGATGCGTCCACGACAAGTACTGTACCCTGGTTCTCCAGAGCGCCTGAGTCGTTCCTCTTGCAGCCAAAACACAACAACGCAGACCTCGTATTGAGGTGCATATCCTCCTTATCCATCGGAAAACCTCCCGCTGACAGGATGCCCACCCCGATCTCCACGAACTCCATTGTCGTGTCATACAAAAACCCTTCGTCTAGGTATTCTTCATCAGTCATCGTCATAGAACCGTCCAGGACGATGACTTTGAGGTCCTTGTCCGGGATTGTAGAGGCATCCAGGTCGGCGCAATGGGGGTTGTCGAGCAGACTCGTGGCGAACAAGATCATCAGCCTAGAGTCACCGCCCATCATTCCACGCATCACTCCGAGACTTCTTGACTGTCTGCGCGCGACGTCTTTCCAAACACGAAACCGCTCCGTCCTTGCGCGCATCGTCGTCCCGATCGTTCGAGAGAACTTCGCGTCGGTGATCGTAACTTCTTCCATGGTAATGCCGACGATGGGATGCGAGTTGTAGATGCGAGGAAGGGCCGAGTCTCGATTGGCAGAGATATTAGGACCCCAGTCCGTACAGAGCACGGAGGCCAGTGTCTGGGAGGGCATCGCTTCAAAGACAGCCAGGCGGGCGTCTTCGGCGGAGAGGGAGTATGACACGGGAAAATCCTCCATGTCTAAGATTCCGAGGATCGAGTAGAGCATATCGACGGCAAGCGTGGCCTGGCGGCCTCCGTGCAACATGAGGGGGGTTCTTATCTTCTCTAGGGGAGATGACGTTCCCTGCCGTAGGGCAAAGATGGATTTGTACAGGCTAGTTCGCCCTATGGCCCGTCGACTGTTGTCCCAACGTTGGTGCCTCTCTATCTCGATCCCGAAAAAGGCGTGGGTAGGAAGACCACCATCCCAGGACTCGTTCTCCAGAACGCACGTCGTAATATGCTCTGTGCTCTGCCAGAGCACGCAGATCATGCCTGACTCCGTCTGCATGCCGTCCGCCTGGGTCACCATGCGGCCACCCAGTGCCCATGGAGGCAAAGACGTGGAGGTCGTGGACGGAGTGAGACCGATGACCTCGTCAGTCATGTCCCCTTCGAAGAGGTATACAAAAGTGACGGAGCGCGACAGAATTTGCTCTTGGAGTGTCCATGCCCTCGACTCCCAGATCGGGAAGTACAGTTCGGGTGATTCCAACGTAGAAAGGGGACTGGTGCCGGTGGGATATGCGTGAGTGGCGGCGGCACTCGAGTATAGTGTTCCCATCTTCGAAACGAAGAATTGCTTCTCCTCGAGGACGTCCTGGTCGATACAGACGATGTCCATCCAGAAGTACTGATAGCCGGTTATCATGACGTTGAGAGCGATCTGTGCGAGAAACCTCTGACCTTCGATCGCAGAGGCATCGTCAATCAGAGTGTCCAGGGTTAGGGTGGAGAAGAACAAGGAGCCGAGCGCCAGCTTCGTTTCGTAGTTGAGATCACTGTCGTGAGCGTTGCCATACTCCACAATCTGCGCCCTCCAGTCGGTGACTGCCTTGGTCCATCGGTAAGAGATGGCGACAAATGGCTTCTCTTGCAGGCTAGACACTTGTACAAGCTTGAGCACGCCACTGCTCACAAAGATGTTGGCGTCAATGAGCCTCCATTTGTACGACGGATCCCTCATTGGCTCTCCCGTCGATGGCGATGGGGCTGCTATTCGGTTGGAAAACGTCAACCAAAGAAACTATGCGAAATTTAGAATAGATGCTCACAGTCAGGTTGGCTGACGATGTTTGGAACGGGCTGGCGAGGGCCTGCCTCCCCTCGATCACGCTCATCGTCAGGAACAGCGCTAGATACGTCGAACCCAGAACCAGCGCGGGAGATAGATTGCCACGTTTCAGAGTCTGTTGACTGCTGCGAGCAGTCAGTCCTTGTAAGCGCTGTTGAACGTGTGGATCAGGATTCACCTGACGGCATATGTTGCAGAGCGTCAGCAACTTTGCGAGGTAAACTCTCATCTTGCCCGTCACTCTCGTCAGTGGGTTCGTATTCGATGGAGAGTCAGCACTTTTAGGCAAAGCCACAAGTTCCTGAGGGTTCGCCAACTTGATACCTCCTAGGGGTGCTACGTCCATGTCTCTGTGCTCGCAGAGGTCTTCTACTGAGACGGGGGATGCGATAGGTTCGATCTTGAACGGTCTGATCTCCACCATCAAAGAGAAGTCAATGCGGAGGCTTCTGTGGATATCTGGACCATGCAGGGTCCTAGAAAGCTCTGAAGAATGGCTTCAAGCTGGGTTTACCATTCACGCAAACAGAGGTCCCCGTACCTTGTCCTTCATCCGCATCATACAGTAGCGCCATGTCTTCTTGATGTTCCCCTATGACAGTGTGGGTCCATCCGGGTGATTTCCTAGTTATGGCCCTGAACGTGATCCAGGTATCAAACAGGGGACTATGAACTGGTAGTGAGGTCAGGTAATAGGAGAAAGGAAAAAGGTTCGCCCACAACTCCAAGGTTTCGTTGCAGTATGCATGATCACCGTGCACGCTTCTCTGCGTCTTCTTCGTGATACAGCCGACCTTCACTTGCACATAGGAATCCCATTCTGCAGGTACTAACCCGTAGAGTCGAAGGACTGCAAGCGGCAAATCAAGGCCATGAGCCGCATATCAAAACGATGAGGATTGTTGCCTCACTTTTGACGTGGAGCAGTGTGCTGAGCGACATGGTGATACTGTCGGCATTACATTGCATAGAAAAAGGTGCTCTACTAACTCACCAGGTTCTAATTCCATCTCGTTCAGTTTCGCCGCTCTTATCCATTGTTTAATATCCTTGTGACTTTGATTGGACAAGGACGGTATCGATACACATAGAGTAGTTGGATTGCGCTACAAGGCTTCAGTGAGTTGGTATGCAATGAAGGTGGAGTCTAATGGAGGGCCCCAGCAGCGAAAGAGCCACACCACTAGTGGCACTAGCTGCAAGCATCCACCACGATGACACATTGCAGCCGAGTTTCACGTCGGATTGATCACATGAAACTGTCACAGAAGCGCAAAATGCATGCTGCCTAAGACGGAGATGAATGCTAGACGGGGACACTCGGGGAAGCTTGAGCTCGCATCTGTAAAGTTTGGAAGGTATGCCAGCCAATCCGTACTCTCGAGATAAGGATCCATCCTCCAGGCCAACAGGATTCAATTCTCTCACAGAGCTCTTCCCTGTTAATACTCACATAAATGCTCAGGAAGCTTGTCTCGGCGTGGCACCGATCCCCACCTCGTGTACATTGCGCTGATTGAGACCACCCTCGGAAGCTTTTTGAACAACGTGCATGTCTTCTCTTCGCAGAGTGTTCCAAGGTTCAAATGCTACAGAAATAATTTGAGGAGCTATGTGGAGAAGCCCCATGATAAGCTGTGCACACGTTGGTAGGATGGATCTGGGTGCGCACCCCCGGGCCCAAATGCAGGATGTCCGCCTGTAGGATAAAGCAAATTCCTTGCAGGATTCTCCAAAAAGTTGTAATTTTTTCTAGAGTATACTAGTAATATATTGCAGCATCAAGAGCCACAGACGCACTCCGAGTCATGGATAGACTTTGCCGAGAAGTTCATCCGGACGGGTGGAGAGTTCATATTGAACCTGGGCTGTGGAACACCAGCTGTGGGGCATGCCGCAAGACTGTGGAGAGCGGAAAGAGGCTGTACGTACAAGAAATGAGGTCTAGATCTGTCTTGTACGAAATGCACGAGGCGATGAGTGGAACGGCGAATGACATTGGTGATAGATCTCGACAGCCTGAGAAGGTGGACTCTGTCCGCCAGCGTCTACTACTACCGGCTATCACCGGACGTGCATTGGCGCTAGGTAACACTGGCTCAGATTGCCCCGTATCCGCGAATATGCACCTTCATACTCTTCGCGGCATGTCTACTCGAGCATAGGAAGTGGTAACGGAGATAAATAATATATCTACGCATTCGCGTTCAGGGCACTCGTCTGATACTAGTCACTGGTACACAGTTTCACGCTCAGAATAGCACTATCACTACTAGCCCCTTCCCATTGAATCAGGCTCGATCATATGTCTCCAAGCAGGCGATACACAGAGGCGCACTGAACCATGCCGGATATGATGAAGCTACTGATCTCCGTAGAAAGCGCGCATCCCAAAGCTATAAATCGGCAAGTCAACCCCCACTTCCGCACGCGCTCACGTATATTTGCATCGCTCCGCTTTAACCTGACCATGCCTGTGACCTTCAACGTCGCGCAGCACGATGCAGACTCTGCTATCATTGCAGAAGGCTACGCGAGTCCCACAGAGAAGGATATCCTCAAGAGTATCTGTCACAGAGAACAGTGGAAGGAGGTTGGAGAAATCCTGCAGTCTTCCGTACCCAAAGACACTTTGGAGTCCTCCGTAATGACACCTGCGAAGAATAGGTTTGTGAGCACGGTGATTGAGGCGTATGGGAAACATCATCATCTGAAGATCCGGTACTCCATCATCATGCATGTCATGGAGATGCGCTAAAGCCCTACTGCACTACCGTAGACCAGACGACGTTTGGATTGCGATACTGTCCCAGCTCAGTTTCTCGTACGTCACCGCTACCTATAAGCACTATCATTGTCTTGCTGTTTCTATCCTCTTTGTAGCGTAAATAGGCACTCCGAAGAGCTGCGCAACTACTTTGTTGCACACGAGGGAAAGAAGGAACTCATGGTAGAGAGACGCGGTCGAGATGTCAATCGTTACACCATCGACTTCGCTTCCATCGCGCGAGACATGTCGGGAGAGATTGACAAGCACGTGCGTATATGCGTCCTCCTGATGTGATCCCTGCCAGTCAATCCTGAACTAAGAATCGTGTCCCGCCGGTCGTTGACAAGACCCTAGTCAAATGGATACTTCCCGACTTCAGTACGTCTACGTGGCAGGACGTGACAATATGCTCTGTTCAGCTCATGTCAACACTCAAGTCGTATGTATCTCGACTCCAATCCGAATCTATGTTACCGGCCACGCGCTGACATATTCATGCTTTACAGCTATTTCTCATACAAGGCTAGGCTCCTGTGCGGCATCCCTTCGGTAACGCTCGAAGGCGAAAAGGCAGACTGGGAGCGGCTTCCCAAGCGCCTAGATCGCCTGCCCGAACTGGGAGAGGAGCCCGAGCGGTGGGCCTCGATGCTCCGCCCGATCCTGCGCCGTTTTGTGGACGCGTTGTACGGGCGGCCGGACGCGACGTTTTGGGAGCACGTTGTGCACCGCGAAATCCCGCATTTGTGGGTCTGGATCGCAGAAGGAGCACCTACTTTCGGGGTGGATCACCGCGTTCTGCGTGTGGGACACGAAGGGGACGTGGCTTGCGGGTCCGCGTCCGGACCCCAAGGGCCATTCCGCCATGCGCGCGGTCAGCACTGCTATAGGGAGAGAGATGACCTCTGCCGGTGAGTGTTGTATCCCAGAATAGTATATGCTTCTTGCTCATTGTTGAATTGACAGGGGGGCATGTGTGGAATCTCGTAGCTCCCAGTCGTGCGTTCCGGGGAAACAGTGACTCGGACTACGTACTGGACGGCGTTGAGTACTTCACACTCGACATGGACGACGTGGCTGAGGGCTACTGCGAGGTAGACGTGCTTCTGGATGACAACGGAGAGGAAATCAAGTGTAAGATGCTCTCCGGCCACGTCGCGATGACTATATCGGAAGGACAAGAGGGCTCAGGATCATATGATACACTGAGCCCTGCTCCGCAGTGGTTCTTGTATGTCAAGCAGCCCCTAGAGCTTGAAGCCTGAAGACAGTATGGCGCGCAGTGAGGAATGATGCGATGTCGATGAAGGAGGACTGCTGTGGAGGTATGATTTGTCAGGAGTAAAAAGGTGTAGTGAGATTACGACCTGTAGTTACCTGAAATCGAGCTTAGTGGATGACGGTGACCCAGAAACGCAGAGCCGGTTGAGGTACATAGATTTGTAGCAATAGCGTGCTGGTCTACTAGTGAAAGACAGGCCCGAACGTTGTACGCACGCAAGGCTCGAGCGCGCTTGCTTTGTGGTCAGAGTTATCAGTGTCAGCGTGTTACAAACGCTATCATATCTTGAGAAACTCACCAGGTTTCTGTACGAGCCTCAGCTGCAGTATCGGCGTTCGGGTCCATGATCTGCGCTCTCGCGACACTGCTCCGCTTCGGGATGATACTATGGTGTTCAAACGATCAGCTGGCAAGTCGGGTAGCGGTGTCTCAGCTCGGAACTGACGGACCGCATGAGACAGTGTCGGAATCGGACGAGTGAGACCGGTTGCGCTTCACTCGGTGCAACCGTTGTGGAAGCATAATCCGAGAAAAGTCCCGGAAGTCAAATAGAAAGGTCAGCAACCAGGTCGCAGGCACGCACCTCTCCACATGGCAGTTGAACCAAAGTTCAACGTCAACGTTCAACTCGCGGGTCGTCGGAGAATTCCGGAGGTCGTGAGGACCCCGCTGCGAACATATAGAAGGAGCGCGGACTCAGAGCAGTTGAGCACGATTGCAGCGAGCATGAAGCGATGTCTCCGCATACACATGGTTGGGGAAAATGTACCTGCGGTGCAGTGACGATGGCGATCACAGTTGAGATGGGCGTGGGCGCTACCCTTTGGTTGTGTCGGCACAAGGCTCAAGCACTCGGCCGGCCCTGGGCCGACGGCAGCTCACCAGTACTAGTACTGCCAGTGGACGGTGCCGGATTTTCTCTCTCTCCCGTCATTCCATGCAGTGTTGAGCCTCCGCCTTCCTCGTGTATCTCAAAATTGACCTATATTCTCTGTCTTTCTTCCTGTCGTTCCTCGTATCTCTGTTGTCTCATACCGCAGCATTGCCATCCGTGCTCAAGTTCGCAAACATCATTCAAGGAAGTACAACAATAGCCTTCACGAGGTATTGGTGAGCCTCGCAATTTCCAACTCCAGAGATCTCCGCTGCCCGCACTCAGAGCGATGCGTAAAAATGGCCGTTTTGTAACGCCGCCAGGCGGACGATCGCATACTCTCTGGTGCAGACCTGCAGTGGTACGCACTCTCCACAAATCTGCTCCTGTCCTCTCTGTATAATTGGGTGACGCGATACAAGTGCAGGACGTACATGCTGTCATTGAGGATGCTCCGTGCGAACGCATGAGCGGCTCAATGCCATGGTGTGGTCTTCCGAGGCCGGCATACCGGGTACCTTTGCGAGCGTCTTGTCAATCTCCTATCGAGGGCCCCGGTTCTGCCACGCCCACAAGTATAAGTCAGTGCTCGATGTGACAAGGGTCAAAGCCCTCGTCGAATGGGTCCTTCCCGACTTCACTGCCTCTACCTTGCAGAACGTGACGGCCTACTCCGTTCAGCTCATGTCAACGCTGAAGCCGTACGCATAACAACCGACGACTCAAAATCTGCTAGGTGCTTGTAGCTTGCACTACCCGAATCTGAGATCCCTAGCGTGTGCTAGCTTTTTAGCAGGGAAAGCTAGTTTGTCACCCGGGAGACCCGTTGATGGGAGCTAGCGTGAGCTCACCTTGGGCTCTAGCACACCTTCCTTTGGGCGCAGATACATCTTGTCAGTACTGTGCGATGTAAAGATATCCAAAGAGGGAAAACCAGACTCCAAATTCGCTCTGTCCATATATCGACTAGGACCGAATCGCATGCTTCCCCTTGTTGTACAGCTACTTCACGTTCAAATTCATTCTCGGATGCCGCATCCCTTCCATAACGCTTGAGGGTGAGGAAGCAGATTGGGAACCGCTCTACAAGCGTTTCAATCGCCTTCTTGAGCTCGACGCAGAACCTGAGCAATGGGCCATGATGCTTCGTCCTATCCTGCGTCGTTTCATCGATGGAAGGCCCGGTACGACGTTCTGGGAACACGTCGCTCACCGTAACTCTTAAGGATCTTGCGGATCCGGTCCGGGGCCACGGTATTTGCCTTCAGGGTGGATTGCCGCGTTTTGCGTGTGGGACAAGGAGGGGACGTGGCTCGCCGGCCTGCAGCCCCTGTGTGAGGAAATCCCGGGATGTCTCGCTATGGGGAGGAGCGTGATGACTTTGACCGGTGGGTGCTGAGTGCCTTCCCTGCGAATACCCTCTACTTCTCTGCTGGTCACTGATCGGACTTGGACTCGCTCGCGGACGCCGGCAGCTCTTCCGTTCCGACATAACTCGGAGAGCGCAGAGTACGTGCTGGACGGCGTGCGGTACTTCTCGCTCGACGTGGACAAGATCCCCGAGGGGTTCTGAGAAGTCGACGTGCGCCTTGTTGACAATGGAGAGGAGTTCAAGTGCAACATGCTGCCGGGATATGTCGCAGCCAACGTCTCGGAGGCGCAGGAGAGTTCCGGTCCTGCTCCGCAGTGGTTCTTGTACATCAAGGCTGAGGAGCCTTGATTCGCTTGATGGCTAGGTACTTGGGGTGACAGAATGTCAATTTTGTTGGACACGTTCGATAAATTACGAGCCTACTGCATAGATATGCGCCGTTCGCGATCGCAAGCGTGGCTCAGGCGGGATTTACAGAACCTGGACGAACAAATATATTTTGAGCATCACATCGAATTAACGCCAAGGTGCAGAGTCGATCCACCAGCAATTCCTAAGGCATGCTTGACATCCCTCAGGAGGTCTATGAGACTGGGACGGACCACTGATACTAGAAGTACTTACTACATAGTCGCAATCGACTCTCGAGGAATCACTGCTGGTGAACGAGCTCATTCGCCTCGCGGGCGCTTCTCTTGTCACATGATGGGATTTCTTGGTGAGCGCCCTAGTGGCCTCTCTCTCGTTCTCGCCCTCATCGTCTCAAACAGCCTGTAGCCCGTTGTTGCCCTCGAGCATTGTCAAGCTGCTCTCTCACACTCCAGTGTCTGCTCGCCAAGCCTTACGGCTCAGCTGTCTCATGCCACGGCATCGCCGCCCCCACGCAACGTCTGGACGCCACAGGATGTACGCGTCTGAGGCTACCGCAGCACACAGCGAGGGTGAGGCATCCCAAATGCCACCCTCGTCCTCCCAAACGTCTCACAATGACAATGGTTCGTCCGTCACTTTACCAGACCACCTCTTACCGTCGACCCATCATCTCGCGGCCACGAAATCGCAGGGGGTATGCGCGACGCTAAACGCCGCAAGTACGGAACCGACCACGACCAGCGAGGCCTTGGTGAGCCTAGCAGTATTCGACCCCTGAGGTCACCGCCACGCGCCCCCAGAGCTATGCGCGATGATGCGCGCTCCGTGACCCCCCCTCTATCGCAGGCACCGTCCTCGAGTTACCTCGCACTGGCGGAGCAGGATCCTTCCCGCGTCGAAGACTCTACGCGTTCACGAAAACTGCTTGTCCTCGATCTAAATGGCACTCTGCTACATCGCTCTCCCCATAACTTCCAACCGAAGAGTAGATATCGCCCTGGAGTTCAGGAGGACAGAAAGCGCGACAGACACGGGAACTTCCTCCCGCGTCTCCGTCCCGTGCATCCAAGACCGTACATGCCGGCTTTCAGAGACTACCTATTCCACCCGGAGACGAAGGAGTGGCTGGATGTCATGGTGTGGTCATCCGCGCAGCCGCACAGCGTGGAGGACATGGTCGAGAGGTGTTTCGGAGAGCACAAGGATCGTCTGCTCGCAGTGTGGGCGCGAGATACGCTCGGATTGTCTAGCGATCACTACTGTGAGTTACCTATATCGTCCACGCAGATCAACCGACTGATGGCGCATACAGTCCGCAAAGTACAGACGATCAAAGACCTCGCCAAGCCCTGGTCCCTCCTCTCTCCCAAACCCACTCTTCCTAATCCCCCATCTTCTCCGCGTCCATCCATCGCGAGTACCCCCCGCAGCTCCCCGGAACGTTCCAGCCCTTCTCGGCCGAGCGACGACAGCACACGTCCTCCTGACGTCGACGTTTCCGCTCAAGCGCACTCGGCACTGACGACGCTCCTCCTGGACGACTCCCCACGTAAGGCGGAGCTGCAGCCCTTCAACCACGTCTGCATCGGGGAGTACTCCGGGGAGCAGCGGGTCAAAGACCTCGACAGCCTCCAGAAGGAGCAAGACTGGGATGCTGCCCTCGACGCGCGCAGGCGGCTGCAAGCGCACATCGCAGAGACCGCCGCTGCCTCTGCCTCTGCCTCTGCCTCTGCCTCTGCCTCTGCCTCTGCCTCCGCCGCCGCCGCCGCCGCCGCCGAAGCGGCCGGCGAGACCCTTGAAGCGAGCGGCGAACAGGCCACCGCCACGGTAGCCACAGAATCCGATGCGCCCCCGGCCGAGTCGCCGAAGAAACGGAAGCGAAAGGAGAGGAAGCTCGAGAAGCGCGCCGCGCTCCTCGAGCAGATCGCCAGCGGCAGTGCGATGCCCGACGTCGTTTATGACTCGACGCTCCTCGCCGTCATTGGTGTCCTCGACGAGGTCAAGTCGCAGGCGAACGTCGCTGCTTGGATCCGTGCGGGAGGACTCTGGGGTCCGCACGGACCGCCTTCGGAGAAAGGGCCACATGAGGTCGGAGTTGTCGAGAGCCGGGCTGCTCCACACTCTTCGGCTGAAGCCGCGTCGAATGGGAAGGGCGTCAGAAAGAGGGAAGATGAGGAAGGAGCGCAGTCGGACGACAGTACGCTCTCTGTGGACAAGGGCAAGTCGTCGAAGGGCCAGAAGCGCCCGAAGAAGCGTCAACGCGTGCGCGGGCCCACTCCCGATCCCGGGACCGAACGGACAGGACACGCGGATGAGGACGTCGCCGCGGTGGGGAACGACGAGGCTACCGCTGTTCCGACGTCGTCGCTGCTCTCTCCCCTGGCCGCAGCGAAACCGGAGCCGGAAGAGCAGAAGATGTGGTTCGAGCACGCGGATGTGCTAGCGTACTGGACTGGGAGGGGGAGGAAGGCGCTGGAGGAGTTGGGCATCCCGGTCGAGCATGGGATTGAGCGGTGACGACAGTAGGTGAGCGGAATACGCCACGGGAGCTCCGAAGATCTTTCTCATACCGTCGCTTTTCATTCAAGGTCGATGTTCACACCTTGTACTATCTTGAGCTGCTCTTGTCATTGCTTTGAATCATGCTATCCTATGCAGCCTCTGAAGTCATCCGCACATTGATAATAAGGTCATTCTTTCGCACATACGAGACCGCTACAGGTCGGGGTCACAGGAATCCAAGACATTTGATACGCCGTGAGTGAGTGGCAGGAGTCGGGACCAGGATAGGCCGGGTGCTGAGTGCCGATTTCCTGTCAAGTACAGGTGTTTCATACAACCGAAACGACTTTTCCTTTGAACCCATCATAGAATCGTCAGCACAGCCGCTCACGCCCTGGTGCGGCGCCTTTCAGTGTGGCCTCGTTCTGCATAATCGTGACCCAGTCGCATATCGGGTCCATTCAGCCCCTCTCATTCAGGGTGCCGAGCGAACTTGAGCTTCTTTGACTGGTGTACTTTACGGTAGTCGCCGCAGAAAGTGCTGGACTGTGAGTGCAATGCTTCCCACTGTGTCATCTTCTGCTGCATGTGGATGGACTAGGGTAGGATGATTCCGCGCGTCAATCAATGCTCGAACATGGTGACACAGCTGCACTTCTCGAAAATCGGACACCGCCAAACTACTTGTGAGCGTTCTCTCTATCATCTGACATAGTTATGCCGCACGTCACCCCAAAAGTTGACACATCACAACAACGGCTCATAGTCGTTCGCCCGTCGGACGACGGCTCCAGGACCAGTGTCATATACTCGACGCATACAACCTCATGTGCATGTGTTCGCAAATCCATTCGTCAATGGTTTTCGGGGCATGTAATCGGAAGTTTCTTGAATATTAACTTGGGCAATCTTCGGAAATCCCGGTCTCCATATGAATTGGCACTCTGAGACGCGTCACCTGATGCTCTCTCCTCTACACTAGAAGCTACTCTTCGGCGACCGTTGTCATGGGCGGCCCTTTTCGACAATGAATACGCATACATTCAAAGGGTGTCTTCGGGAGAAACTCCGACATTTCGTCTTCAGGTGCCCTGGTCAGAGGGTGATACGATCACGTTCCGGCTTCGAAGACATGTCGCGACCATGTATAAAGCGTGATCCCAAAGGTTTGACATCAGGATCACTGAACCATCGCACGGGTCGTCTGCAGAATGTTCACTTCTCGCGCCCTCTTCCTCGGTATCCTTGCAGCTCTCTCCGCCGCGACCTGCCTGCATGCTCAAACCTCAGGCACGACGACTACTACATGGGACTGGTACGTGCCGTCTCCCATCTTCTCCCCCGCTTGTATGTATATCTGAACGTGACATACGTCTCACCGCAGCTGTGAGCCCGCATGCGGGTACGCCTCCAACCTCTCCTCGGGCGCCAAGGGCCCCGTGAAGTCCTGTAACAAAAGCAATGGCCCCGCCGCGTCGGGCGCGCAGAACGCGTGTTTTGCTTCCTCAGGAAACCTAGCCTTCTCGTGCGACAAGTACCAGCCGATCATCGTGAACAACACGCTCTCGTACGGCTTCGCGGGCCACGGCAACACCGCGACGTCAACGTGCTGCAAGTGCTACCAGTTTACGTGGACGTCCGGCGCCGCCGCGGGCAAGTCGATGATCGTCCAGGCCATCAACGCGGGTGGTATTACGGACACCGACTTTGATATTTACGTATGTTCTGACCCTTGTCTGATTACGATGCGAGAGGTTGATAGAGGTGGCTTCCCCCTAGACACCTGGCGGAGGCGTAGGAGACTACAACGCCTGCACGGCACAATACGGCGCGCCCTCTGGCGGTTGGGGACGTCAGTATGGAGGTAGGAGCCACCCGTTGGTCGAAACTGCCATCTCTGATTGGCATCTTCCCTACTCTAGGTGTCACATCTGACTCCCAGTGCTCGGAGTTGCCCTCCAACTTGCAGGCCGGGTGCCATTGGCGCTGGCAATGGTACGTGCATGCCTTGTGTCTCCGGTGCGTAGCGTTCTGAATTTGCGAATCGCATAATGTAGGGCGGGAGGTGACGTGAATGAGTGGTGGGTGTTGCGCGACTAAGCGCTACGATATGTGCACTGACGTCGTCGTTGCAGGCAAATCACTTACAAACAAGTCAACTGCCCGTCTCAGCTCACCAGCATCTCCGGCTGCACGCCTGCGTCCATCTAACATGGAACCTCGAAAGACTGAGGACATGATCAAGAATCTTGACAGGTGCATCGGGTTAACACTATAGCTACAGCGAAGTTCACTTCACTTCTACGATGCATGGCATACTACAGCCGGGCAATCCTACACAACGTCTATATCCTACTTGTTTATTTCTTCTCCTTATCGTCCTCGAGCGTGATATACAACTGCTTGCTCGTCAAGACAGCCGTCGCCCCGGGTATGAGCACGATCGTCTGCGTGTTGTCAATAATCATGGCCGGGCCCTTGATCGTGTCCCCGAGCTTCAACGACGTGAGCAAGAACACCGGGGTATCCTGCACGCGTCCAACGCCGTCAAAGTACGTGCTGTATGTCGAGTCCGCCCTCGACCTATCGACCGGCTTCCTCTCGAGCCTCTCGACCTCCTTGTACACGGACTCGCCGAGGGTGTCGAACGTCTTCCCGATCCCGCGCACCTTCACGTCGTCAACGATGATCGACTTCGTGTCAAGGAGGAACCCAAACTCGGCCTTGTACACGCGCCGGAACGCGGCCTCGAAGTCCTCGTGCCCGTCGCCGTCCTCGGGCGCGGGGACGACCATGAGCGCGGTGTCGGTGCCGTCGAAGCGCATGTTGAGCATGCGCTCGGTGTGGACGCGCGCGTCCTCGAAGCCTTGGCGCTTGAGCTCCTCGCGCACTTGGGCATCGAGCCTGTCCAGACGTGCCTTGAGGGTGGGGCGGTTTTCGGCGGTGTAGAAGGTCGACGAGGGCTCTTGCAGCTCATACGCACTAGGGGTAGGTGCGTTAGCGACACTCGACAAGACAAGTGTGTATATGCGTACCGATCTGCGAGAGCGAGACCGTACGCGGAGAGGATGGAGCTGTAATGGTGGATGAGGATGGTCTTGATCCCGAGCAGCTGGGCAATCTCGCATGCGTGTTGGCCGCCTGCGCCTCCGAAGCTTGCGAGGCTGGCGCGGAGTGCGTCAGCAAGTGGGACAGCGTGCATAGAATTGAATATGGTTCACATGTGTCTCGACGTCGCGTACCCTCTCGCCTCAGTGAGAGCACGGATCGGCCTGCACATCGTTTCATTGGCGACCTTGATGAACCTATCAATCCCACGTTATTCCTGAGCGCGGTATGTCCTAGATGCTCTGCACCTACCCGTAGACAATCTCATCGAGATCCATCTTCTTGTCCTCGCTGACAGAAGCGTTGATCTCCTGAGCGAGCTTGTCGAACGCAGATCGCGACGCCTCGATGTCAAGGGGCTCCTTCTCCGACTTGCCAAAGATCTTCGGGAAGTAGTCCGGTACGAGACGACCGAGCACCAGGTTCGCGTCCGTCACCGCCAAGGGACCGCCCTTGCTGTGGACGAGGAACTTCTCAGTCTACCACTCAAGCAGCAGTAGAGCAAGAGCGACGCACCGATAGCATGCCGGACCAGGCTCGGCACCCGCACTGTGTGGGCCCGCGAGGAAGAGACCATTCTGGAAGGTGAGGCAGGACCCTCCACCTGCGGCGACGGTGTTGATGTCCAGCTGAGGAGACTGGATCGTGACGCCAGCAGTAGTCGTCTCATACACGACCTCGTAGCGTCCGGCGTAGCGCGATACGTCCGTGGAAGTCCCTCCGACATCGATGCTGCAAGCGCATGGTCAGTTCGGGGTAGCAATAAGATGCCGAGGAGACCATATGCGCACCCAATGATCGGAATCTTCCTCTCCTCGTCCCAGCTCGTCAGCGCATACCCCACCACGCCCCCAGCGGGCCCGCTCAATATGCTCTTGAGCCCCGAGAAGTTGGTCAGGTCCAGCAAGCCCCCGTCGCTGCCCATGAACTCCACCCGCGGGCTCATCACCTTGCCGTCTCTCAGCTTCGCGTCGAAGCCCGAGAAGAACCCGTCGAGGTACTCGCGCAGGATCGGGGTGAGGTACGCGTCCGCGGTGGACGACACGCCCCGCGGCACCATCTTGATCATCGGCAGCAGCTGCGAAGACGCGGAGACGTGCGTGAAGCCGAGCGCGCGCGCGAGCGCGGCGACCTGGAGCTCGTGCTCGGGATATGTGTACGAGTGCGCGAAGACGATCGCGATCGAGCGGTAACCGTCGGCGTGGAGCTTCTGCAGGTCTTCGCGCACCTTGACCATGTCTGTAACGTATGTGCGTGCGCCCGACAGCGACCGGAATTTCAAAGGAGTATGAGACGTATGCGCTCGACAGGGAGGAGGAAACGCACCAGGTCTCCGCATGATCCTCACCGCCTCGCCCGACAACCCCTGCACGACCTCCCCCGTGCCCTCCGCGTCGCCCTGCCCGTCCCACCCCTTCCCTCTGTACCCCCTCTTCACCCTCCCCTGCTCGTCGAACTGGACCGCATGTTGCTCGGCCTTCGGGTCAGACGTGTACCCCACCAGCGTCACCCGCTCGTCGACCTCCAAGACGGTCGAGTACAGCGGGGGCGGCCGGCGGATGTTCAGATCGAATATCTTCGGGCGGGACTGGTTCCCTATCAGCAAGAGGTCGCGGAAGCCGCGCGTGATGAGCAGCGCGTGCTTGTGGCCCTTGCGCTCGAGGAGCGCGTTTGTCGCGACCGTCGTCGACAGCCGGATGTAGTCTGCGCGCGCCGTCGCAGGATGCGCTCAGCACGCTGGCTCGGGGCGCACGAGGACGACAGAAAGGTGTCTGAGACGGACGCACCGATCTTGTCTGTGTTCAGGGTGCTGCCCCTGGCTATCTGCTCGCCAGTAACGATCTCGAGCACGCGCCGGATGCCCTCCGTCGGGGCATCGCTGTAGTTCCCCGGGTCCTGCGATACTGTTCGCATCCAAATCCCCATCAGTTCCTGAATGGCCTCTCGTTAGAAACATACATCGGAACAAAGCGACTCACGCAGCTTCACAACGATCTCCTTCCTCTCGTCTGGCCTCTCGGGGTCAGGGAACGACGCGTGCACGTCGCAGAACGTGCCGCCGCGGTCGGCGCATATCTTGATGGACCGGTCGGGTACTGTCTTCGCGGGCATCGCAGATTCCCTAGCACTTAGAATGAGTCGAGCACTGCGGTGGGCGTCGATAGACACAGCTCCGAGCTCATGAATCTATATCAACCTGGAGCCGGCGAGCCGCTAGAGGTCTCATGTGTCTGCCCAGCTGGGACCGCAAGCAGGAGTCATATGTATTTGCCTTCCGCTGACGATAAGTGCGACTGTATACATATCTGTAAATCGATGACGCGCGGGCGACCTCGACGGGCATCCGTTCTCCCCATTCCCACCGTCTCACATCCCGATTCACGAATTCGCATTCTAAGCAGACGCCTCCGACGGGTGACACGAGTTCAAGCAGAATTCCGGCAATTTGACATAAATTTCGTGAATAGTGTCGACAGACAACGAATCGACAGACAGGTATGCAGACTAGGGTAACTTCGGTAATGCCAACCGGAGGGCGATCGCATGATCGTGTAAAGCGAGGGTGAGGAGGATGTTACGTGCGGTGCGTCATGTCGGACGACAGCAGGGTAAGCGGTAGAGGGAAACGTGCAGAGAACACTGAAAGCGACCAATATAATGTGTATACGATGTAGACCTTTTCGGGTGAACAGAGCAGCAAGCGAGGCACAACCCAGGTGCGACACGCTTATTCCTCCTCAACAGGGACCTCCTCCTCCCCATACTCGCCCTCCTCCTCGACGCTGTGAAGACATCAATCAGATAAGACATTGCATGAAATATAATCCACGGTACGTACGTGGCGTCCTGGTACTGCTGGTACTCGGCGACAAGATCCTGCATATTGGACTCCGCCTCGGTGAACTCCATCTCGTCCATACCCTCCTGGGTGTACCAGTGCAAGAAGGCCTTGCGCTTGAACATGGCAGTGAACTGCTCACTGACACGCTTGAAGAGCTCCTGGATGGCGGTCGAGTTGCCGAGGAAGGTGACGGCCATCTTGAGGCCGCGGGGTGCGATGTCACACTGCGCGGTGAGGACGTTGTTAGGGATCCACTCGACGAAGTATGCAGAGTTCTTGTTCTGGACGTTCTGCATCTGTTCCTCAACCTCCTTCATCGCGACCTTGCCACGGAAGACAGCCGCGACGGTGAGGTACCGACCATGCCTCGGGTCGCAGGCAGCCATCATGTTCTTGGCATCGAACATCTGCTGCGTGAGCTCGGGGACGGTGACAGCACGATACTGTTGGCTGCCGCGAGCAGTGAGGGGAGCGAAACCGGTCATGAAGAAGTGAAGACGAGGGAATGGAACTGCGCGACGAGAACGTAAGCGTCTTCTACGTGTGGAAGCAACCAAATACTTACCCATGTTGACAGCCAACTTCCTGAGGTCGGAGTTAAGCTGTCCAGGGAAGCGCAAACACGTCGTGATACCGGACATGACAATCGAGACGAGGTGGTTGAGATCACCGTAGGTGGGTGTCGTGAGCTTGAGTGTGCGGAAGCAGATATCGTAGAGCGCCTCGTTGTCAATGCAGAACGTCTGATCCGAGTTCTCGACGAGCTGGTGAACGGACAGGGTTGCGTTGTACGGCTCAACGACGGTGTCAGACACCTTCGGCGAAGGGACAACGGAGAACGTGGCCATCATACGGTCGGGGTATTCTTCCCTGATCTTCGAGATCAGGAGGGTACCCATGCCTGCACCGGTACCACCACCCAGCGAGTGGGTGATCTGGAAGCCTGCCAACAGCTAGGCGTCAGTTTATGCAGTCACATGTGACATGTGTGACGACGTCACAATAGACACGCACCCTGCAGGCAGTCGGTGCCCTCAGCCTCCTTGCGGACAACGTCGAGAACGGAGTCGACAAGCTCAGCGCCCTCCGTGTAGTGACCCTTCGCCCAGTTGTTACCGGCACCGCTCTGGCCGAAGACGAAGTTGTCGGGGCGGAAGAGGTTGCCGAGGGGACCGGAGCGGACAGAGTCCATGGTTCCAGGCTCGAGATCAACGAGAACCGCACGAGGCACATACTTATTTGCGCCGACTTCGTTGTAGTAGACGTTGACACGCTCGAGCTGGAGATCGTTGTTGCCCTTGTAAACACCATCCGCCTCAATGCCGTGCTCATCGGAGACGACCTCCCAGAACTTGGCACCTGCGCAGAAGCATGCATGAGCGATCGAAGATGGATATCGCTGGCTGTCGACGCCGCTCACCAATCTGGTTACCACACTATAATGCACCAACGAGTCAGATTTGGGGCCACGTCCGAACGACACGTCATACTCACCTGGCCAGTCTGCAGATGGACGATTTCGCGCATTCTGCAAGTCCAACGTCAGCGCGACTGAACAAGAAAACTGCGGATCGACGCGTCGGACGCCCTCGGCGCCATCTCTACCACCGCTGCGATCCTGCACACGCCCGAGCAAAACGAAAGACACGTACATGAAGAAATAGAACCGGGACTAGAGGAGGGATGGGTCGTCAGAGGATGGAGGGTACCGGAGGGACAAGGTCAAGGTGGAAACGCTGTCGAGGTCAAGGGCATCTATATTCGGTCGGAGCTCGAATCGCTAAACTCAACGTGGCTTCCCCCGCCCCAAACGCTTCTCAGACTCTCCACATCCCTGCCTTCCCCTCCTTCCCCGTTCCCTGTCTTCCCGCATCCTGATGATAATCTTGCATTGCCTTTGAACCCCTACGAGTCGCCTCGAATAGCTTTGGGGCAGGAGAAAGAGGGAACCTTCAAGGGTTAACATAACACGCTGTTATCACGCGCCGCATGTTCTGAAGCGCCCATGAAAGATGTCGGACGATTTTAACATGTCTAGAGCATGCTTCTTGGCGAACTCCTTTGTTGAAGCCGCTTTTCAACGTGTCTGTCCCTCTTCCGCGCTCATTCAATGAATGGCGAAGACCATAGCAGCTTGAGCGACCCATAGTACGCGTGATTGAAAGCGCTGAGACGCGACTGACTCGGGCCTCCAATATCTCTTGCGCAGTCCGAAAGATCAGTTGGTTATCAACCCTCGGAAGGAAACACACACAGATCAACTAAAGAGCGAACACACATATGAGCATAATCATGGTCCACCGTTCAGAAGCATCTGCATGAAGGCCCCACAGCGCGAGGTAAATGACTAGATACTGTTGATTAGTCGTCCCATCTGACGTTGAGCACAACTCCAGGTCCGTATATGGGTCCATGCGACTGACCATTGTCTCCATGCTATGTTATCGATGGTAGACAACTCACGCGCACCCACAAACACTGCTTCTCAATCACCAGGTGATTGTGCACGACACAGCCGATGAGTAGTCAAGTAATTTGAAACAACGGATGACTGACATATGACGACCATGCGCGAGCGGATGACATTCTACATCGAGAACCTGCAAACCACCATCGTGGCCGCGCTCGAAGCTGCAGACCCGACCGCCCCAGCCTTCAAGCGACGCGCCTGGGACCGCGCACAGGGGGGGCGAGGCGTCTCGTGCACGTTCAGCGCCCCCGACCATCCAGGCAGCCTGCTCGAGAAGGCGGGCGTGAACATCTCGATGATCCACGGGCAGCTCCCCCCAGCCGCGATCGCGAACATGGCGACGGAGCACGCGCTCGCAGCGTGCACAGGCAGCATGGGCATCCTGCCCTTTTCCGCGGGCGGCCTTAGCCTCGTCATCCACCCGCGCAACCCGAGCGTGCCCACCGTGCACGCGAACTACCGCTACTTCGAGATCACCGAGTAGCCGCCTGCCGACGGCTCCGGCGGCGGCTCTCCCCCAGCTCGTCGCATGGTGGTTTGGGGGCATCACGGACCTCACCCCGTGCTACCTCTTCGAAGAGGACGTCGTGCACTTCCACTCGACGCTCAAGGCCGCGTGCGACGCGTACGGTCCCGAGCTCTATCCTGCGTTCAAGAAGTCGTGCGACAGCTATCTCTTCATCCCGCACCGTGGCGAGCACAGGGGCGTGGGCGGCATTCGGTTCGACGATCTCTGCGACGAGCCACTCCCGCTCCTCACCGACGCGTCTGCCCCTCGTCCGCGGACACCTGACGAGATCTTCGCGTTCGTCAAGTCCTGCGCCGATGCGTTTTTGCCGTCATACATGCCAATACTGGAACGCCGTAGAGACACGCCGGTCGACGAGCGCAAGCGGCGATGGCAGCTTATCCGCCGGGGCCGCTACGTCGAGTTCAACCTCGTATACGACCGCGGGACAAAGTTCGGCCTGTCGACACCAGGCGTACAGGTCGAGAACGTTCTTATGAGCCTGCCGGAGACGGCGCGCTGGGAATACATGTCGGAAATAGGTACCGAGGAGGGTAGTGAAGAGTTCAAGATGCTCGAAGTGTTTAAGAGTCCACGACAGTGGGTATAACCTAGAGAAAGGTCGTCGGTATTGGTACTTTACAAGAATGCGGAAGAAATCCGTTCTTGAGTGCATCGAGCTAACCTGCAAAGAAGGCTGAGTGCATGTCGAGTAGGGCCTGAACCGAGCACGGGCATGAGCATAAGGCATCCCAAAGATCATCGATTATCCTTCTCATGGGTCGCGTCGCAACACCACGTCGCGTTGTAGCATCGTCTCCGCTCAATCTTACGACACCAAGGAGGGCGTGTTAACGTCCCTCGTGCTGTACTAGTCTTTCACCAGCTGCCGCCCTCTGCCAATTAAGCATCATACATACCCCCCTCCACGCTCCCATTCATAGTCGCACTGGGTATACGAGAATATACAGCAGCAGCTTAGCGACCACAGAAACTAGAACAGTACAGTATCTTCGGGTACTCGTCATCAACAGCGTCGTGATATATCAGTTTAGCGGGCGTCGCGTGTTCGGTGAAATCCTAGGGACACGAATACGGAACAGAAGGAGCAGTGCATCAACCTGGCTTAAAAGATGCGAGGGCGCGCGGACGGGGACATAGTGACACGGTGAACGGGGAAGGAACGCAATAAAGAATACTAACAAGAACACATACACAAACGTAGACGCGCAAACTAGATCGAGAAGAACGGCTGATCGCTGTTGACCTGCTGCTGTTGCTGTTGCTGTTGGGCCGCGAATGGATTGTGGCTGTTGTGCTGCGCCCCCGTCGGCTGCCCGACAAGCCGCGCAGCCTGCTGTCCGTATCTACATAACAGATCCAAATCAGTTGCGCCAGCTTTGAGTAAGAATAGTCAAGGGAAACCCACCGCAGGTTCCCCCAGTTGCCGAACGTGTCAATGCCTTCCTCACGGTTCGCGAGCAGGCTCGCGAGCCTCGAGTGCTCGTCATCCGCCCGCGTCTTGACCGCAGGGATCGTGTTCTGACGCTGCGCCGGAGGCGCTGAGTGCGACGTCGGGGGCGGAGACGTCGACTGGGGCCCGTTCGCGTACGTGCCCTGGAGGTTAAACGAGACTGGGCTCGCGGTCTGTGGTCCTGGAGAGGGATTTGGCTGTTGCAACGACGGCGAGACGGAGAGCGTGGGTGCGAAGGGATTATTCGAGCTAACGAGATGTCAAATAATGTCGTGGCGGAAAAGTCTAAGAAAGCGTACCCGAATCCAGTCGCCTGAGGCATGAGCGGCTGCTGCTGTGGCATCAGGAACTGCGAATGCTGTTGCTGCTGCTGGTATTGGAGCAATTGTTGCTGGCGCATCCATTCCTCTTGTTGCTGTTGTTGTTGCAACTGCTGCGCCTGGAGTTGCTGCTGCATCTGCCACTCCTGCTGCTGACGCATATACTCCGCCTGCACGTCTGCCCGTGAGAGGTCGCCGCAATTACGATGTACCAAAAGTGCGCACCTGCATCGCCTCCTGTTGCGCCTGCTGCTGGTACGGGTTGAAAGACGTGAACTGCTGAGGGACAGCGGTATACTGCTGCTGGAGAAATTGCGGCTGTGCTTGGAACGACGTGTCAACGAGCGGGAACGGATTCGTGCTCTGCTGCTGCTGCTGCTGCGACTCATCGAACAAGGACGCGGCGTTCGTGTCCGACAGCGCCGCGTTCCGCTTCGCCTCCTCCTCCTCGCTCAGCCGGATCGCCTGTTGCAAGTCCCGCTCCTCTGCCGTCAACCTCTGCCGCGCCATCTCCTCCTCCGCTGTCCGCTTGCTCTCCTCAAGCGCCTTCCGCAGGTCGTCGTCCTCGCGGTTGCCATTCCGCCTCCGCCCGCCCCCGGGCACGCTCTGTGATCGCCTCCGGGTATTCTCGTCACCTTCGTCATCGTCGCCGCCGTCAGGACGCCCGCGGGCCATACGATCGCGCATCGAAGCACGGTCGCGCCGTTCCCGGCGCAGACGAGACTCATCCTGGAGGAGGTTGGTGATGTCTTTGGCCTTCTGGCGAACATTGGCCCCCTGGTCTTTACCTTCCTCGTCGATGTACTGGAACTCCTTCAGCGTTTTGATGATGTAGATGTTGTCCTTGAAGTAGACTACAACGTTCTCCGAGCCCGCGTGCAGCAGGTAGTCGAGCACCGTGAGAGACTGATAGTGGTTACGCATGCGACGCGACATGAGCTTTGGAGGCAATACGAACACAGAGAAACATAGATAAGCTGACCTTGAAAACGTGCCTCCAGTTCTTGCCCTTGTCGTTCAACCGCTTGTCCAGCATCTCCATGATCTCCACGAAGTGGTCTCTGCCGGTAGATGAGGCGACTGCGGACAGCGTCTCGGGGGACCACTCACTGGTTGTAGCTCATCTGTGCCAACTCGTTCATCTGCGTGCCCGATGGACCCCATGGGTCGTTTGATGTCGCCTCACGGACTTTTGCCTGGACGTCCGAGTATCCCTTGGTATAGTTCTTGGCGGCGCGGACGATGCCCTTGCCGAGATGCTGCATACTGGACATATTTGGAACCTAGGACGAGCCCGCTGGATTGGCTCCGCGAGTGAGTAAAGAGAAGCTGGCTGGATCGCGGGGCGTCCGCGCTGAGTACGGTGGTGGTGGTAGCGGACGGAGTCGTGTGTTTCCGCGTTCCCGACTCGCAAGCGCTAACCAGTATCTCCCGGTCTTCCATGACTTATGCCGCAGTCTGACTACGAGGAAACTCTCTTCCTCTCTCCAAGACTCTCCAGCGATTAAGCTGCTGTGCTTCTAAAGCTCCTCCGAGTGGTGGAAGTTGGACTATGGAACCTGCATAGTAACCTAGCACCAGCCCCAGGTACCATGTTACCCTTGGGCGTATTCACAGGTGCAGTGCCTTTTCCTCTCCGCTTTCAATCGACTTGGAAGATCCCGAGCGAGGCTTCAATCAGTGGTGCGAAGATTTTCTGAGATCTCATAGGATCCAATTCTGGCATCAGGACATGGATATATACAGCAGATCATAAGACGCGATGTTGCACGTATGCTCGTGCACCCGTCTCGATAGCTTTTCCGGGTTGATAACTCTGTATTTACGGCATTTACAGTGATGAAAAGAGTGACCTGAACCCCGCTATTATCGTAAGACAGCTGGGCTAGTGGTGCTCCGCGGTGCTAGTCCTGTCGCCCAATCTATCGTTTCGAGGGCAGATCATGCACTGACATAGTAAGTTCTTTATCAGCTGGAGGGACACGTCGACTCATAACCTCGTACAATGATAGAAACCACTACGAACGAAGGACGACCACGCGCGGTCGGAAGGTCTCATCTAACGACGAGCACAGTCATGTTATGTCTTCGTAGGATCAGATTGAATCATGCATATAGGGCAGCGACGGGGAACAACGGAACAGCAAGATGACCACACAGCATCCGGCACAAAGCGCACCTTGCAGATCTGGGGGTGGACAAGACTCAACGTTCAACGCTAATGGCACAGCAATGGATAGCCAATCCACATACCCGTCTACTCTCCTTCGGTCACCTGGGAAATCCTCCACCACGTTGGCGGGGTCCCAAAAAGCTTGCTGATCTTATTAGCCCCTTCCTGAGTGATTCTTCTCTCAAAAGCCTCCCTGTCCAGTGGAAACAACCCTAGGACGAGAACAGAAGCGCCGACGGGTTCCTGTATTGAAAGAATCTGGTCTTTGACGCGCTGAGACACGACCCCGACATGGAGTTCGAGTTCATCGCATTTAGTGATCGCGCGAAGGTACAGGAGGGCGGGCCAGAGGATGGAGATGTCGTCTGGGTACCTGTTCCCGAATTCCTCAGGGAAGGAGGAGATCAACGCCTTCTGGACTCCGTCGCGGCCAGCGTAGAAGCCGAAATACATGCAGTGTTTCGCTCTCTTAGCCTCGAGGCATTCCTCGAGCGGCGGCAACGGGTAAGGACTGACTTGGAGATCGTCCTTCGATTGGTGCGATAATTCTGTCTGCGCGTGTGGCTCAGCTCCCGTTTTCGACTTGTCGCTATCCCGTTGTTGACTAACTTCGTGACGCTCCTCTAGCTATGCAACGTAACAGATCCCGTCTCATTGTAGGTCCATTTAGCAGGAGGACTCACCGACATCGCTTGCATTTGAGACCTGAACGAGGACATGGCGGGGATGTAGGCAGAGTACCATAGCGTCGGTTGGAAAGGTTGCGTTCGCCGTATTGTCTACAAGCGATTTCCCACGGAGAGGCGTGTGGATAACAGCCCTTTCGTCGCTTCGGACCGCAAGTACATACTCATGATCTTTGGGCAGAGATTGAGTCTCGTACGATGGGATAAACGCTTCTATGGTTTACATAACCTGTTCTTCCGAGAGTTATATTAGAGCAGACTCGCGAAGTTGCTGTAGCTGAAAGGGCGGACCCTGCGGTTTCACATGAATTCGAAGAATGGAGTCGAGCTCCCGCTATGCAATCCTACCCGCCACCATGTCCCCCTTCCCCGAGGTACTGTGTCGCAGCGTACAATCCGACACGCATATTCACGAGCCCAATGCTGAGCCGGGTAGGTGAGCGACGTCAAGACATGACCTTGGGAGTCTGTTACTAGTACGACGTGGTTTCCAGATTAAGCACAGATGTGCCAGAATATTCAAAGCGATGCGACGTCTAGCTACCCTTACGATCACACGCACATCGTGTTCACGAACATCGAGCAAAGTGCCAGTATGCCATTGCGATAGGTGAGAGGAGAGTAGCAACACGATGATGAGAACGGACACGGTCATAGAGGAAATCCCAGCAGAGCGCACACTACAGATCTGGCGCAGCAGGGGAATAAGCATTCGGAGCAAACCAATGATGAGATAACCAATCTACGTACCGGTTCCCCTCTCAAACAAGCAGTTGCGCCCCCCACCACGTTGGGGGCATCCCAACAAGTCGGCTGATTTCATCAGCACCTTCCTGTGTGATCCTTCTTTCATATGTCTCCAATTCCAGCGTGAATAAACCGAGGATCAAGACGGAGGTGCCGACATCGTCCTCGATCGAAGAAATCTGATCCTTTACTCGCTGGGAAACAATCCCGGCATGGAGATCGATTTCTGCGCATCCAGTAATCCTGCGAAGATACAACACGGTCGGCCAGAGCAAGGTTATGTTATATGGATCTCTGCCTTTGAGCTGGTCGGGGAAGCGGGAAATCATCGCCTTCTGGAGAGCACCTCGGCCGGCGTAGAAGCCAAAGCACATGCACATTCCGCGCCTCTTGGCCTGGAGGCACTCCTCGAGCGGAGGTAATGGATAAGGACTAACTCGGCGAGGACCGCGGCGTGTACGAAGGCGCGTGGTCTTTTTCTGCACGTCAGCGTCGTCGACCTCTGCATCCTTTAACGGATGCCGTGGTTGGGCAGTGGTGGTTGGGGTCTCCTCGAGCTATGCAACATAAACCGGACTTGCATCAATACAAGAGATTAGGCAAACTCACCGAAAGTGCTTGCAGCTGAGCCGTTACCGAGGACATGGCAATGCTTTCGACGAGGTGCTGTAGCGTACGTGGACAAAGGTCGGGGCCAGGCCTGGATTTATTGACATCTACTGTTCCCACGACTAGGCGCTGATGTGATATTCCTCCGCAGACTCGACAATGTCGCCACGAACACCGGTAAAGTACTTGAAGGTTATCATCCCAGGCGAAAAAGCAAAGTTTATTGGTCGCGTTTACGCAGACAAACGTCCGTTAGATGGACTGAACTGTTGTTTCAGTCAAATCACGTCCAAGCTTAGTCGACACCATCAGCACGACAACGGCGAAGGATGGATGTCAGCTACACATGCGTAGAGTGGCAAGGGCAAGTCCTTCGTCACGCTCGGTGGAGGCCTAGTGTTCTGTGCATAAGGGCGCGAGCGGGAGAGAACGCATGTCCTCTAGGCCCATGACAGATTCAGCTGGAGGCACAGTTGAGGAACAGCACAGACGGGCCACAATACTCAACCATAGTCACCCTTACGATCACACGGACATTGTGTTCCTGAACACTGGAGTGAAGCGGACTGACACTAACACACTAGCATTGCGATAGAAAGCAGGAGAGTATCAATATGATCATAAAACTCGTCATGCCATAGGAGATCCAAGCCTAGTGCAACATACAGTATACTACTTCATAATGCATGAGGTCATATCTGATGATGCATATCGCCGCAGAGGCTACCAAACTGGCGCTTCGTGCTCAATAGGCCGTCTGAACATGCATAGTGTCCCATAAAGCATACGGAAATGGGGGTACCGACCCTATGCATTATGAGGTAGTCTACTGTATAGATCTGGCGCAGCCGAGGAATAAGCCTTCGGGGGTACTCAATGTTAAAGTGACCGATCCACGTACCCGTTCACCTCTCAACAGAGCAGTTTCGCCTCCCACCACGTTGGGGGCATCCCAACAAATCGGCTGATTTCATCTGCACCTTCTTGTGTGATCCTCCTCTCATATGCCTCCACATCTAGCGGGAATAAACCGACAATCATGACCGACTCGCCGACGTCGTCCTCGATCGAAGGGATCTGATCCTTCACTCGCTGAGAGACAGTTCCAATATGGAGATCGAGGTCTGCGCATCCAATGATCCTGCGAAGGTATAGCACAGTCGACCAGAGCAATGTCATGTCATATGGATCTCTGTCTTTGAGCTGGTCGGGGAAGCGGGAAATCATCGCCTTTTGAAAAGTACCTGCGTCGGCGTAGAAGCCAAAGCACATGCACTTTCCGCGGCTCTTGGCCTCGAGACACTCCTCGCGCGGCGGCAATGGGTAAGGACTAACTCGGCGAGGACGGCGGCGCGACGACCTGCGCGAAGACTTGTTCTGGGTGTGTGGCTCAGCTGTGCCCCCCGACCTGTCGCTGTGCTGTTGTCGGGGAGTAGCTGGGGCCTCGTCGAGCTGTACACGGTCATTGGTACAGCGACCATCAAGAAAATGGGGAGAACTTACCGAAAGCGTTTGCATCTGGGCTGTTACTGAAGGCATGACAGAAACGAAGCCGAGTGAAGGCTACAGCGTGGAGAGATTGGAGACGAGGCATCAAGTGCGCGTTGAAGAGGTCTTATGTGGTGGCTTCCCACGGTTGTTCACGTGATTATATCAGATGAACCTTGCCTCGTTCACGTTTCCACTTTTGTTCTTGCTATTGTTTGCCCAAAGCGGCTTTCTTTGTTTGCCACTGCCAGATAGTCAAGTCCTTCTGTAGTTCTCGATTCAATCAATACCGTTTCTCATCGATGGCGTCCCACTCATTGGCAGTCATAAGACTTGCACGGCGCGATGGTATTCCAACAAGCTTGTGTTCGTTCCATCCACGTTCATCATGCCTCCTGACCCACGCGATATCTTCAGCCCCGATCCCATTGACTTATTCCACGTACCAGACAGCGCGCCACAAACACCTCGATCTGCAAATCCTGTCTCAGAAGAGGATTCCAGCCCAGTGGTTCGACCTCCAGGGCGACGACGTCGAGTCCCTCGCAATCCTGTCGACAGCGACGTTTCGGAGCAAGAGGAAGGCGGTAGGCAACTCGGTTTGCGGCTTGCACCAAGGGTTGGTTCTGTTGAGGACGAGGACGAGGACGAGGAGGACGAGGTCGATGAGGACGCGTACAACGAGGATGAGTACGAAGAGGACAACGACGACGACGACGACGACGACGATGACGACGACGACGACGACGACGATGACGACGACGACGACGACGACGAGGACCTTCCCCAGTTTCGTGGGTCGACGCACAACAACACGGAAAGCCCTTCTACCGATGCACTATCCACCCCTCCCTCCTTCCATGAACTGGCGCTAGAAGTACAATCGTCGCCCGACAACCCCGTCCCTCCTGTCTCCGCGCAGCATTCACCTTCGCCAGCCGCTGTGCCTCAGCTACCTTGCACACCACCAGCTATGTCACATTCGCCAGGCGAGAGTACTATTCTCGTACCAATCCGCAATCACGAGTTTCCTTCGCTGTTGAGGGCTGCAGAACGCAAGTTGGGTTCGCAAATCGCGTCTGCTCTCACCAATCCTCTCGATGAAGCACTCAATTCAGCGACGTTCCAAACACTGCTCGAAACCTTCCTTTTTCCGCGCCTTCGCAGCCGAGATTCTGAGAATGGAGGATTCAAACTTGATCAATACTCTCAGCTTCAGGCTGTGGCTTGGCACTGGGAAAAGGATGACAAGAGGTAACATGACCACCGTACAATTTTTGCTTTCCCTGCTTACCTATCACGACACAGAAAGCGCAAACGTTCCTCTTCGCGCCAACGGGGTCGCGCGGATTTGGATGCGGACGTCAGCAAGGTGAATGTCACGCTCGAAACGTTGTTGTAGCATTGCACTCAGTTTTCTTCTAGTACATCGAAGCTATCAAGGATCGACGCGTACCAGATATGACGACTGTCGTGATGTTTGAAGAAGAGGTCCCAGTGCCAGGTGGCCATGCGTACCAGGTGGTTACGCATAGGGGCCCCAAGCTGTGCATCACCGAGATCAAGTCGTTCGCTTGGTCGGCCTCCTCGGGAGATCGGGAGATGACTCTCAGTGGGGTGCTGACGAAGGCCCATCAACAGAACTTCATCGCCGGTCAGTACCTGTTCAGAGAGGACGAGTCTCTGGAACATATCGCCAGCTTCGTAGGCGCAGGCCCTGCCTGGTCTTACAGCGAGTTTCATAGGAATCAATATCCGCTCCTCGATTCACCACCGCTTCCCAACACCCATGCAGAATATCTCAGGTGGGAGGAGCGTGTGGCGGAGGAGACTCCGGAGAAACCAAAGAAGAAGAAGCGGAAGACTAGACGGTCTTCCGCACATGCGCGATTGGCGAGTTCGAGGGCGCGTAAACCGGATTTGGTTTCATCAGCTGAAGAAGGCACGCACGCTTCAGGTAGCGGAGTGCCCCCCAATAGGTTCCTCGAGGAAGCGCCACAGATGCCTCCCAAGGATAGTCCAGCGCTCCAGGCGATTTTCCGATCAGCTGGGCATTATTCCAGACAGAGATCAGCCTTCCTATACGTCCTTGATCGCGATGGACGGACGTATGAAGCGTTCGACGTCATAGTCAAGCGCATTAGGAAGTGGTACACCCATTCAAACGCCCACTATAAGTTGGACTTCGACAAAGACCCCTATGAAGAGGGCTCTTGCCCAGGTGGGTCTGCTGATATGCATGTGTCCAGTTCCATCTAACGAGCGGTGACCGGTGAACAGCGAGCAGGGGAAGGGCTCTCACCGATGAGCTCTGATGGCAGTTGGCTTTGGTATCTCGCGCGTCGGAGACTGCATGTTGTTGAGGAGAAAAACAGGTGCCCGTGTTGTATGTACAACAGTGTCCCTAGCATGGAAAGGTGAAAGGATGTCAATCTGTATCTTGTACTCGGAGGAGACCAATGAACTGATACTTCAATTGCATGAACTACGAGCGGGGAATTCAATGTAGGAACGCCTTCCATACGCACTGAGAAGTAATATCACGCGTCCTCGGTCTTTCTTGGCCAACTTCAGGAAGGGTGCGTTTGCCTGATATATAGGTAGACATCCGTGGACGTCGCTGCCCCATAAGGCGACAATACGAAGTGAGACACATACACCGTCAGTGCGGCGTAGGGAGATCTAGTCAGCTGCGACTCGAATAGCACTCAGGCACTTTTGCGGAACCGGTAAATTGTAGGACACATGCAGCGAGACGGGTGGGATATTGTTATTGGTCTGGGAGAGAGCAGCCTGGGCCCCTTACGCGCGAAATGTTGCCGATTGACAGGCTTTCCTTTCAAGATTCGAGTGCAGACCATATTTCCTGGCGTTGCGGAGCAGGTTGTTGTAATCGTAGGCACTGACCAACCAGTACAGGAGTTGTTACTATCGGAATTGCGTGCCAAGTATTTGCATCATACTCACAGTAATCGTCGAATAAGAGGTCAAGATACTTGCAGGGTACGTGAAAGGGCGGGATCAAATCCGAGTGTTCTCGAATAAGTTAGATGCAATGAATGGTCTACACTACTAATGCAATAACTCTACAGTAACGTGCGAGAGTATCCAGATGATGCATCCATAAGAGATGCGATATATGTAGACACGAAAGAGTAACGAGGGTTACAAACGCAACTAAGTCCAGTCTCAATTATAGATCTCCTTCCTCTTCTGCTGCTTCGAGCATCATGTCTAAAGAGATATCCAAATCAGCAAGGTTCCACATGATGCAGCACGCGTATGCTTCCTCACCTTGCCACATGGAATTCTGCATCGACGATAGGACGTCGTCGTCATCACCAGCCCGCGACTCTCTGTATATTGAGCCCTCCAATCTACGAAGTACTCATCAACATGTATGCCTAGGAGGACGCGACAGATCGGCAGCTCACCTGCTGCTCATGTCGATTGACAACATGCTGACATCACTCGTCCGCTGCCTTCGCTGTAGCGGGCGCGAAGGCGTATCCAGCACATACGACACGTCGGGAGATTGTAGAATGCCTGGCGTAATTGCCATTGGCGTGTCGTTGCCATCTAAGGATCGATGGATCGGGGTTTGGTATGGGGAAGTGATGTCTCGTGTCATCATCGGAGGCGTAGTGGGGAAGTCATCGACGATAATCGCAGGAATATCTACAAGGATGATTAGCCTTCGTTAGGACACGGTGAGAAGCCTGCGGATTCACCTGGCCCGCCCATTGCCCCCATGCGAGCCTGCTCTCGTTGGGCGAGGTACCGCCGGCGGTACAAGATCATCAGCAAAAGTGACTGAACGCGGTCGAAGTCGACAAGATCTGTGACAAGCTTGTTCGTCTCCGTTCGTACAACGAGGTCCTTCAGTCTGTACCAGGCCAATCATCAGGTCAAGCCTCTAAGTGACCGTACACACAACCACTTACACGAGCGCCTCCTTGTCCACAATGAGCTTGTGATGAGCGAGCAGTAAGAGCATATTCGTGAATGAAATGCCCTTGCCAGGCTCGTGAGAGATTCGAGCCTCGTGGTAGAGCCGATTGTAGAGATTCTTCCTCCGCTTGATGGCCATGCGATCCATGTTGCTCAGAACGAGCTCTGTCTTACTGAAGTCATATCCTTGAATGATCTTTTCCGACCACGAGTCCCGGTTGGCAAAATCCTTGGACACGGCCATGATTCGGGGAATGCTGAACTCCGTAGGATAGATCTTGACCTCGAAGATGCCGCTCAGTTTCTGCGATCGCGGTCAGCTCGACGACCAGGCAAATCATACTTGGTGGACACGTACTCCAAAGAAGCGCACGAAATTGTGGCGTTCCAAGTATCCTGTCTTCGGGTTGGCAAACTCGGCCCAGACCTTCTTGAAAGCACGCATCTCCTCTCGAGTGATAGATTTCGCTCCGCCGGACATCTGGAAAACGTAGTAGAAACTCTCGACGACAACACCAGTGAACAAGTTAGCGAAGATGTACTGAGGACCAAACGGGGTCAGAACGATACGCGAGGGTAGGACATGGCCCACTTACCATGCTGAGCAGATTCCACGCGATGAAGAGGGTGAACGCCCAGTAGACACTGCCACAATCTGTCTCTCCGGAAGCGGTAATGGTGCAACGAGGATAGTCCAGGGCACTGGGCGACGTCTGTCAGCATGCATCAGACAAGGAAGGCTGGAATGGTTACTTACAAGTCATGCATGTACCCGTTCCAGCCTTCTCCCGTCGTCATGAACGCTAACATGACTAGAGCGTTCGCCATACTGGAGTAGTTCTGGTTCACCGTCTCGCTTGTGTTCCACTTCGTCATGCTGAACACCTCAACAAAGAGGATCGCGAAGAATAAAAAGAGGATAATCCAGAGACCCAGCAGACTGAGGATGACCGGTAGACTACCACTGTTGACGGAGGCAGAATTAGCCTGGTATTTTGTCTACACAGTTCAAGGTACGTACACAGCTGTCTTGAAGAGCTTGTTGAGACTGTTCACTCGCTGCACGAGCTTGAGCGCAATGCTTGTGATAAAGAGCTTCTGCAACTGCTGAATAACGAAGCCACCTGCGTTGAACCGCACGACCAACGTAGTGAAAAGACTGCCCGCAGCGACCACGATGTCGAACATATTCCATCCGTTGGCGCTGTAACTGGACCAGCCAAGTCCAAAGAACCGAACGAGCACGTCCACGCAGTACATCACGGTGATAAAGATGAAGAAATCGCCTGATATAAGGGATGAGTAAATGGCCAGTCGACATGCGCAACACTAAGACTTACTCCGGAATTGATCAAGATAGTACTGTGGCGTGAATGTCTGTGTCCTGTGAGTAGTGAGGTGAACAAGGGAAACCAGTGCAGAAGGATGCCCAACACAAACATCAGAGCAATGACGTGCAGAGTGTACAGCACGGTCATCATCCGGGACCACCAGCCATGCTTGTGAACCGCACGGTCGTAGCACCACTGCCGGATACGCCATGTCGGCCGCTTCTTGGGACGCTTGGAAGGACGCTGCCGCTTGATCAGTTTTTGCAGGTCAATCCACTCCCGTTGTGGTTGCGTGAGTAGAGCGGAACCCGTCTTGGACGTGAAGTTGCCGATGATGATACTGGTATTGATCGTTAGCTCTCTTCCATCAGCTGCAGAACATTAGCACGGTCCTCACCTGACGAAAAGAGTGAAGATGACAACTCCCCCCATCAAATTGTAGAACAAGAAGAAGATCGAGTTGCCCAAGGACGCATTCGTCTGAGGCTGTTGATTCTCGCCAGTGACGCTGGTGGCGACGCCCATGACGTCAACCCAACCCTCTAGGGACACGATCTCGAACAAAATGAGAAGTGATTGCCGGAAGGTGTCGAACGAGAACGTCGTCGAGGGCGCTGGGTTCTCCCAGACACGGGGCACCAAGAAGCTGAACGCGTTGTCGCCATTGTCGTCGGAAACAAAGCTGGTGGAGAACTCGCCAATGCAGTCGCTAATACCGGAAGCATTGCCATCATTGCACTCGTTCGTGACGCCTGCGAAGATATTCAGTCCCCACACAGCGTACGGGATCATGTAGAGGATGGCAAGCAGAGCAGCGTCCATGATACGGACAATCCCCGAGATGATCAATGACTCGAAGGTCGACCGCATTTTGTCAATGAGTGTGATGAGGCGCAGTGCGCGCAAGGCTTTGAGAGACCGCGTGATACGACTGAGACCACCGATGAAGATGAGGCCGGTGATAGCGTTGACGAGGATTCCAGCAAGGATGAAAAAGTCAAGGATGTTCCAGATACTCCGGACATAGGCGTTTGGCGTGAACAGGAACCCGTCCGCAATGACTTTGATGATGAACTCCAAGAGCAGGACGATCGCGAAAGAGCCTTCTGCAATGTCAAACCACGTTCCTCGGAAGAGACCGTGTTCGGCGTAGAAATCGCGACGATACAGAGGAGTTGCGATGCTCTCGACGACGATCCCGCCAATGACGGTGAGGAGGAGCAATAGTTGGAAGATCGGATGGGCGATTGGCGAATGTGGGGTACCGAAAATACGATCTCCACCGGCTGGAGCAACGAGCTTCTGGCACGTCTTGCGTAGCCAGTTCTTCTGTGAGAAGATCCAGAAAGTCTTGTCGTATGTGGGATGATCGCGGATGAAGTCGGCTTTCTGAGCACGTCGCTCGTACAAAGCGTCGTTCAGTTCTTCCACGTCCACAGCATCGTTGTTCAATGCTGCCAAAACCTCCCTGTCACAGACTCAGATGACACTCATACTTGTGCAATGGAAACACTCACAGATGCCTCTCGGTTTCTTCGTCCACCGGGTCCGACGCTACCACAGAGTCACGGCGAGCATTCCTTAGAGTCGTGAGAGGGACATCTCCAGCTGTTATGTCGCCCGCGAATAAGCGCTGAAGCCGCCTTAGCGTCGACTTCGCGGAGTAGGACCGTGCCGTGCCTCCCCGCCTAGTAGATTGATCCTACAAAAAGCACACTCAGGTCCGACAAGACGGTTCACAAGGAGGAGCTGGCGCACCACAATGGAGTTGTCTCGCTTAGGGAGGCTATAATCCTGGACCAGCGCCTTCTGCATCGGCAACACGAGGTTGGACGGAAGTTCGACTTCAATGGCTTTCGGCTGCGCCTTGAGCCAACGGTACGGATTGAGCTTGCGGATCCAAGCCGCGCGAGCCTGCTGCGGCCGGTGAGAAGCCCAATAGTGGGATGCCTGCCTACTGCGCTTGGACTCCTCAGCAACATCGAAGTTCTCGTTGATGACGGCGATGAACATCTGAAGCACGATATCTGTCTTGGCATTCAGTACGAGGCCTACAAGCCCCATAAACGCGGCGCGAAGACTCACAGTTTGCGAAGAACATCCATCCGGCGATGAATAGGACGACCACCGCTGACTGGCGGAGCGGGACTTCGGGCACTGCAGCCGTATATAAGACGTCTGTCCAGTTCTCGGACGAGAAGACCTGGTAGATAGCCAGGAACGTGTTGTACAGCGTGCCAAAGTCGATGAGGTTGCCCTGCTTGACGTCCCCGCTAACCAGCTGCACAGCAAAGAGCGCCGCAAGCAGGTTGATTTCGATCAAGAACAGAGACATGTTCGCCAAACCGTACATGTTCCCGAATACGGCAAGCTAGGGGGTGGCAGACGTCAATTTGAGCCCGACTTCGGAAATCAGTTAGACGTAAGGGTACGAACCAGCAGCGGCTTCATCCTGGGAATTTCGAGAATGACGCGGTAAAACCGCATAAGCTGGAGGATCGTGAGCCAGGGGTAGACGCTAGATTCGTGGATGGCAGGAATCTGGATGACACTCGACCCTATCGCGAGAATTAGGTCGAGCACGTTCTGTCCTCGGAAGAAGAACTTCCGCCAGTCAGGTAGGTACGCTAGCACTCTGATCACAATCTCCACGTCGAACATGATCGTGAGTGCGAGCTCGCCCTTGTCCAGGATCTCAGCGTGAAGCGCCGACATGTCCACAGTACGCGTCGCCTGCAGAATCACGGAGGCAAGAGCGAAGCCCACCCAGCACCAGCGGATGTTCTCATAGATGTCTCGAACCCAATTCCGCCCAGCGACCCGCCTTCCATCGACCATCGACCATCCTTCCTCGTTTTCATCCACCATAGGGCCCAGACTATGAGTAAATCGTGTTAGAACCAACCTATAGTTAGCATGAGAAGTTCGAGCAGGACGCACGGTGCAGCTCCGAACGCGCTCTTCTTGGTGTCCGAGCGAATGGCCGAGAACGTGTTGGTTATGACCGCAACGAACAGGTTGATCAACCAAAAATTGAGGACAATGATGCAGACGATGTAAAAGAAGCAAGACACGAAGAACTCGGCATCCATCATCTGGTACATCATCCCGGACCACTACAACGTGCGTGAGCTGCCGTGCTGTCAAACATGGGAATGAATATCGCTCACCCCGTTCGCGGACGACACAATCACGACCTGAAGCGCGGCATAGTAGATCACATCGAAACTCTCCATATTCGCCTCGGGATTGTCGTTGTTCTCCTGAGGGCGCAGTCCATATCAACACTACGTACGGGCACGTTGCTGGACGGGTTTGCCTACCATGCATATCTGTCCGAGAGGGCATATGTAGCCTTTGACAGAACCATGCTCGCCATCGGCGTTGAGGTAGCCAACGGCTTGAAGAGTGACATTGTCGATGTGACCGCCGCAGTTCTGTGAGAGAGGATAGTCAACCCCGTCCACAAACAAATGGCAGGTGCGGCGAAAGGAGCCCTTGAACGACTGGATGCCGATAATGCTACGAATGGATCAATTGAAGGCTTATGACCTTGAAGGGCAGAGACTTACGAAAACAAAATCATGGCGAACAAGACGAAATATGCTACGCTGGCCAGTAATGGCCGCGCCGTCTTCAGCGAACGCATGATGGTCTGTAGACATTGTCAACAACATGCCCCGCTAGCGAGAGGGTGATTACCCACGGTAGTACCGGAAGTGATAGCCAATAGCCTAGCGCACCGGAGCACGCTCATGGCGCGAAACAATCCAATGTGGTACTTGCTGTGCTCCACGCCGGCGGACGATAGAGCAAAAGTGATCCAAAAACTGAGTATGGCGACGAAGTCTATTCTGGTCCAGCTGTGCCGAAGGAAGGGAAGATTGCGTTGCGTCTGATTCCTGGAGTCCTCGACGCTCAGTCGAAAGGGCAGCGCGAGGGTATCGCTGGGGTTATCGGAACGGAATGCTTTGGATAGGAATGTGGGCTCGGAGGGATTGCGAATATGCGCGTGGATGTTCTGCGCCTCGTTCAGTGCCTTTTCCATCATGGGCGATTTGGACTGGACGGTGTCCGAGCGGGCCCTGGATGTTGACGACTTCCCATTGTCCGCAGCCATTGGGGTCGTCACGGAGTGGTGGAGAACGAATGGTCGAGCGAGGTTTCGTCGGAGGTTGGAGAGACGTTGGGTAATAGTCTGTCCGCGGTGTAGTTGTGAGGTCGAGTGGGTCGTGTTAACAGACGGCGTACGAGCGAGATTAAAGCTGCCCTCTGCAGCAGTGTTCGGGGGTCGAGTAATGTCCGGGTATGCCGAGAACGGGGACTGAAAGAGCGTGGAGACGGAGATTTCCGGGTCTAACAGAAAGCCAGATACACACATTCGAGCGAAAGCTTCCAGGGTAAACAAGCAGAATAATACGAATAGCACGTAGTCTTCCCAAGAGTGGAAGTAGCCAGTGACGGGAGGAGGTCGAGCATCGTCTGGCCAGTCGGCCGGTAGAGCGTGGGGAATGGAGGCTTGGATGAAGAGGACGACAGCGTTCAAGATGATTAACAGCAGTATTACTGGCTCTGTCCATCTAGTGGTAGCGGCCGACCGTTGCAACGTGAGGTTGGAGGTCCAAAGCTTGTAAGTACAGGCAATCAAAACGGGCGGAATGATATCAGCACTCACGGGTATGTAAGGAACTTGTACATCGCAAGCCGTACCCTGCTGCGGGGTCCCAAACAACCCAGAGTACGCCCTCGTATAGGAAGTGCCTTAGACAGATCCGGTAGCACCTCGTCCTCGTCGGGCAAGTCGTCCTCATCCTTCTCCCTTCGCTCGTCCACGTCGTCCAAGCGTACGTGGTCCTCCAACCCGTACCCTCCGAAGTTTACGACGCGTAACGAAGCGCGTCTCAGGTTGCGAGACACGGTCTTGAGCGTCGTTCCCGTCTTCTTCAGCGGAGAAGTGCTGTATCGAACTGTCCTGCGCCGTGCCCCTCGCGACGCGCCTGACGCACCTGATTGTTCTGGATCCACGCTGTGGCTCATGCCCCATTCGCTGCCTGCGCCGTCACGGGACATGTTAGATGTGAGGTGAGCCTCGTCGTCGTCGCGAGTGCTGTCCGTGGTGTCGCCGGATTCTCGAAAGTGAGAGGAGATAAGAGAAGCCGATGACTGGCCCGGCTGAGGGTGCGAGTAGATCGCGCCGGTGTCCTGGTAGCGCATTCCGCCTGTACGATATGAATGTGTGTGGAACGGTGCTTCATCCTCCGTGGGTGAAAAGAACGGGTCTTCGGACGACCACGCCGAGTGCGAGGGACCTGCTATTGGTCCAGGTGGTGTATTTTTGGGCTGCACGTTGAAACGCAAGGGATCTTGGATGACGTTAGAGCCGCCCCAGCTAGTCCGGCGACGGGCAAGACTGTCGGCAGAGAGAGGTGTTGTCGGACGAGAGTTGACTAGCCCAGCAGGAGTCCCGGTGAAATCTACAGCGGAAGAGGAAGAGCGATGCAAGACAGAAGGCTGGCTAGCGTCCATGCAGTTGGAACGGGAAGAATTATACGAGCTCGCTGTACATGACGGCGGCGACGGGTCGATGAGCGTTGCTACCTTGTACGGGAACAGCGCCCAAAGTTGTCAGACTCCGCCGATCTGATTTTAAAATGCTGCGCAGAGGATGGTCAATCTTCAATCACAGCTGGTCGAACATGTAGCGGAGTCTGTATCTAAGTGTGGGGCACATTGGCCGCCCACGCTCGCGGCAAGCTCGCGCCTTGACCTTTCTCGTCGATCTTAGCGAGCGCATACACTCTTCTCATCATATCTGGGCGTGGAAAGATAGACGGAAATTACTGTCCGTGAAAGACCGAGACCGCAGCATGCCGTCGACGAGCAGGATGCCCTATGCAGCAAACACCCCGGACCGATCGGCATTCGATGTGTCAATCCCCCTCTCTCCCCAAGTCTCCTATATACCGGCACCCACAACCTCGGACACCGCAGATCCGACGTCATCGTATGTGCGAATACTGCGTGAAGCTTCCAGGTACAAGAGGCGTGCCCGCGAGGTCTTTGAGAGCAACATAGGCTTGCTACTCGTCGCTTCCGCCCAACTGTTCTTCTCTTTGATGAACGTGGGGGTGAAGCAGCTGAATAGCCTCGACCCACCTGTGCCCGCGGTTGAGGTGAGCCACCAATCACAGTAGTTGAGCAGAGGCAACAGGGCGCAATGCTCATGCACATGTTGCTCACCAGCTGATCTTCGTGCGAATGGTACGTCACCCACGCTTGAACATGGTACTTCCCGGTACCAGCCATCGTGAGCCATGTGAAGTATCACACTTCAGCCAAGGGCCGTTACTGATTTCCAAGATGGCAGGCTATCACTTGGGTGTGTTGTGTGTCATACATGTGGGTGTACCCGCAACAATTTCATGTTTAGGCGTGCTCTGACAATTTTACAGGCACATCATGAAGGTTCCGGACCCATTCTTTGGTCCGAAGGGTATTCGATGGTTTCTGGTTCAGCGCGGGCTCTTTGGGTGCGTCATTGACTATGCTTGATGAAATATAGCTGCTGGCAATCGGCACCGTGCTGACTATTACTTGGTTGCAGCTTCATGGGCATTTTCGGCCTGTACTACTCGCTTCAATACCTGTCGCTTTCGGATGCCACAGTCCTGCAGTTCTTATCTCCTATATTCACCGCAGTTGCGGGAGCTATCTTCCTGCACGAGACGTTCTCGTATCGTGAATTGTTGGCCGGACGTGCGCGCGACCAATATCCTACTCGCACCTGTACTAATCAACTTTATCATAGTGACCAGCCTAGTAGGGGTAGTTCTCATCGCACGTCCACACTTTCTGTTTGGTGCGACCCCGAATGAAGCGCCAACACTTCCTGATGACCTAATGAAGCGGGTTCCGGATGCCCAAGTCACTCCTGCACAGCGTCTTTTGGCGGTTGGGTATGAAATACCCTCAATCTAGTCATTTCCTTCCATGTCTGATTTGTCGCTCTAGCATTGCATTGTTCGGTGCGGTCGGCGCGGCGGGAGCTTGTCAGTGACCCTTTCGTTCCCTTGCAGCGGACTGCTCATAGACTGGCCATAGACACGACCATCCGTCTCATCGGAAAACGCGCGCACGCGCTACACAACCTGGTTGCGTACTCCATGCTGTGTATGATCGTCACCTCCATGGCGTGCGTCTCCCTGTACTATGACCTGCGCGTTGCTCATGTTCACCCTCCTCGACCAGGATGATAGCACTCAGGATCCCTGTCGTTGTCCCCATGAGATGGGATTGGCTCCTGATGCTTTGTTTCATAGGGCTTGCAGGATTCAGTGGCCAGGCATGTCTCCCTCACAATCACGACGTCAACGTTCTGACCCGTAGCAGGTATTGCTCACCATGGGCCTTCAACGCGAGACGGCCGGACGAGGATCCATCGCGGTATATGGACAGGGGAGTGAATCGGCATCTACGTACATGTTGGTGCGCTGACCTGAGAGGAGCGTAGATTGTCTTCGCGACGCTGTTCGAGCGTATCTTCCTCCACACCACCCCGTCCCCATTGTCCATACTCGGAACTGTCATAATCGTCGGCTCCGCGCTCTACGTTGTGGTGCGTCCTCCGTTCGCTCTCTGTCACTGACGACTGAGGCATTCCATCGGGCTCTCCAGCTCACCAAGAAAACAACACCTGAAGACGGCGCGCGTCCCACAACGTCAGATGACCCGTCCGTCGAGGAAGGCCTACTCGCAAGCCATGACACCGACGAGCCTGAAGGCGACACGATTCAGAGCCAGACGATTGTTCTCGCTGACAACCAACAGCTGAAGACGAAGGTCTTGAGCTAACGAGCCGTTGAGCAACGCCCGACCTATTGACGCAACCTCTCACACCTCTTGTTATATCCAATCAAATGTACCTTTCGCATTTAGTTGCTCCGCTCTGCTTGATATGTAGAACTTGCATTGTTGCATCAGATAGCTGTTGTAGAGATCCCCCGTATACCATTAGCCAATTTGGTGTTATATGAATCCATAACTCGTGGTGATGATGGCAAGTCCCACAACACAAGGTACATACTAGTAAGGATGCTTAGTTCTCGTCGGACAGGCGGTGTCCAAGCGACTACAAGCCACTCGCTCCTATTTTCTCGTCCTCCTTGGCCACGGGGTCCATGTCCTCGATGCATGCAGCTCCTGAATCTTCGTCACAATACTTCATATCGACCTCCGTCGTGATACTGATGTCAATCACGAATGGCGTGGGATGACTAGGACGGCGCTGAATGTGTGAGCAAACGCCTTGTTGTAAGCTACGCGGAAATGCACCCACTAAACTGGTCGGTTAACTGACCTCAGGTAGGTAGCTTGGGGATCCCGATGATGTCGCAGCGTACGAAGCGATCACTGTAGTCCTCTTGCACAGCCATCCAAGAGAGCCTCCAGTATCGTCGGTGAAGTTTTCCACACCATGATTTGTAGCCTGGGTGTCTGCGTCATTATTGCTGCGAGCATTTATGCTACAGGAAGACAAGAGGATCAGCCTTGGCCGAGGGTGCTTCAGACCGATCTTACATTGCCAATAGCATGTTCGTGTAGACTGCTCAAACGAGGTGTGTTGAGACGCTTTCTTCGTCATAGCAAGAAGTCAACTATCTCCACATACTCTTAGTAGCTGCGATGTCGATAGCAGTGAAAATTTGACTTTTCGGCAGTACGAAAGTCTACTACGTAGTCAACAATCTGTCTGAACTGAGCTATACCAGAAACTACTCACGACAATCAAAGAAACCAACGCCATCATGCTGCAAAGCAGAGCTCAGTCTATCATTAAACGAGATTGGAGTTGCGTCGTTCCTACAAGATCAAAATGCCTATGATATAGGCGAGCTCAGCCAAAGGCATAGGGACGCGATGGAAGGAACTAACCACCGTGGATCGTATATAGTACGAGGAGCCGTATCACAGACCCTGTTCTGAAAGCGTACGGATGTTCAGCTTCCTTGATTGGGCGGATTCGCATAACGACTAACTTCTGGAAGCCCGTCCGTTGGCTCAATAAGCGGTAGCTGAAGGCGACTGCTAATATGACATTAGCCGCTACAGCTAGGGCAGAGTGGGTGCAATTCAACAGCTGCATGTGGCAGTGAGCGAGAGGGCCAATTTCACGTGTATCAGGAGTGGAGTAAGCACTCACGCGGATGGCAAACGTGTCGTGATCCGCAGGCCAGAGGTAACTGCATTCACAATCAGTCCTGGCATATCTCCACCGACTTTCACTAAGATCCTCACAGTAGGACCGTGGCAGCTAGTCCAATCAAGATCAATAAGAGTTTTGAAGTACTGGAACCAAACGTTCGCTTACCTGTCACTAAGGCTACCTCACCAAACGGCGTTAGATGTAGGCCAAACCCGAAAAAAATACTTCACCGAATTGTCCCAGAGAAAGTACCAGCTGTATAATTGTTAGAACCGCCAGAGCGAAGCTGAAGAGCGCCATGGCACTAACCGCGGGAAAAACTATTGACCAGCCATGTCTCGTCCAGACTGATTGTACGATGAACCCTCGTATTGTCAAACAAGATCTGCAAATGTACTCACAATGGAGAACATAACGAGAAAGGAAGCTTTTGCGAAACATCAGAAATGAGTTATACGAAATTCTGGTGGCTGTACCTCTGGCATAAGACAATGATCAAACCCTATGTACGCCAGGTCAGAGCCAACAAACAGAGAGAATGAATCGCATGCGCACCGTAAATATCCCGAGCATCTACGGAGACGGAACGTCAGTATTCATTTGAGATAGGAAGGGTTGTACACGGATCTCACGTTGCCAGACCTACCAGACAATCAGTATGACGGAGAAGGTGTTTGACAGATAGCTCACCAGACTCGCCCAGTCAGTATACCGGTGTGGCTGTGGCTCTCCATCAGGAAGTGGTAGCTTGTGTAGTAAGCCGATGTCACTTCGAAGCAACTCGCAGATTAACAAACATGACAAACCACATATGCATGCAGAAGACACTGTGGAGCGTCTCCATAATCCTGCACCGTGTCATGCCTTTACCAGATGTTCATGATTGTGCAGGAACATACATGATCGACGACACCTGCAGAGCCAACCATATTGAGGCTAATCCCAGTGAGGCATCGAAGATCCTTACCCAACCCCGCAGCAGCTTTGTATCGGTCCCGAAAATGAAGTAGCGCCACGCTTGATGTGCAGCAATGCCAAACAGCCTATATTCAGGTCAGTGTGCTACTAATACTGTGTATGTACGAGTCAACGGTCACGTACACGAGGCCAAGGAACGTGCCGATAAGGAGGGCTCCGATGGTGGTCTCAAGTGGCTGGCCGTCGGGAATAGGACCGCTCGAGGGGTTCATGCAGGGAGAAGCGGAGGAATTCAGCAGGAGAGCCATGACAGTAGGAAGATTCACTTGTAGAGCACTCGGTCCACACGGCTACCTTATGAGGGGATGGGGAAGCCTCGACAGGCAAGATTAGGAGAATTGATTGTCGCAGAAGATGCTTGCCCTTATATGCTGGACCGTACCCGGATCCCGCATGAACTGAGGACAGTCCGAGTTACACTAGTCTGCCAAGGACCATCAGACATAATCGGATTTTGGGGAGGACTCAATGTCTTTCGATACCTAAGCGAATAGGGTATCGACCTATCTGTGACTGTAGGCGGAATATGAGTGGCTGGCATCCTATGCATCTGTCGCTTATCACACCAGCAGCAACTCCACTCATAGTATATCGTGCGAGCGTTCTTGCAGCGCTCGAGTGGTAGCGTTCGGGTACCTGGAATAGAACTTCGGTATCACTAGTGAATGGTTGCATGATCACAATAGGCGGGGATCTCACCTGTACGACCCAAAGGACCTTAGCGCCCCTTAGGTGTTTGCATGACGCATAGACGAAGGACTCATCCCAACAAGATGGCGAGGCCGAATTGAAAGCTACGTGTCATAAGAACTCTGGCTATACCACTACTGATACAGCAAAGACCATCAGTGCATCGCGTCCGTGTTGTGATCGGAACTCGTGAATGCATTCATAAGCCGTATGCGTCATGTGTAAACATGGTACATCATCGCAAGCAAACGGGGTGGGACATGACATTGGCATAGGGTGGTGAGAAGAAAACAGGTTCGAGAAATGGAAAGTGGGACACGACACACACAACTTACGATGCAGCGAGCGTAGAGCATGGACGATAACCATACAAGTTGGCGTGACACAGCGTCCGCTTATGCGGCCTTGCGAGCCTGGAGACGCGAGCTCCGCCACACTTTCTTCTCCACGGTCTGGAAGCCGTCGCCCTCCTTGGGTGCCTCCTCCCGGGTAGATGCAGGGGACGGTGGGGCGGGAGACGCAGACCTGACGGGGGTAGCATCCCCAGCACCGCCCTGTTGCTTAGCCGCATCACGCGCTCGCCACCCTCCTCCAGCACCACCGAGGGCGCCGGGACGGTACTTGCCTGCGGCAGGGGCTGGACTCTCGGACCTGGGCGGAATTTCGACGCCAGCGCGAGCAGACGGTACACCAGGGCGACGCCAGACTGACGGCTCCTCGCGAGCAGGGGGGGCGCGAGGGGCTGGGGCCTGAGCACTTTGCGCGGCCTTGCGCTCCGCCTGCCTCCGCAACGCCTCCTCCTCGCGCTGCTGCTGTCGGCGGGCGGCCTCCAGAGCCTGCTGACGCTCCTCCTCCCGCTGCTTGCGCAGAGCGACGGTACGCTCCTCTTCCTCCCGCTTCTTCTGCTCTGCGGCCACGCGGGCTGCTTCTTCCTCCGCTGCGATGCGCTCTTCCTCGGCACGACGCTCTGAAGAAGTGGACATGATCAGTAAAAATCGGCGAGACAGACATAGAGACCACAGACCTTCTTCCAAGCGCCTTTCCTCCTCCTCCTGTTCCCGACGTATCCTCTCCTCCTCTTCGAGGCGCTGGCGCTCTTCCTCGCGTGCCTTCAACACTGCCGCGCGGCGCTTCGTCTTCTCCTCTTCCATCTTCTTTTGCGCAAGCTCCTTCTTCTTCGCGAACTCCTCCCCGCGGCGGGCAGCGATGGTCTCCTTCATCTGCTCGTAGTCGCTCAGCATACGCGTCAGCCGCTTCTTCGTTTCCACGTCTTGCAAGTGCGCCTGCCGGTGGGCCTCCAGCCGGGCCTTCTGCGAAGCCTCGAACACCGCACGATCGTTCGCCTGCTGAATCTCGTAGTCCTTCGCAAGCAGAGGCCGCTCCTCCTTGCGGTAGGCGCGCTCGATGTGGTCTAGGCGCTTCGACATCACGCGCATCTTCTCGTTAAGCTCCTTCTTCTCCTTCTCGAGCTGCTCAACCTGGAGACGCATGAGGTTGTCCGTGTTGAGGCTCTCCAATTCCTAGATGCGTCGTATTAGCACCGCGACCATTTCGACCAGTAAGAAGGCAACGTACGTTGATGTCCACCTTGAGCGTCCCCTTCTCCTTCAGGCTCTGCGCAAGCTTCTTCGCCTCCTCGACACGGATGCTCTCGATCTCGCGTCGCGCCCGCTCGACCTCCTTGTTCCGCAGCTCCTGCGCCGCCTTGCGCGCCTCCTCCTCCTGTTGCTTGCGCATGATCTCCGCACGCCGGCTCGCCTGCTCCTTCTCCTTCCGCACCGACAACTCGGAGAGGAGCTCGCGACGGCGGGCCACGAGCGCACGGCGGATCTGTAGGGCTTTGCGCTCCGCCTCGGCGGCTGCAACGAGAGCCGCGAACTTTGCCTGCTGCTGCTCCTCGGTTGGCTGAATGGAAGGCTCAATCGCGGCAAGAGAATTGTGGAGCGTGGCAGCAATGGTGCCGAGACGAGTACGAACAAACTCGGAAGTTGAGGGCTGCACGGCACCCAGGGCTGCAGCAGAAGTTGACGAACTCGGGTCCTCGACCGCCGCGAAGGCGCTGTCCACGAATGTGATGCTGCCGTCGGCATGATCGACACGGATGTTTAATTCGCCACGACGCGCACAGCGCATCACGTATGCCTCGATCTGCTCGTCGTCGTAAGTGCCCTCGGCAGCGATGTCCCGCAAGGGAACAACGAGCTCGAGCAAATTGCTAATCTTGATGGTGCTGTACACTTGAGAGAGCTGAGAAAGAAGACGCGACAGCACAGCATGTTGAAGGAGAGGGACATAGTGAGCGTAAACGGTATCGGACGCAAGAGACTTGAGGAGCGGGGTGACGGAGGAGGAGAGCGTGAGAGGATCGAAGGTCACCTCCAGGACATTGTACAGCGACTTGACCGTAGTGGGAGAGAGCTTGAGCGCGTTACGCGACAACTATTGCGACAAAGTCAGGGACTATGCGTTGCAGACAAAATACTATGCATGAAAGACTCACAGCTTCACGCAGCAGGCTGGTACGAGTGGGCGTCCGAGTAAGACCGAGCAAGGCGCTCAGGCGAGCATTCTTTCCCTTGGTCTCCTCAGCGCCTTCTTCCCCTTGGATTCCAACGGGAACAGCGAGGGCGCTGACGAGGACCTGTCCGGCTAACCGGCTGAGCTCTTCCTCAGACTTGCCGCCCATTGCCGTCACGACAGCATAGTAACGACCCCAAGCCGCAGCGTGGTAGAGCGCATTGCCACTCATTAGGAAAATCTTCGTCAGCTTCTCGTAGTAATTAGCCATCATCGCCGGACGAGGAGCTTTCTTCGCCATGGTGAGGAGGTTATGAACATCCTCGACCGAGCGGAATGCTTCCTGCCAGAGCTCGAGCTCGACGGAGGTATTCAGTTGTGCGAAGCGGGTGTCGAGGTGGTGCTGAAGGGTATCGGGGTCCGACAGGTTGATGGAATGTGGCTGGTGTGCGTACTTGGCTACATTAGAGAGGTGCAAACGGAGGGTCTCGCACAGACGGCGGAACTCGACCTTCCGCTGGTGCTTCAAGCAGAACTTGAAGGCTTGCTGGGCGATTTGCTACACACACGATCTCGTTACGTCATGTCCAGAAATGTAGAATCAAGGGTAACGAACCTGGTAGATGGCCTCGAGCCTCGCGTTGTTTTTCAGCGTCTCCAGAGCAGTCCGGTAGCTCTCCCACAGGAACTTGAGCCAAGGAGTGACGAGGGCCCTGTCGGTTCTGTCCTTGGTCTGATCTCCACTGACGGCGCCGAGGAGAATGCTCTCCGGGGTTTCGCTGGCCTCGAGATCGTCTACGTCGAGAGCAACTGCCTTGTCTGCCTTTTCCTGTGCCTCCTGCACCTTCGCATCGGAGAGCTGAATGAAGCGGTTCACGACCACTTCGATCGACGCCACGCTGGAGTTTTGGGCGATGTTCTTGTATTGCATGAGACCCTCCTTCGCAGTCCGGCCCTTTCGCAGTTCAACACAGAGTTCGATGAATCGGAGCATTATGGGTTCCAAGGAGGCCAGAGGAGTAGAGCGGAATCGCTTGGATGAGAACATTTCGGTGAGGGATTGGAGTGCAGCATGGTTCTGTCCGACGGAGACGAGTCCCTCGGCTTGTTTAAGAACCGTCTCGGGCTTTGTAAAGGGCGCCATGTTGGGCGATTTTTGAGCGTGGCGTCGGCGAGAGCGTCGAGGACGGCGTGTACGACGACGAGAGTAAAAAGTTGCGCCAGTCACCGCCCCGGAGCCGATAAGGTTTGCCAGATTCAACCTCCGATCATCGGCGCTATATGATTATCTGCTTGCGCCCTTGAGCTCCTCGAGTCTCGACGTCAACAGACGGGGATTCCACTGAATGTCATGAGTTTATTAATCGGAAAGATACCTCAAGAAATACCTTTTCAGCTTATGCCAATAGACTTGCGAGAAGGAGGCGGGGTCTGACTCGATGATCAGTGAAAGTGCGGACATGGATGTACTAACGGTCCGAGGTGGTCCCACTGCACGATAGTCTAGATTAGCTACGTTGTACAGCTTCCGATCGCCTTGCTTGCGAAAGAATCTTCATTGCTGGTGTTGGGGCGAGAGGACTGTATTGGTGTACGACCGAGGTGTTCCTTAGTTGGCTGTGCTGCTATCGAAGTCTCAAGATCCTACCGACTCCTCGGCATCTCGAACCACCATGGCCACACAGGATGTATCGCCAACACTCCAGCTCCTCGAGAAGTCGGAGAAAATCTCCCAAGGAGCAGAAGCCGTGAGTACGAGTACGCGCAATGTGAATTATTCGCTAATCCCGACCTTTGTCCAATCTCAGAAAATCTACAGGGCGCAGCTTCATCCTACGCCATTCACATCCGAGTCCAATTCCGATGGGGAAAATGTGCTCCTAAAGTATCGCTTCCACAAGCAATACAGGCATCCGACGCTCGACGCGTCGTTAACAAAGTCGCGTGTAGCCGGGGAGGCGCGGGCTATCATCAAGTGTCTACGGCAAGTCTCCTGAACTCTGTTGCTCGTCCTCTCATGACTGAGGCCGTCTTCACCACACGTGCAGGTCAGGAGTGAACGTTCCAGGTATACGGATGGTCGACGCGGCCGAAGGTGTCCTCGGGATCGAGTGGATCGAGGGCAAGAGTGTACGGTTCCTTCTTGGGGGCGGCGCTGAATACGAGGGAGAGATCGTCGAGGATGCCGACGCACCCGAAGATGAAGACGAAGTCACAGAAGTGGAAGAGGAAGACCTCCTAAAGGAGTACGGGGTCTCAGCAGGTTTTCCCATTCTCTACCCCCGCCGTGATCTGCATGAAGGCTAAATCCATGATGCTAGACGTCGTAATGGAGATGATCGGGACAGAACTCGCGAAGATGCACCAGGCGGACATCGTCCACGGAGACCTCACGACGTCCAATATGATGCTCCGACATCCTGCATCGCCGAAAGGGCTCCAGCTGGTACACTCATCCATTCCCTCCTCGTCGACATGGCTGACGAATGCATGCGAAGGTGCTTATTGACTTCGGACTCGCATACATATCGACCCTTGTCGAGGACAAAGCTGTCGACCTCTACGTCCTGGAACGTGCTTTCTCGTCCACCCACCCAGCATCTGAGGGCCTCTTTGCTGGGGTATTAAAGGCTTACGAGAAGAAGATGGGCAAGGACTGGGCAGCCATCTTGCGCAGATTGGAGGACGGTCAGCCTCTAGTACCCCTGTATCTGTGTTTCATGTGACTGACACTACTTGACAGTACGACTCCGCGGGAGAAAGAGGAGTATGGTTGGCTAACGTACATAGACTGTATGTACGGAAACGACAAGAGCAGACAAGGATAACTACATGTAACATCAGAGAGCGCCCGTAGCGCCGACGACGAGGTGCATCGGTACGGGAAGGACCTGCGATAGAAGCAAGTCGTCAGTCACGAAGAACGCGCATGTATCAACCGTAACCAAAATTTGGAGGGTCTCAGAGAGAAGATAAACCCTAAGTAGGGCTCAATCATGCGAGAGCGTCGTACAACAACCTCTCGTCAGCAAGAACGCAGCGATACACATTTCTCATCATTGACAGCAGTCGCTAGTGTCCGGAACATAGCAGTGGTCAAGGAACAGAACGGTACTCACATACTATATGACAAGCCCTCTAGGATTGGGAACACCTACTCATGTAGACAGGATTGTATTTACGGCCTACCATGAGGCTCGGCCTCGCAGGGCAATAAACGGGATCTAGAAGAAGAAGAAGAAGAACACCTACTCATTGCTTGACGCGTAGAAAGGATCGACTCTAGGGGCTACGGACAGGTACAGCCAGAGAACGGGAATCGACTTACCTCCAACCGCTCTCTCATAAGCAAGGTTTTGACGCGTCTCTGATCGCGCAGGAGACAATACCGCAGGACTGTGACATGGGTCCCGTGCTAACGGACATCCAAACTGTAGAGCCCTAGTTGCTTCGATCGCTGCGTGGCATGCAGCACGGAGGAGACGCGCTTGCGCAGGCTAGGCTGGGTTTGGGTTAAATGCATCAGATAATGACCTGGTATGAAACCCTCGCATTTAGGGTCCCTAGGGCACACGTCTAGGGTGGCAGCATACAGGCGGGAAGCTGTTTGTGAGGTGAACTACAGAACCGTGTCACCCGGCGACTGCAAGACGTACCTCTACGAATAAGCAATGCGCCGCTACCCCCATGCCTACTCACTCGTCATCGTATCCTGAGATCGCTCTCCTGGGCCTGTTCGGAACTACACGGGCACGAGTGCGTGAGCTCAGGCTCTCCAAAGAAGCGGCGCGCATAGAGCGTTCCTCTTCCCGACCAACACATATGCACGAAGCGCAGTACTCACCAGGGTAAGACGTTGGAATGGGCTCTGCAGGTTTCCAGCCAAGCGATTTACGGATTGGCGGAACGGTGACGACCATGACGGGGCCAATGAGGCCTATGATGACGGAGTAGAAAATGACGGGCTGCTCGTGGGCTTGCCGTTGCTGATGTAGGACAACAAACAATCACATCAGTCGGGAAGATTGTCGCGAGCACTGGATTGGAGGGTTTATGCGCACAAGGTAGCGGTAGGTCCTGGTCCATGCAGCGGCCATGGTGGCGAATGTCGGAACGTTGGCCGTTGGCGTCTACCCGTCGTTGCAGAGTCACAGGCGTGAGTAACGTGTAGTGACGCTGTCACACTCTGCTGAACATCAGGTTGGGCGACCCGATACCGGTTAGCATGGGTATGCTGGGGTATGATATACTTCTAATTACTCAACGGGTATCCTGAAATTATATGATATGTATAAAATTGTTGCATATCCGCGCATATATCCCTCATATACTATTGCCTTCCGTACCATTGTCACTGCCAAAATCCGACGACCTTCAAGTTCAAAGTTGCGGTCTGCCAAGTATTTCCTCCGTTCCAACTAGAGACTTCGGTGATACTGGTGGGGGTGTATCTGAATCAGAACTATCACCTTCACCCATGGCATCCACGGCAAGTAGCCCCTCCTCCAGAGAGGCATCTTGAGAGACAGATCTGCTCTTCGCAGTACCTCTCGTGGGTGTTTGCTTGCTCAGCTAGAGAGGAAGTTATAAGCCACCAGATATTACATCATTATTGGACACTTACAGCTACGTATATTGCTGACGAAAGGATGATGACTGTGCCAATAATGGACAACGGCGGAGGAGTCGTGTGGAAGAACATTCGCTCGAAGACAAGTGCGAAGATGACCTAATCAGTGACGACAATTTATAGCACGAAAAGACCGAGCAAAGCATGTCAGACCGCTAACCTGGACATATATTGCCATGGTCCCTCTGCCTGCAGTTTCGCGCTGGAGTCCTGAGGTCATCGTCATCTATAGGTGGCGGCGGATCGGTTATCGTGTGCAGGATTAGCATCATCGAAAACAGCTCACCTGAGCAGCAAAACCGCAGCCACTGACGGCTAGAATCATGGCCGAGCAAGATACATTGTCAGGTACCACACATTGAATCTGTGCGAACACCATCCTGCGAATGTCTCTCAGTTGTCGAGACTGTCGCTGCAGTACCCACAGCATAGGACGTACAGTATTGGCGCGGTGAGAATGCAAAACAACGAGAACGCGCCAAGGTTGTGCATTGGATGCGCGCGCTTGCCAATTGCACGGATGGTCGTATCTGCAAGTGTGCCGCGAGTCGTATTGCTCAGATGGGATCCCGACTTGACTAGGAATACTCACAAGCACTCGTAAGTCCCACGACTCCCAACAGAGCGACGCTGCAATAATAGAAGTGTGAGTGATGGGCGCAACGGTAGCATGCCTATGCACATACCTCACAGCAACCAGACGTTGCGCCGATGTGACAATTCTCAGAGATTCTGCCTCGTCGATTTGTTCATTCTGATGTTGTCGCCCAAATAGAAACTCGGGTCGTGCAATTAGAACGACTCCAACGAAGCTGAACACTAGAGCAGATCGCAACAGATCAGTGCCTCAAGAAGGTCAAGAAAACTCACCGCTTGCAATCATCTGTCTGGCAGTTAGATTCTCCTTGAGCAGAAGTGCCCCAGTGGCCGCAGTGCACATAGGCGTCAGGAAGGACAGCACGGTCACATCCGACAGCGAGAGATATTGCAGAGCATAGTAAGTCCCAAACAAGCCGACGAATCTTCAGGTAGAGATACATCAGTCATGATCTGGTCCTATCGGCGAACTCTTGAACTCACCCTGACAAGCCCCGATACGCCAACAATGTTCGAATTCCCTTCGGGCCCAGTACCGGCTTTGGGACCTTGGTCACCGACCTGCAGCAAAGGTGATGATTTCATGACAGCCAACGCCTTCCCACCTCTGTTAGTGCAAACTCACATATATGCGACACAGACTACCCATGTCATCACCATCCGAACCCAAATGAGCTGCGCCGGTCCGAATTAAAGACATCCATCAGCAGTGTACGTCTACAGAGCTTCCAACGACGCCCATCCTATCCACTTGGACTCACCTCTAGTGGATGCACCGGCGGATCGACTTCGTTGAGCTTCTTCACGAAGACGCTCATCAAGGATGCAAAGCCTTGCGACAGCGCGATCAGAAGTAATCCTGCATTGTCCCTGAAGAATGCGGTGAAGAGGCGTAGATAACGCCTCAGTGGCGTTCGTGCCGCAAGATCTTCGCCTCCAACAAGCTCCGGGCCCTCCAAGATATTCTCGCCCTCATCCGCTTCGTCAAGAGTTGCAAGGGACAAATATTCGTGGCCTGCGTCAGTTGTTTCGTCGTGCTGTGATCGCATGCCTAACTACCAGGACCGCAGAGGGAGGCTAGACGCAGAGACGATCTCGTGAGAACTTCGCTGTGTGTACCGATTGTACGAGGTAGGTAGTGCGGCACCGCGCGCTGTCGTGCGCTGATGATATTCCACCCAGGACTCGTACTCTCAATTCCTATAGCGTCCGGTGTGTGAGAGCGTCACCTAGATGAATGTGGACATGCCGGCGGCCGTCAGTAAATCTTCCGAGGTTTCACAGCTCTTGAGACTTGTGGGATCTGTCGAGCACTTCTTGTTCCGCCGGCACTCCTGTCGTTTTCTACAGCCGACGCCTGAGGGGTTTATGGTCAAATCTGTATGTGGTGTCAATGTGAGTACTCGTGAGCGTGCGGTGCCACCGCGAGGTGTGTAGCTGGGTTGGCAGGAAGCCAGGCCCTGCCGCCGTAGCAGAGACCGATTAGTTTCATTGCACCTGTTAACCTTCCACGATCCCAAGTGGTACTTGGTCGTTATCAGGTTGCACTGCACCTTCTCGGCCCGCATACACAAGAAGCGCCAGCACCGTCGCTCCGGCGCCACCGGTGCATATCTGCAACGGCCTTCCATGTTACCACCATTGCTCTTGATTGGAAGACGGTATGAGACGTGTCGCAGGTGCGTCTTCTTTGACTCATGATCCTGGATAGACTTGAAGCTCAAAGCCGAGGATATTGTCGACGCGGCGCTCCTTGGGTAGGCTTCCATATCCGAGTCTGAGCCGCATTCCAATCGCTCAACACTGCGTACGTCACGGAGCCGTTCTCAGATTCGGGTCTCGACTGGTAGGTAGGCACTACTGTTGAATGTCGACCGTTCAGAATGTGAGCAAATTCTTAGCAGCTTGATCATCTCAGTCGACTGATGCAATCGCGGTGCACATCATAGACGGGTTTACGACTTGGTTTGTCTTTCAAGATGCATCCCCTTTCATTCCATGTGCGATGCTCGACGCGATTGTTCGCTAATTGTTTTTCAGACGATTTCGGGTATAACTCTAACTACAGATATAGCAGGCTTTCCCCCGTTCATCGACGCCACGCCTTGTGCGCAGTAGAAAATAACGTCTCAGTGCTATGTATCAAATTTGCACAGTGCCTGCGAATTAGGTCAATGTTCAGTGACAACTCACCATCGAATGCACACCAAGAGTTTCCAGCGGCGCTCAGCTCAAGGGCTTCTCCTGCAGCGTTGTCCACGGGCGTGGCACGCCTCAAACAGACAGCTCGGATGACGACGTAGTGACCCCCGAGTCCTTACCCCATATTCCAACTTACCGTTCTAAGGATCACACATCATCGTGCGGCTCGCAACAAAAAGCTCCCGCCGGCAACCTCACGACTGTCTGCCTTCGTTTCGGTGCTGGGCGCTGATATCTCACAGTTCACAGGGAATCTCCGTGTTACTGCCGATCTGCTCCCATACGGGGGACCGCAGTCAGGACGAGCGGGAGATTGACTCCGCGATCATCCGGATCCGTGTCCGCTGCAATGGATGTCCGTGTACTCACAGCCAATACTCGGACTTGGTCTTAGGTGTCAGTGGGACGGACCAGATGATTGACAGCAGCGAGCCGCCCGTGCCTTCTCCCATGTCCCACTGGCGTCCCCGGCATCAAGCGTGGTAGACTTATAATCAGGTTGTATGCGGAATGCACACGACCTGGATCCTAATCCCCGCGCTCGATATGGCTGCTCCTCCCTCTGCGTCAAACACTACGGTCCCTTCAGGCAGTGCCTCCGCTAACCCGTTTGCAGCTCTCCCGGCGATCCCACCACTCGACGACACATTTGGCGCTCTGCTCATTGGGACATTTGTCGGGCTCATGTGAGTAACGCCTCTGTTATAGTCATGTTCCACTTTCATAGCCCACTCAGTCAGTATGGCTGGACCACGCATCAATGCTACCGCTACTTTCGCATGTACCCCGAAGATACATGGCTGTTGAAAAGTCTTGTGCGTTCCTCAACTGAGCCTACCCGCGTTCATAGCTGACATAGCTCAAGGTTGCGGGTGTTCTGTAAGTCCCTCATGCGTGGCTGAGGACTCACACCACGTCTCGATTCACCTTCTTCGAACTTCGTATTTTTAGCCTTCTGGAGACATTTCACAGCGTCTTGTGCATGCACATATGGTGAGCTGATCGGTGGCGCCGCGGCCTCAGTTTTCGCGGCTGACATCGTAGCGTCTAGCTACTTCTATCTGACAACTAACTACTTCCATCCGCTGGCTTTGCAAAGCGGGGTCTGGTGAGTCAAATGAACGTGACTGCTGTTCCGTAAGGCGCAGCTAACGCCGGTCATTATTAGGTCGATCAGCGTAAGTCGCGCATCTAGTGCGTCGAAGAACGAAGCACGAAGAGCTGACGCCCTTCCGACGGAAGCTATTGGGTGTAGTCACGGTACGCCTCTCTCACATGAACTCGCCGCTCGCGCCACTTCGTCCAAGCTGGCGCACGGGTCCTCTGAGATACTAACAGGTAAATTGTCAGGGGGCGGTTATCTTCCTGTCACAATTGTACGTCAGTCTCGCTATCTCGCCCTATTGGACGGCACGCGAATGATGCGACGTTTGTTTAGATTCTTCCTGCGCCGAGTTTATCTGAGTACGTGCACTACATCCCGCATGGCCATGTCATTCCTGAAGCGCAGCAGTTGGAAAGAAGTTCCGGCCCCTAGTATTTCTCTGCGTGAGTACGGTTTATTTCGTATCAGAAAAATGGGTCCCCTCATGGCTTCCTTAGGCACTATTTCTTTTGACAGAGCTTGGTGAGAAAGCATCTGGATGTAACATCGTGCAATCTATTGATCGCTCCAATCTTGCGCGTGTCATCTTCAGGCCTCGCGACCAGTGAGTGAAATAAGACTATATGACCTTCTATTGATCACCGTCAACTATGAACCAATCAGGCGTGACCGTCGATACGTATGTCAAGCATCTGGTCATTCGTGCAGCGGTTGATCACTCACACGCTTCTGCAGCTTCATCCATCCGACTTTGCATAACTCGGACCAAGCGGTATGTGCTCCAAAGCCGACTGTGCGAAGCATACACTTAGCCCTGCTTAGTGGATGAATTCCGCAGGAGTCGGGATAGCCGCGCTCTCGGACACGCTCGTTACTGCTGCTCTTACGTTCTCATTGCACCGCAGCCGCACTGGTATCAAGCGGTATGGACACATTTTTGGCTCCTGAGTCCTCACGCTGATTTTGTTCTCATCGCACAGTACGGACTCGCTCATCGACGTCTTAATCATGTATGCGATCAACACTGGGCTCGTCACCGGGTAAGAATTGTAGCTCTGTTCTTCTCTTCTCCTTTTCTGAGTGCCCATGATCTCTGGTCTTCAGAATCGCGAATATCTTATCCTTCTGCTTCGTGAGTCTCCTTTTGCCTCTAGCGAGCACGCGGAGCATACCTCCCCGTCCTCTCTAGCGCCGATTGAGTACCTGTCTCTATGCGAAAATGGCTTACGAGAATTGCATCGCAGGCCATAGCCATGCCCAACAATCTCATCTATGCCGGCATCGACATCGTGGCTACAAAATGTAGGTCCCGTGAGCGCCGCACAGATCCTCGAACTGATGTGTGGTCGTAGTCTACGCGAACTCTCTGATGGCCGTGTACGTTTCCCGCTGTGACACTGTCGGATCCTTCTAATCTCACTTATCACTGATCAGGCTCAACTCCCGCCGGGCACTCGCCCAAAGCACGTCCGGGCTCGTGACTTCAAGCTCGATGAACATGTCTGTCCTCCCGCGGAATCGGGGGACGCGGGGAACGTTGAATCGAGGCCACCGCTCAAGTGTATGTCGACTGCTCCCCTCTACTGATACCGTAAAGTTGTATGCTGACGAAGATGGGCTGGGCTGTAGCCGACAATCGACATCATGGTCACAAAAGAAACGGTCGGCGGCGATGTGTCCTCTCATTCTTTGGCCAGATATGAGGACCATAAAGAGGAAATGCTTGGTATGGCCGTCTGATGTTTGGTAATTTATCACGCAGCGTGTTCCCATCTGTATTGATATCCCGACTATCTTTGCCCGGGAGCATGCGTTTAATTCCATCATTCTCGGAGGGTCAGCACTACCGTCCTTACAGTTGTTGTACTATTATGTTATACACTGAAGTCCTATCTATTGCGTCCGTAATGTTTCCCGATGATGATGATAATATGGTGGTGGGCTGAGTTTTGGGCCAGCCGAAGGTGAACATGAATCGACGGTTTCGGTTCGTGACTGGAGTCACGAAGTTTTGACGGCGCGGGAGGCCGCGTCGACGCGCGATGTCTTCGCCGCTTGCCGCGAACAAGCACGCGTGCTCCCAGCCCGCTACCGCTTCCTTCCCGTCATCCTTCACAGTCCCTTCCTATGCTTGCTAGTCGTCTCGCCCGCTGCTCTCGGTTCTCGTCTTCACCTTCATCATCGTCCAGAGCAATTCCTAAGCCGCTGCACCCAGTCGCGCGACAAGCCAAAGTCCGGAAATACAGTAATACCCCCTTCGACCGGCCTCGCTATGTGCGCTTCGGGGCGTCTGGCCCCGAAGAACCCGGGCAAGGGAAGGGGAGCCCATGGGACGTGCGGAACTGGGATAGGAATACGAAGGTAGCGGCGGGCATCGGGGCATTCGTCGTGGGGTACTATGTGACGCAGTACGTATGTGCAGGCTTTGTATCTTGCGCCGACGATTTGTCCTAACGGACACGTTCGTTGCGTGAAGTCTTGAGAGGGTGCCAGAGACGGGTCGATGGCGTTTCATGGACATCAGCCCGAAGTACGAGTCTCAGGTGCGTTTTCCCATCTCCATGATGTAAGAATGGAACGAGATATATCTCCTCTGTTTGATAGCTCGCAGAGGCGTCGCATCAAGAGCTGCTGCAAGAATTCAAGGGCAAGGTCCTCCCACCAAAGCACCCCATCACCAGACACGTCCGCCGGGTCACACAGCGCATCCTGGAAGCAAATGACCTTGGCACACTCGACGCTCCAGACGTCCATCGCCCAAAGGGAGCCGACGACGTGTGGTCGTTTGACCAGCAGGACCAGCTGCCACCCGAGGTCGGTGGGCCGAAGCAGTGGCATCTCTTTGTGGTGGCGGACGACAAGGTTGTTAACGCTATGGCGGCGTACGGTGAGTGGACAGGAAGTGTATGCCGTACAATCTAGAGTCGTTGACCTATCAGACGCGTAGGGAACATCGTGGTTTTTACTGGCATTCTGCCAGTAGCTAAGGACGAGGACGGACTGGCTGCTGTTCTAGGTCACGGTAAGCTTCTCGTAACCAATACAGTGCTCGTGGTTCTGTTAGCTCTCGCTGACCTGCTACCCCCATAGAAATCGGACATGCAGGTACATCTCTGAGCAGCTGTATGCGCGCATACACCTATGACTGACGTTTGTATGTACAGTCGCGCGGCATGCATCAGAACGATATTCGTCGTTGAAGGTCTTCATCCTTCTCGCGCTCATTCTCGACATGGTAGGTATCCCCTTCTCAAGTGCCACAACCCGTCTCCTGTACGACCTGCCGAATTCCCGGACAATGGAGTATGAAGGTCCGTGGCCTAAATCTACTCAAAGCCATCTTGCGATCTAAATCCTCTGGCGTTTTGCTTCAGCCGACAAGATCGGCATCCGCCTTTCCTCTCGCGCATGTTTCGACCCGAACGCAGTACCAGAGTACGTCCTCCCTGCGCACGCTCGCGACCTATCGGCCATATATGACGTCTGTTGCTACAGGATGTTCAGCCGTCTCGGCAAGCTGGAACAAGCCATGGGCAGCCGGCACATCGACTTCCTCACCACACACCCGGCCTCAGAGAAGCGTTCTGCGGTGTGTTGTGTCAATCTCGCCCAATGCCCTATACGCGAGTGCTCACGATCGCTTTCTCAGATTTTGCGGGAAATGCTGCCAGAAGCGTACGCGGTGCAAGCGGCAAGCCCTACGTGCGGGGCCACGGCGGACCACATGGCTGCATTCAGGGATTCGTGGCTGGGCGACCTGAATCCCGACAGGATGTCGGAAACTCGATGGTCATAAAGAACGGGGCAGCGCATGACGGCCTAGCTAGAGCGGACATACTCGAGACGACGGGGGCTGTGACCTGTTCTCATTGGGGAGGGAGACGTCAACTACACACTACTCATTATCACCGTTGCATATCCTGACCCTAGCAGGGAGTTAACATGAGCAAAAGATCACGTCGGTCTCCACAGCGCCCTCGCCTGTCCCGTGCGTTCCGAGTCCTTCCAACTCCTCCCCTCTTGCCACACAACGAGCGCCGAATCGTTTGCAGCCATACCATCGTGCCCAACGATACGGACCGACCCGATTTCCCAGTCTCAGTATCGCGCCGGCTCAGTGCAGCCTCTAATTCTGCGCGCGAGATTCGTTGTGAGCTTGAGCGGCCCTTCCTGATTCTCTGGTAATTCGCAAGTCTCAATCGCCTCACTTCGACGTCCTCGACGTCCAAGCTATACGGAATGACGCACTTTGTTCTCGTGACAAAATTCACGAGATGACGAGTAGACTCCTTATCTCAGAGGGATGGGCCGTCCTCGCAAGCAAGCCGCACCACGACATAGTCCGCTGAAGATGTTCTAGTCCCCAAGGCAAACACGCTGCGAGCGAAAATCCTCCGCATCATCGTGATTCACTCCTGCAGTCGCCTGAAGGCCTGTTCGCTTCACCGTAAAGCGCAGGCGTGTTGATCCCGAAGATACCCAACATTCAGCATACTGATGATCAAATAGCGGTTCACTGTTTTGAGGTCACTAAAGAGATAATGCTGACACGAGTAACGTAACAAGAAGTTATGATACTTCTCGCCGAATACGAAAGGGTTGTAAGGAAAAGTGGAACGACCTTATGTTAATGCGGCCTCTAAGGTTAAAACCAAAGTTTTGTCTGATGAGTATGAAAAACAGTGTCCTTTTCCATCGATTTTCCGATTTTAATGAAGGATGGGTCAGGAAGATGATATATTGATGCTCTCGCCGATCTGGGAGCTGCTGGTCTTCTCGATGCAGGACAAGCCGACTCAGGTGTAGTCGCCGTTGCGGCAGGCAATCTATAAATACTGGCGTATTGAGTAGGACAGGGAGCTCTCGAAGCAAAACAATGCCGCCTATTACGTAGGGAAGCAAAAGATCTTTCTCAGTCACACAGTTCCGACACGGGGAATCGAACCCCGGGCTATCGCGTGAGAGGCGATAATGTTAGCCACTACACCATATCGGACGACATTCTGGAGACAAACATGCTGATCTCAAGATTTATAAAGCCCCAACTGTCCTAGGCAGCGAGGCCCAACCTCACCAGGTCGAGCGGGCGCAACACCAACGCTTGCTATGCCTCGTCCACCATCGCCTTCAATACCTGAGAAAGAATTTGTCTATGGCGCTCTCAAGCAATCACTCCGTCTCGACGGACGCGCCATGCTCGAAATGCGCACGCCGACCTTGAGCTTCGGTCCGGAGCTCGGTTGGGTCGAATGCGCGATGGGCAAGACTCGGTACGCCCCGACTCTCGCCCTCTCAACGCCCAATATCACGCTTACAAGCCGCATATATGCGCCCGCTGACATCTGCAGGGTGCTAGCGCAGGTCGACGGCAAAATGGTGAAACCCCCTCCCGAGCGGCCGCTCGAAGGAATCATCTCCATCCACTCCGAGCTCTCCCCGATGGCGTCCAACGAGTATGAGCCCGGCCGGTAGGTAGGTGTGCCCTCAGCGCGACTGCTCTTGCGCCTCACCCACTCTGTCTCTTGCTGTGGGTGTGTAGGCCGACGGAGGAAGAAGTCGCCTTGACCCGGATGCTGGACAAGGTCCTAAGACGGAGCGACGCGGTGGACAAGGAGAGCTTGTGCGTGCTTGCCGGGCAGAGGGTGCGTTTTCTGTCATATACCACCATACGAGGCATTCAACTGTAGGCAGGTGTGGCACATCCGACTGACGATCCATGTCCTGTCCGACGCGGGCAACATGGTCGATTGCGCCTGTCTCGCCGGTATCGTCGCGCTCAAACACTTCCGGAGGCCAGAGGTCGAAGTCGAAGGCGACGAGATCACTGTCGTACGTCCTCGCGAATTCTCTCCTCCTTTGATCCCGTTCGCGACCCCACCAACCCCTCCCCTCTCTCATCCATAGCACCACCCTTCCGAGCGCGCCCCGGTGCCGCTCTCGATGCACCACACGCCCTTCTGCTTCACTTTCGCCTTCTTCCCCGACGCCCCGCCTCTGGTGGACCCCGCGCGCCTCGAAGAGACCCTCAGCGCGGGTCTTCTCTCCGTCGCACTCAACGCACAAAAGGAGCTGTGCGTGGTGCAGAAGGCCGGGGGTTCGCCCCTCCCCGCGGAGGAAGTGCTCGCGATCATGGACATAGCCGTCGCGAAGGCGCGCGAGCTTGACAGGCTTGTCGAGGCCCGGTTGCAGGAGGACTGGAAGGGGAGGGTCGTCGAGGTCCGGTAGTCCAGCGTGCGAAAAGGAACAAACACAAAAACGTATTCGGGCGATGTGCGAATTGAAAGTACAGTATGAGCAAGGTAATATGCAGGGTCGCAATGTATGAGACGATGGTGGCAAGGTGCAGTTTTCCAGGTGTGCAAATGGCGATGTTTGTAATTTGGATGACACGTATCCCTTCGCCGTTTGAATGCAGTACGTCTATCGTCTCTAATTACGAGCGGAGCGGTTGATCGCAAATACACAGGAGACACCATCCAAGTTAACGCACCTAAGTAAGTGCATCCATGAGTACTACTTACGTAAGCGTGAGTCAAGGAGAGCAGACGCCGAGCGGCCTGGTCAAACACCGCCACGCCTCCCGGGCTCAGTGCCGCTGATTATGGCTAATAATCCTCCCTCCCCCGATGTCCAATCTGCTACAGAACTGTGGCAGAAAGCATGAGGACACCTCTGGCCCCACCGCTCCTCAGGGAAGATCTCTTTGGCCGATATCTCTCCTAGTAAGGACGTACTGATGCCGACGAGAGCGTCGGTCCTGCTGCCAACCGCGATGTCGACAGTCCCCAACTCGAGTGGGAATACAATTGTCTACACAACATCCGCTCGATCGTAGAGGAATGTGGTGGAAACCCCGCAATCCAGGACTTCCTCGTTGTCCGTCCCGAATACCTCTGGCTCAGGGAGGCTATTGTAACCGGGTACTTGCAGAACACAGACGCAATGGTCGTCACGGGCCAGCCGTGCATCGGTTCGTGCAATCGCTTCATGTGCCTTTGTTCGTGCTAATCTGTATGTGCTCCGGCAAGACCGTCTTCCTCCTATACCTGCTCCTCTACCGTCTGGAGCGCAAATTGCCTACGGCGATTCAACTGAACAAGGACAGTATCGTCGTCTTCAACGCTGATGGTGCGGCCGTGTACGATGACCGTGCAAGGATACGCTTCGACCGCCAGTACTGGGCTCTAGCGGATTCCAACGCTACGGTCATCAGTCCATGCGAAGCCTTCCAGTATTCCCGCGCACGCCTTATCCAGGCTTCTCCGCCGAGGCCCGACAGATGGGAGGAGTGAATAAAGCAGCGCGATGGCGAGGTCGTAGTCTCAGACTTGCCGACCCCACTCGAGATAGGGGCTATCTCGTCAGTTGCTCTTTGTATTTCTGATGGTATATGTCTTGCTTATATGGCTTGTCAGCAGGAAAGAGGCCGGGCTGGACTACTCCCAGGCGTACCACTTCATCAGCAAGTGGGGGCCGTGTACTCGATCGATCCTCCGTCTCATGCGCAAACACCCTGAGTTTCGCGACAGCGCTGAGAGAGACCTGCGCAGAGAGGCCTGGAAGGCTGCGGCCGCCGTCTGCGAGAACCTCGCCGCGTTCTGTTATATCAACGACCCTCGGGGCGCCCTCAACACAGTTCCCAGTATCGTGTTCATTCGCCCGCATCGTCCTCGGCGCCTGCGTACCTCCTTGATGCTGAGTTCCTCGATGGCCTGGGCTGTATACACCATTCCTACCCCCCTACCTTACCGACATCTTCTACGACCAACGCCAGCAGAACGACAATCGGCAAGGGTCTGTAGTTCTTCCACATGCCTAGCTCGCACAGAGATCACCTACCGGACGGATCTCCGAGCGACGCGCGTGCAATCTCCTCCAGCACCCACCCCCCGTCGTGCCCGCGGGCTTCTCGCCCTCTTCCCGTGGCAGCGAGTCGAAGACGTCCCCGCCTTCGTCGCAACAGCTGCTCGCTCGCCTCGCCAGCGCGCGCCCATAGCGCATCCCTCTCTCTCTCTCTCCTGGGCTTCGTCCGGGTCTGACGGGTGTCGACGGCGTTCTTGCGGGGGCATCAGACACGTCTAAGCCGGACGCGCAGCGACGGCGGGACGACCGCTTTCGCTTCGGATAAGGGAGGACCGAGGTGTGCGAACGAAACCGGCGCGCGTTCGACGTCCCGTCGCCACGACTCGCCGCCGCGGAGGAGCGGTCGAGCCGTGCCCCTGCGGACGAGTCTGCGCGGGGGGTGGAGGCCAAAAACCCCTCGGCAGGGCGAAGAGGCCGGTCCAGGTCTGGGGCGGCGTCCTGCCGTCGCTTTCGGCCTAGTCTGCCGACGCTTCTCGTCGGCGGAACGAACAGGAGCAGGAGGGCGCGCGGCGCGAAGCAAAGCAAAGCAGCCTCGATTGTGGAATGTGGAAAGGGGGCCCAGGGCCGGAGAGGAGCGGCAGCGGCCGTCCATCAGATCGTGTACTCCTATGCGAGACGTCTACCTTCGCAGCGTGCGACCTGCGCGCCCTCGATGCGCGGTCCGGCCGTGTGCACTGTGCGCAAGTCTGATATCGGTGGGTGTGCAGTTGGTACGCTTACAGGGACGACAGGATCCGCGGGGTGCTGCCGTCGCCGCCATGTCGGCGTGCAAGATGACGGCGTTCCCGGTTCCCCGGGCCCGTCCTCGTTCTCAAACGTGCACTCCCAGAAACCAGGGGAAACGAGCTCGGGGGGTCTGTGACCGCCCATACACGGGGGCCCGAGGCCAAGCCGCCGCTCGCGCGAGAGCCACCGTTGAGACATGGGCTCGCCGTTATTCTCATGCGGACGGGCCGTCCGCTCACGTTAGGGGGGCATGCTGGGCTGCGGTTCGCCAAGTGCTTTCAGTGAAGCAGTCGCGAATACCTGGAGCCGTGGGCCTGGTCATGTGCATGTAGACGTGCATCATGTCCGGGGGGTCAGCACACGACCCCGGCAGACCCTCCGGACCGGAAAGTCTCGTCGACGTTCCGGCAGGAGCAGGACGAGGGCGGCGCGAAGCGCACCCCCAGATAAGCGAATGCTAGAATACGTGGTCGACCTCGTGTGCTCAGGAGGTGTGTTCAGGACGCGCAAGGGAGCTCTGACGTCTGGAAGTTTTGTATATGTGGACGACATCTGTGAGACGTCTGTAGACTACGTCGAGTACATCGGCGGCGGCAGACGGGATCCGATGCGATGAGTGAGCGACGGTGCTTAGAGTAACTAGAGCAGTGCGAGAGCAAAGAGCGTCGACGAGAGGACATTCTAAACGAGCGGCGCATGCGTATCGTCAGCAAGCTTCAAAGAACGTCAGAGAGAAGACGGGCCGGACACAGAGACACCCGCGGCGGCGCAGCCCCGCCCACGAAACGCGCCCCCGCGTCCATCCGTCAGCAAGAGGCCCGCTGCCCGCGGGGCCAAACACTATCGCTATTGCGGCGCGTACCCCACGAACTCGAACTCTGGCCCGCCCTCGCCCTCGCCCTCGCCCTCGCGGCCGGCCTCCTGCGGCGCCGGGTCCGGCCACACCGCCCACTCCGCCCCGCTGAGGAAGAGGACGCGCCGCAGGCCGGGGCACGTCTTGTGCCACAGCGCGAGGTGCGCGCGCTCGTGCACGCGCGGGAACGGGGTGTCCGCCCCCGCCCCCGTCGACCGCGCGCTCAACGGGGGGCCGCCGCCTCCGCCCCCGCCCACGCTTGCACCCGCCCCTGCCCCGACGCCCGCGCTGGCGCGGGGGGAGAGGTACGCGGACGAGTAGGACGCGGTGGACGCCCTGCGCGCGGCCTTGGTCGAGGCGGCCGCGGCGGGGTTGGGGGAGATGGGCGGGGAGGCGGGGGGCAGGGGGAACTCGAGGAGGGGCGAGGGCGGGTGCGGGGGCGGGGAGTCGCGGAGGAGGGCGAGGGTGCGGAGGGCGCGGAAGCGGGCGAGGAAGGACGCGACGAGCTTGTAGAGGACCTGGCAGATGGGGAGATTCAGCGGACGGTTCGCGAAGGAGAGAACGGAGGGGGGAAGCGGGGATGGGGCGGAGGGGGAGGCGGCGAGGCGCGGCGGTGGGGTTCGCGACGCGGGGATGGGGTTCGCGATGCGGGGATGGGGTTCGCGACGCAGGGATGGGCAGATGGCGGATGGGGAACGGGCGGAGAAGCGGCGTGCCAGGCACCGCATCTCGCACGGGAGAAGATAGAACGCGCGAGGAAGGGGCGCATACACGGCCGCGCGAAGATGCAGAACCCGCGACCGATAGATGTCGACAGCGAGCAGCAGCAACGAGGGCGACACGCGCCTGGAAACAGCGACGAACACGCGGCACGTCGAACAGAGCACGGACCACTCACCTCGTCGTCGAGCACCCAATGCACCTCGAGCGTCTCCACAAAGTCCCCCAGCTCCGCCCCCGCGGACATCACCACGCGCTCGATCGTCCGCTGGTCGATCTTCGCGCTCGCCGGCTGGATCGTCACCGTCCGGAGCGTCTCGCGCGCGCACGCCAGCGCAGACATCAGCGCCGACGGCCGCAGCCCGTCGTACAGCGTGCTCTGTATCGGGATCCGCACGCGCTCCAGCGGCCGCCCGGGCACCAGCGCCGCCGCGATCGCCACCGGGCCGTCGTACTCTCGTAGTTGCGGGAGGAGCCCCAGGGGGAAGAGCGCGGGCGCGGGCGTGTCGGAACCGGAACCGGAACTAGGGCTGGGGTCGTGGGTCGGGGTATCGGGCGTGTGCGGGGTATGCGGGCGCGAGGGCGCCTTGCTGCCATCTACAGGCCGGAGCGGCGCGGGGGGCAGCACGGGCATCACGAGCTGCGGGAGCGCGAGCGTGCGCAGCGCGGGGTGGCCGCCGAGCCACGCGACGAGCGCGTGGAAGTCGTCCGCCGCGAGGCTTGTGCAGTGCAGCGTGAGGGCGTGCAGCGAGAACGTGGTGTGGCGGAGGAGCCGGAGGTCGAAGCGGGGGAGCGCGAGCGCGCGCAGCTGGTCCATGTTCGTGAGCGCGATCGCGAGCGCCACGACGCTGAGTGACGAGCCGGCGTCGGGCGGGGGCAAGTCTCTGCATGCGAACCGGCGCACGAGCGACGCGAGCGGCCGGCGCGAGGCGAGCGACGCGATGCATTGCTCCACGCGCGCGTCGTCGATGTCGCGCAGGTCGAGGTCGTCGTAGAGCGCGCGCAGCGCCGCCTGCGACCACCGGGTGGACACCTGCGCGAGAGCGAGGACGTCTGAGCGGGGTGCGTACGCGAACACGGACGCGAGGAGCTCCGTGGAGATGCGTGCGAGCGGCGGCTGCTTGGGCGTGGGTTGTGGGGGCTGGGGCTCGACCGGGGACGGCGCCGCCGAGTTCGAGCTCGAGTTCGCAGCGCGCCATCGCGCCGCCTGGGCCGCCGCGGGCAGCGAGATGCTGCGCTTGCGTTCCGGGCGCGGCTGCTGCTCCCGCTCCCACTGCTGCTGCTGCTGCTGCTGCTGCTGCTGGTCGACGTACTGCTCGAAGAACTCCTCCCGCTCGCCCAGCTCGCTCGCCCTTCGCCCCAGCCCGGCGGGCATCCGGATGTCCAGCGAGGGCGCGGGGGACGGCGAGCGGCTGCGCCAGTACGCGAGGGGGCCCCCCCCACCGCCGCCGTTCCGCACGGGCACGTTCGTGATGCCGGCCGAGGGCGGTCTGGCGGAGGTGAGCTTCGCGGCGAGCTTGTTGAACGAGCTGGGAAAGTGGATGTGTCGCCTGCGGAGCGAGGGCGGCTTCTCGACCGAATAGATCGACGCGGGGGCGGGGGTGCCCGTGCCGCTCTTGCTCGTGCTCTTGCTCGTGCGGGGGACGTTGGCCGAGTCTTGGAGGGGCGCACTGGGCTGGGTGCTGTGTGCGGCGCCGTTCGTCTTGCGGCGCGAGAGGAAGGGCATGGCGGTCAGCGGTCAGGTCTCGGAGGCGGGGCGGAGGCAGGCAGCAGACGAGGGGGACTTCAAGAGGAAGGAGGGAAGGGGCATGTACAAGGTGGTGTCAACTAGGCTGTCGGGGTGACGGACGGGTGGAAGCAGAGCGGCCGCTGGCCAGAGAAGGCGATGGGGAAGACGAGAAGTGCAAAGTGTGCGTGCAGCCCGACGCTGGCCGGGCTGTGGGACTCGCTGACTGGCTTTCTTTTGCCGCGCGCTGCTCGTTCCGGGTGTGCAAGCGTCGGCAACAATATTCGCGACCAGTGCTAGTACTTACTTGCCCTTTCCGCTCAGCACTTGTCTGTCGCGCCCGCACGTCGCTCGTCCCTTGTCGTCGGTGGCGTCCACGGCTGCACAAATACTGCTTTTCTGGACTCTGGCGGGTGCATTCATAGACCCGCTCAGTCCGAGCGCGTGCGCACGTCACACCACGCTTCATGCCTTCTCAAGCTCATGTCATGTCGGATAACGCGCGGCGCGCAAGCGGTCGCCCTCCTGCAGCTGCGCGGCGGCTACCATCAATCCAATAGTTGCGTTGCCTGGCCTCGCTCACGTCGCGCGATCTCCGATAGCGATCGAGATGCGGCCAGCGAGATGCCAATTGTCTCCGCTCTGGACTGGCAGTCTGTACCATGATCGTGCACTTCTGCATCCGACGCCTGGACTCTCCGGAGCCCTGACGCTTGCGATCGGATAGAAACGCTGAGGGACGACGCTCCTTAGAGCAGGACCTCGGTAACAGTTCTACAGTAGAATCACCATGATTCTCATCTTATTGGTGTTGATCAGTGCCGCCACAAAGCCATGACCGTCCTCCAATATCCCCCGGTCTCGTACTAGAGCACGCAAGCAAACCATGTTCGTATGCACGACGCCTTTCAGCTCGCGATGCAACATTCTTCCCTCGCCTCAACTCCGGTCCGGCATGGAATGTAGCAGTGAAATCGATCGTCGCTTCTCCCGAGTCAGTCGACGAATGTTGTACATGCATACAGCCGCCGACTAACCACCGCGCACGCTTCAATATGCCACTGAAATGGTCTGGAGCGAGCGTCCGGAGTGCGAGCGGCACTCTCCTTGCCACTCCGAGCCGCTCACGTCCATCAGTCGTTCGTACATAGCCTCATGGACAGGAGTATTTCTACGCCTTTACCTCATCCTCCTTCGTCTCAGCCAGAGCAACTACTAGGGCGGATGTATGCACATGGCCTGTGTAGACTAGATATACGCACCACGAGAAACGAGCCGAGTCGACGCGCGCAGATGTTGTTCTGACGCTACTGCAGGGAACAGCTCGGGCCCGGGACGGGAGTATGGACGAGGCACGGAATCACCTGTTCGTCTGCTTTCGCTCGAAGGCGACGCATTGACGGTCAATGGATCTGTCAAGGGACTACGCAGCAGCAACTGTAAGATACCCCGCATATAACTCGAATGACCTCAAAGCTTCGGAGGGACCTTCCTGCATGCTGGCTGGCAGCACCTAGTGCCATTGCAGCTCGACGCAAGCTCAGACCGTGTCAACAGAGCGATGAAGGCCAAGGGGTGAACTCGGATGGGGTCGAGGAGAGTTGTTGCCACGGCCTACGAACGACGCAGCCAAGTGGGCGATTGGCGAGTCACGTGCCGCTTGGCCTGGATGCACGCCTGATGGATCGGTACTGTAGGCTGCGAAGGGGTGTATTTTGCGTAGGATGCCGAGAAGGCGGCGAGGCCTGCGAGCGTCCTGTCGGCTAGCATGGGTCCCCCCACAGTGCAGCTATACGGTCTGAAAAGACCAATCTGCTCATGATCCCCACTTGGCGAGAGCCAACACCGCTCCGGAGACTCAGCTCACGGGAAGCATTCGGAGAGCGACCGAGAGTCTGCATCGCACTGTGCCTGTCTCCTCTTGCTGATCATCAGCGGAAGAAGCGGTGTAAGTGAAGTCAATGCTGGAGATTAGGTTCGAGAGCCTTGTGGCCTCGGTATGATCCTTGTTGCCATTCTTGTACGCGTGGGAAAAACAAGTCTGGTAGCGCACGCAGACAAAGTTGGCGCACAGTGCCCGACCCTCTTCTCACGTCGCACCCACGAGTCTACGACACAGCCTGTTGATGCAATGCAAGCAATGCAGACCGCACCCGCTCCGCACAGACAACACCCAGAAGCGTCCACTCGTCCATCCTTGCGAGCAGGAGAACACCGGAGACGAGGTGTGGCTATGTTCAGTTCAGCGCTTCCCGGTGTGCTGGAGAATTCATGAGGTCGAGGCGCTGTGCTAGGTTTGTCGTGAACAGTGATGCATGTCCGACTTGGACGATGCATGATCGTGCGCACGCTGTCTTCTCGATGCTGTGTCCCCCGTACGGGCACCCACCCGTGGCGCGGCGTAGCCCCTTCTATTGTTACGCTCGTCGACGCCGACCGTGTCCACTGTCCTTACCTCCGCCTTCGTCTTCATCTGCGCCTGTGCGCCCGTCAGATCCCTCCTTCTCCTTCGACCCTTCCTCTCTCTCTCTCTCTCTTTTCGTTTAGCTTTCTTGGCGTGCCTTAGCGTCGACCTGGTACCGCTGGCCGAGTTCCTCTGGGAGACATAGCACAACATGCCGCTGAACACGACCGTCTCCCACGTCAGCCCCCTCCTCTCGTACATCCCCCGGACCTCATGGTATGAGGGCAACTCAAGCGACCCGGAGTTGGTACGTCAGCGACAGACGACCGCGCTGTTCCCGCATCCGCTCACGCAGCTCTATGCACCCCCCCCCCCGTTGATTGAATTGTGGCCGACTCGTACGGCGATCACGGTGGGTCTGTGTGCGTCGCTCGCTCTCTTGCAGAACAGGTATTCGAACCAGAGCTACCACTACAGCGACTCGCCCGCGAGCGTAACGTTCTCTTGGTGGGGGACAGGTGCGTCTCCTCTCCCGACGTTCCATGGAAAACTTCGACTCACGTTGCGCTCGGCCCGCAGGCATCTGGTATGTCATTCCTCGTCCCCATTGGGAAAGAGGCTTCTCTTCCTTCGCTAACACATCGCGATTTCCCTGCTTTGATGGTTACTTGACACCTGGCACCGTAGGGTGTTCGGCGGCTACAGGAACAGGACGGGCGCGTACCAGGTCGTCGTCGACAGCCAGGCGGCGACGTCGTTCCCTGGGTATACTGGGGGCCCGGACGAGTTCGAGCGCGTCCTGTACGCGAACGATGGCCTCTCCTATGGACAGCACCAGATCCGGATCACGAACACGGGCGGGGGTGGGCCGCAGTCTGTATTGGATATCGATTACGTGGGTGTCCCTGATTCACGTCCGGGTGCCATTAGAGTGATCTTTTGCTTCTGTGACACGCACAGCTTGTGTACGAGACGACACAAGATGACGGTGGTGAGATCCAGCATAACGACCCTGGCTGCAGTTGGTCCCCGGCAAGTCCGAACACCTGGCAGGTGGACGCGGCGTCTCAGTATGTCTTTTTTCGAGCGACTTGTTGTTCGTCCTGTTGTTCATGAGGCCTTCAGTACCACTACTGATACCTTCGGAGCAATGGAACTAAACTTCACGGTAAGTCTGCAACTATCTCCTCGCAAGAATGTGCGCTCAGTGTCGTGTCTGTAGGGTACGCTTGCCTTACTGTCTTACGGCCTCGGACGGATCTGAGTATGGCCACGTGCAGGTTCCGGAATCATTCTCTACGGATACCTCGACGGAACGAGTGCCCCGCTCACCGTCTCCGTTGACGGTTGGGCATCCACGCCTGTTGCGCCCAACACCGCGATAGCTCCTATCGTCCACAACGTCCCCCAGGTTCTATACACAAAATCTGGTCTCCAGAACGGCCCGCACACGTTGCGAGTGGAAAACAACCCGCTCGGCATAAACGGCACGGGCTCGAAAATGAGCATTGCGTTCAGCCGGACCCTGTCTGACGCACCCGCAGGCTCGGCCCCGCAGCAGGAAACACCGTGAGTGCTCCCATGTCATGCTCCCGTCCGGCGTGTGCGTATTGATGTTCTTGGCGCAGGCCATCGAGTCCCGGAGACCTGTAAGCTCACCCCCACTGTGAACAGCGTCATCCTGCTGACCAGGTTTCTTGCAGCCACGACCCTCGCCACACCGTCGTGCTCGCCGCTTCCTGCAGCGCGCTCGGCACCTTCCTCCTGTCCCTGCTCATTTGGCGCCTCGTGGTCTACTACCGCCTCCGGCGGAAGCTGAGCAAAGAGAAGTTCTCCGCAAGGCCATTCTACGCGCGCACAAACCCCGCGTCCCCACCGCGAACACCGCGGACGCCGTACAGCAGCGGCGCGAGCAGCTCGCGACAGCGGCGACGTAAGCGGGGGGACGATATCGAGGGCGAGATCGCCTCGCTGCAGCGGGCGTTCTCCCAGACCGTTCCCCGGGCAGGCGATGCCAGGCGGACGGGGACACGGCACCACGGCAGACACCACGCTCACGCCCCGCCGTCCGACATCGAGTTCGCGCACTCCCGGGAGTCGAGCAGAGTCGAGGAGACGCACCGCCGCAGCCGCAGCTACGACGACTTCGGGGTCTCGTACGCGGACGAGGAGGAGCTCCTCGCCTACTCCCGCCGCGGCCAGCACAGTCCGAACGAGTCCCTGTCGGGCTCGTCCGTATCCACCTCGCCCACCGTGGTGCGCGACTGGGACTCGCTCTCGATGCACGTCACCGCGCCGCCGTCGCCCGCCGACTTCGCAGACGACGGCTTCCGGGGCCCCCTGCCAGCGCCGACCGTCCTGCCCCTGCGCGTGAACAGCAGCAACAGGCAGGGGCAGGGGCAGGAGCGCGAGCGGGCGAGACGGGCGCGGAGGTCGATCGAGAAGCCGCCGCTGGAGCAGTTCGAGCAGCAGCTCGCGTTCCTGGAGTCGAGCTCGCGCGCGCGGCGCGCGGAGATGCGCCTCGTCGGCTCCCCCGTCGCGAGCCTGCCCTCGGCGGCCCCGACGTCGACCTCCTCGCGGCCGTCGACGGGAACGGGGACGGGCGCGGGGATGGGGACGTTCTCGAGGCCGCTCCCGAGCCCGCCCGCGCCGCCTGTCCCGCCGCTCCCGATGCACCTGCGTGCGGCGCTGGGGCGGAGCCCGCGGCAGGGCGGGTTCGACCCGGGAGAGGTGGGGCTGGGGCTGCCGCCCCCGTACCGGTTGTTGGACTTGCATTGATGTTGGGCGGGGCGTTCGCCGCATTCCTGCGTATGCTGCGTATGGGACCGTCCGCGCGTGCTACGTCTCTTCGCTTCGCACTTCGCCTCTCCGCGCGGGCCACGTTTGGTCTGACCTTTGTGTATATGTAGCGGTGCTCCTGCGTGTTGGATACGACACCGTGTCTTTGGGCTTATTGTTCAGACGCCATGCTGTATCAGGGTCTCTGCATACTCGCTGTGAGCACGTCATCATGATTCCGGGGCCCCATGGTAGGCCTGGAGCACTCTCATTGAGTGAGGGTAGCTGGGCAGCTGGTGTTACACGGGCATTGGCCAACGTCCCGGACCCAAACTGGGACAGAGAAATGGCCTGGGAATGGATGCCTGTCACAGGTTATGTCCCAAAGCCTAGCTCCGGACCTGAGCCATCCGGCGCTAAAATTCCTAAAGGGAAATACTAAGGCTGACAAAGCCAATGACATAAGCGTATATACCCCTTGTTAAACAGTCTCGAGCGCCAATATCCTCTTTATGGTATCAGAGCGCCCGCTGGCTCGGGTCCGGAGCTAGGCATTGGGACATGACCTGTGACAGGCATCCATTCCCAGGCCATTTCTCTGTCCCAGTTTGGGTCTGGGACATTGGCCAATGCCCGTCGTGTCTCCCGCAAAAGTTCCGTCTTTGGACGTGCGGCGCGCCCTCTGCCTAAACGGGGGTGTCGCCGTCGCCGTCGACAATTAATGGCCGTCCGTCGCCGATGAGGTGTAGGGCGTTGATAACACTTCGGCGGAGGGGACCGGACCTTGGTCGTTGCCTCAATTTCGATGTGGATCAGATGGCGGCCCGGACTCTGCACTTACGAGAACGCGCCTTGTCGATGTGCCGTGAACTGCGGCACCTGCTCTAGGTCCATTCTGACACAATTTGGTCCGAACCGCCTCTCCTCAACTTCACTCATCATGCAGCCGTTTCTCAAGACAGGGAAGGTAGGACGATGTCAGCGAGGTCAGCACACGGTGTGCTCTGCATGACCTGGATCGGCCCACTGGCTATCAAAGGATTCAAAGCTGCACCCACCGTTCGCTGACAAGAACGCTGGGCTGTTCGCGGCAGCTGCTTAAGCTCGGTGAATCCATACATTGATGAGCCCTACAGTGGACGACTTCGTCACACTGCACCGAGACTTTCCCGAATGCCCGTCCTCATGACCCTGATGTCGCGTTGAGACTTGCGTCCATGCGTCTCCGTGCTGTCAAGGCGGAATATCCACTTTACGTGTTGCATTGGAAGAAGCGGCGGGTGCGTCATAAGAACTGCTTCGCGGATCCTCCTAGCAGTACAAAGGCCCCGCTGGCCTGCCCGAAGGTTGGTGATCGCAAAGCCATCGCGATGGCTGTGTTCCTACTACGTCTCTTCTCCTGCGTTCTGGGCGCGCTCGTCGTCTCTGCAATAGTACATGCGTCAGCACCCTCCGCGACGACGACCGCTGCGACGAGCACCCTCACAGGCATCGCCGCAACCGCTCCCACCATCGGTCCCTCCCAACAAGTAGGCAGGTTGCCCGCTCTTGGGTGAGATCCTGCACGAGGTTGATCCCCGAATATGTCACAAGCTGATCCCTGCCGCCACCGTCTAGCTGGAACTCCTGGAATGCGTATGGATGCAGTACGTTTGCTTCTCGGAGTCGCTATATGCCTCTCAACCCGATCTCGGACTTACTGACTCTCTGGACAGATATTAACGAAACTAAGGTCGTTGACGCTGCAAACCTGTTCGTCTCCCTGGGCCTGGCCGACGCAGGCTACGAGTACGTAAACATCGACGTCAGTTGTCCTCTGTCCAACTCTCCTGCCATCCCCTTCGCTCGCTGAACTCGTTGTCTAGGACTGTTGGTCTCTCCAGACCCGAAACGCATCCACGGGCCGGATTGTGCCCGATCCGAGCAAGTTCCCGAACGGCATCAGCGGTGTCGCCGACCAGGTGCACGCCCTCGGCCTTAAGCTCGGGATATACAGGTCGGGTTCCGCTACGCATATGGGCAAAGTACGTTGCTGAGCTTGGTGTCTGGGCCGGTAGCGACGCTGGTACGAACACCTGTTCGGGATTCCCCGGCTCTCTCGGAAACGAAGCGGTGGACGCAGAGGCGTTCGCCGAATGGGGCGTCGACTGTAGGTCGCTCCTCCGATACCTGAGCTCTGATCCGATAATCTGACTATATTGCTCCGAAGATCTCAAATATGGTGCGTCAACTGACTTCTTGCCAACGTCGCGGTACTGACGTCTCTTTCAGATAATTGCAACGTTCCTGGTAACTGGACGGATACTTCTGTATGTTCATTTTGAATGCCTGTCTTGGGATCGACTGACGCATGTATCCGCAGACCCCGCCTGACAACGACTGGTAGTACGTGCCCCTCTCCCAGCCAAGCTACTGCCTTGCCTGACCCCTGCTCCAGCAACTCTAACTCCGCTATCCGCTACCGCCAAATGACGTACGTCTCCTTTCCATGACTTCAAAACTCATGCATGACACCCAACCGCTGTCCCAGCGCGGCGCTGAATCAGACCGGGCAGCCCGTCCACTTCAACCTCTGTATCTGGGGCAACGCGAACGTGTGGGAGTGGGGCGCTCGCGTCGTGGGCCTCTCTCAGCTTTGCTTGACCTCTGTCTACAGGGACTGACAAAGGTGCACAGGGCCACTCGTGGCGCATGACCGGCGACGTGAGCGCGTCATGGAGCTCCATCTCGAGCATCATCGCGGCGAACGCACAGCATCTCGATGCGGTCGACTTCTTTTCCCATAACGATATGTGCGTGGCTGACGTCGTATGAGAGAATGCTGCAGAAGCCAGATTGAGTTGCAGGGATATGATGGAGATCTGAAATGGCGGCTTGACGTTACAGGAGCAGCGAACCCACTTCGCCGCCTGGGCATTCCTGAAGAGCCCCATCCTCCTCGGGACCGATGTAAGCCACGTTCATGATGCATCTACCCGATATACGTCACGCTCAATCCTACTTCGTAGCTGAACAATCTCAACTCGACGCAGCTGGACATCATCACGAACGCCGAACTGCTCGCGTTCCACCAGGACCCCGATGTTGGAACCCCGGCTACACCATTCACCGCGACAGCGTCCGCTCCCACCACTTCGCCTCCTGAGTTCTACGCTGGAAATTCCTCGAAAGGAACGCACGTGTTCATCATCAACACCGGCACAATGGCCGCGAAGACGTTCGAGTTCGCAAACGTGCCAGGCCTCGGCTCCGGGAATTTCACGGTTCATGATATGTGGGCGGGCGAGGATCTGGGAACCTTTGCGGACAGCTTCTCGATCACTGTGAACACGCACGATACTGCCGCGCTCTTGATCGACCGTGCATAGCGCGTGCGTATCCAAGTAGTACGGGATAGTACGATAGAAGATGGAGTTACGAGAATTTCACGCGAGTCTGTAGGTGCACGAGTTCATACAGATGGGGCAAGCCTACAGCACATTCAGCTCATGCCCGTTGCGTTCTTGATACATCTCGATGAGGCTACCGAAGATGCGCACGAAGCCGTTGCGCCGAAAATGCGCCCTAGCACGACGTTGCCTGCCGTAACACCTGACAGTAGTTTTCAGCAAACGAGGGTAACGGCCCTGTGATCGCTATCGGGCGCTCACGATGACTCCTCCACATTTTTGCATACCTTGTGCGTTTTTAGCGAGAAGTAGAAGAGCACTAGAAGCTTCGATGCTGCATGACCGAGCACGCCAGCGAGGCTTCCCTCGCGAGGACTGAGCGCGTAAAGGTGAGTTGACTTGTCGTACACATGCGATTTGTACAACCTATTCCCTATTCAAGGTACGGTATTGGTCAAAGGAAGGGTTCGGGAGGCAACCCGTACAGTTCAGAATTTTCGTATAGCGTCCTCAGCATCCTCCCCATCGACTTCTTCGTGTCGCCTTCGGACTTCCCGACATCGTCTACATACACCGACCAAGGTTGTATCCGACGGCGTCGGATTGTAAGGAGCAACTGCCCATTACGGGGTGTCAGGGCCGCATGAGGGACCGGGGTGGGCCCGCGGGAAGGCTCATTTGGTCGGATAGGGTCATTGTCGACTGGACGGAGTATGCGAAGCACAACGGCGCGTTTTCCAGCATGCTCTGGCAGTGGTGATGGTTCGAAACAGCAAATGACTGAGCCTGTCATGGAGCGAAGCGTGATGAGTCAACTAAATGGCCGGTTATGAACCGAGAAGGGCACCTTTGAAAGGACTGTATTGACGGGGGACGTTCTCAGGCAGGTAGAACTCCCCAATATGGCGAGAATGTTTCCTCATGATCGAATCTTTGCCGAGGACCAAGAACATCCCGTTGTAGGAACCAAATCGGAAGATGAACTTCTGGCGGAAAGAGCTCAGAATTGTTGTCTGATGTCCGCCTACAGTATTGTGACGCCTGTAGTCTGTGTTCCTTATCGTCTCGGCTGCGGCTGTTGCAGTCTCTAGGAGCTTCTGTGTCACCAGTCCGTCCTGGAGTAGGAGGGCATGCAGACCCTTATAGTTGTCGCCGATCGTTGTATAGAGAAGCGGTATTCTCCAGGGCAGGCCGTGCTCTGTAAGCAAGTCGGACCCCACAGCAAAGCTGGCAGGGTCGGCGTCGGGCGTGACGCGGAAACGAACTTCCCCTGCGATGGGAGGAGAGTACGGCGGGATGTGGTAATAGAGGAATCCCGACGTGTTCGGAGGGAACGTCTTATCATGTAATCCCCTCGGATAGAGTAGTATGCCGCTATTGCGAATCGGTGAACTCGAGGCACTGCTAGGACCCTCAGACTGAGACACGAAATGGACTCGTGGAAGTACTGTTGTGCTGAGGTCCACGTAGTCGTCTGCAGTAAGCCGGGTGGGATCGAGGGTATAGACTTCCCGATGCCGGGTCTGGGGCGGCTTCAGGCTTCCTAGACGGAGAGAACCTCGATTTGTCTCATGAGACCTTGTCGTGAGCTGCCGCAGATAAGGAGAATTGGGGAATGTTTGCGATGCCTCGAATTGGGGAATGTTCTGCGGGCCACAGTGCTGAAGACATGAGATTGACCGGGAGCTTAGCGCGCGGCCGAGCAATGCTCTGGAGGTTAGACGTTGCATCTGAACAATGCGCCTTTGTCATATGGAGGTTTGACGATGTCAATGTCAGTTACACACCGAGGCTTCGCGATCGGTATAGCAGGCCACACCCTCCTCTCCGATGCTTCAAGCAGACTTCAAAGAAATCCCGGGTGGCACTGACAGACTGTGACTACATAGTTGACGTGGCGCTTGTGATCCAGGTCGGCCCGAATGGCCGCTCCGGCCCCATTCAGGCTCCGAAGTTTTCGACTTGGGTGCATGCACCTCACCCAGAATCCCAGATGATGATGGGGTCTCGTGAAGTAGCAATACACATGAAAAGAAAAGGGGAGTGGAACAAGCACGATATCGTGTTTCATCAGGAGTTCGTGACATCTCCCGAGTTGGAGATACGGACCAACGAGCCTGGGTTCATAGGCGCCTAGCGGACTATAAACCGGTCCCGCACGCTTGCGAATGAGGACAGCGGGCCACAGTCGGAACAACACCGTCATCTTACAGGCCGATATTGCGGCGACAGTTGCACGCCACAAATCCTGTCGGTCCTACAGACTCACCCGCTCCACGCATGGGCCTTGTGCACAGCAAGAGTGCATATTGCATGCCACGAAAGGAAATGTCTGGCCGGGTATACACCATATGGTTCGATAGACGACTGCCGCTCTGGACCCCCTTTCACGTTCGGAGGCTCCTTTGCACCACTGCCTGCCCTTCTGTTCGCCCCGCCAGCTATGAGGGATCCCCTCAACCCCCGCACAGACTGATTTGCAATGTGGCAAGCCACCTCCTCATCCGCTGCAGTCACGACAACGGGACAAGCCCGCCCCATTCGCAAATCTCGCTAAAGGTTTCCCAAACCTTCAAAACCCCGGTCCTCCAGGTCCATGTGGTCACCTGCGATGGTCGCTTGCACGCGGTAGACATCCTCGCAGTCCGCGAGTATGCTATCGACCCGCGATATCGGATTGGAACGAGACCCAGTTGCGAGACAGAAGGGCTTGGACAGCTGAGACGGACGCCGGCTCACACTCGACCCGCTTCCCCAGAAGAATCAGAAGAGCTACAAGAAGACCGGAGTCGTAGCATGGAGGACCGTGCACGCGTCTCTCGAAGATTGATCCCGCAAGCGACCCCATGCGGACTCGGGATCCAAGCGACCACGGCGCCTTACCAAGCTTTGTGCTGCCACCGCTGCTCGTGGAGGATGTCGGCGAGATACGGGCTCGGGATGCAGCACACTTGTCCGCCACGAGCTCAGCACCACGGACGTATCCCGGCGCAGAGGACGACGCCGGTGGACGAACAAAGGGCCGGAATACGCATCGTGAGCCCCCCGCGGATCGTCGATGTGCCCGAACGCGGCGGGGTGCTCGCAGACGGCGGCCGCGGCGGCCCTCGCCTCGCTGTGCAGCTCTCGCTCGGCATCGTCACGAGATTCGGGGTCTTTGCGCAGGAGGCGGAGGGTCGTCCCCGTGCACGGCCCCCACTTGCTGATGAAGTGGTACGCCTGGGAGCAGTCCAGCCCAGCCTCCTTCCTATTGACAAGTCGAATATATGAGCAAGATGCGTATCAGCATAAAACGACTGACGAGATGGCCTCTATCTCGAGCGGGGTCGGCAGGTCTGAGACCACGACCTCGCCATCGCGCTGCTCAATCGACTCCTTCCATCTGTAGGACCTTGGCGGCGAAGCCTGGATTTAGGCGTGCGGGGGAGCACCGGAAGGCCGCGCATGGACTGATGACGGTAACATTGGAATCCGCCAGAGCCCAGTACTGGTGGTCGAAGGTTAAGATTGCACGGTCATCGTACACGGCCGCGCCGTCGGCGTTGAAGGCAACGATGTTGATGCCCAATTGGATTACCGTGGGGCAATTTGTGCTCTAGACGGTAGTGGAGCAGGTAGAGGAGGAAGATGGTCTTGCCTGAGCACATACAGATTAGCACGAACGGGAGCACACACGACGCGATTGCACGAACCAATTCCCGGCTGGCCTGTGATGACCATCGCATCCTGAGTGTGTTCTGCAAGTATCCAGTTTCAATGCTCTCTCCGAGCCAGATGTATTCGGGACGGACGACGACCACATCCAGGAGTGCGGATTTCCACCACATGCCTGCATGACCGAGCGGATGTTGTGCAGACAGGCGTATTCCCACTCGAGTTGGGGACTGTCGCCATCGCGGACGGCGACGGGGACGCCGCTCTCATCAGCATCGCTGTCGAAGCTGGGCTGGGGCTGGTACCAATATGTCTTCATCAGGAGAGATGTCAGCTATAGAGATCTTCACTGTGGAGCGGTCGGGCCAGGGATGCCCCCATGCTTTCTCCCACAGTTGTGTAGCAAGTTGGATGTTGGGGTTAGGAGAAGCAGTGGCCATTTGTCAAGCTTGTCCCGGCGAGATGGTTATGGACGCCGGCTTATGTATCTGATTTGATTAGCCACGCCTGACTCTTGCGTGGTTGTTTGTCAGCAGCCATTCGCGATCACGTGCATGCACGACGCGCCTTAATGAGTCGCGCCTGGTGTCTGCTCTGTGGTGTTTGCAGGAGCACAGGCAACGTGCATGTCCTTCGCTGCCGTCCTTAGCGGACTAGTGCTGCATTTCTTCTGCGAGCGGTCTATGGGACAGACATTTCGTAAATCGGTAGGAGATCCCCGTAATCGCAGCGATCTAGACAATGTGTACCAACACCTTTTCGGAGGACAAGCAGGCGGGCGGACTTCTTGCGAATCTCGGAAGCAAAATATACTCTGCGCCCAACGTTCTCGGCGGACCAGGGCCTGCTCTCGCCCGGAATCGGAGACCAGGCGAATGCGCTCGAACACCATCGGATGGCGTAATGCTAGATCCATGACCTGCAGGCAACATCGACTGATACTATCAGCCCACAATCCTTGTTCTTGGAACTTTCGGCCGTTCGGAAGGCGGAGGCTGCTTGCCAATCGACGCACGCCGCACGGGCTAAACGGCGCCTCCGCCCAGTCCCGCTGTCAGCAGCGCACGTGAGGGAGACTTGCAGGGGACAAACAAGGCCAAAGAACGCGCGGGGGCGGATACAAATATTGCCTCGGCGCGTCTCGCCCTGCTTCAGTTTTGTTCTCGACTAGAATCGCTGTGCTTACTGCCGCCTGCTCGACGTGTCCTCTGCTCTTCCCTGCCCGACCGACACTCAGACATTCGTAGCCATGGTTGCCATCGTCCAGAAGCCCGCGCCCACCTTCAAGGCCACTGCTGTCGTCGACGGCCTCTTCAAGGACATCTCCTTGTCCGATTACCTCGGCCAGTGGTACGTCTCTCGAGACATCTTCCCACATAGAAAGGTTGCTCACGGAGCTTCGATGTGAAGGGTCGTCCTCTTTTTCTACCCGCTGTATGTATTCCTAGACGTTTCCAAGCACGTCCGGACCGAGATTGACAACACGTCCCTTTGTCTCTAGTGACTTCACCTTCGTCTGCCCGACGGAGATCCTCGCCTTCAACGATGCGCTGCCCCAGTTCCACCAGCTCAACACCGCTGTCCTTGGTACGTCCTTTGCGGTCCCCACGCATTCCGCACCTTTTCTCATTTCCAGCACGCAGGTGTGTCTACGGACTCGCACTTTGCCCACCTGGCCTGGGCCACTCAGCCGCGCAAGGAAGGCGGTCTCGGCCCTGACCTCAAGCTGCCCCTTATCGCAGACAAGAACTTGTCTATCTCGCGCGACTACAACGTCCTCATCGAAGAGGAGGGTGTCGCCCTCCGTGGACTTTTCATCATTGACCCAAAGGGCACCCTCAGGTCCGTCTTTGTTCCCCTTGTTACCTCCCTCCTCGTCTTCTATTCCCGCGGCATCTTCTTTGCCATCACCCCGTGTCCGAATCAGGACGTGTCCGGGTTTGGGGAACTTTGCCTGACAGCGGCCCTCCATGCGGGGTTCTAGAGCAATGGGGCTAACGTAAAGGACTGTGCTAATGCTGCGCGACATCAACAGGCAGATTACCGTGAACGACCTCCCCGTCGGCCGCTCCGTAGAGGAGACCATCCGTCTCGTCAAGGCCTTCCAGTTCACTGTACGTTAATCGCTTTTCCATTCTACGACTCACAGGCGCCCAAGACTAATCCTTATGCCGCCAGGACGAGCACGGCGAGGTCTGCCCCGCGAACTGGACCGAAGGCACCAAGACGATCAAGGCCGACCCCACGGGCAAGCTCGAGTACTTCTCGTCCGTGGGCGGCCAGGCGGCCACTGCCAACGGGAATGTGAGCAACAAGCGTCCCCGCACCGACTGATCCGCTTTCCGCCTTTCTGTCTCTGCGCGCGTGTGCATGGCTTCTGATCGTGTCCCTCCCACCCCCACGTTTGCTCCCCATGTATATATGCAGGCCCACTGAACCTCTTCTCCGTCAATCCCTGTTGATCGCCCCAAGCATGTACCAGGGGGGATCGACCGCCCCGTTCGCCGCGTACGCGTTCTATGTTTCTCTCCGTCGCGTCCGTGTCGTCCTCAGCTTTGCGCCTCTCTTTTGATCTAGTGTTTTCCGGTCCCTTACAAGCGCCGCGGAGCTCGCGCGTTCGTTCACGACTCTTGACGCTCCTTTTTTAGACCTAGATCACTAGATGTTGTCGCAATTATGCTTAGATACGCGCATACGTAGACGTAGAGTAAACGTTAGATGAGATATGATTGGCTTCGCGACTGATATACGTGTAGAGTAATGCCTACTTACAGCTTCTTGGTAGCGGTCGCTGCGGGGGTGGGCGGGGAGGAGGAAGCGGTGGGTGGGGAATTGCGTGGAGGAAAGGGGGGAGATGGGGCGAGTAGATTGAGTGTCGTGTTGCGCGTCAACTTTCATGCTAATGCAACCACCGCTCTTGTCCTGACCATCGTCTGCCGTCGATCCCTGTGAATTTTGAGCTGACGTCTTCGTTGCGGGACGGTTGTGAGGTCTGGAGGACGATCCATCGGCATTGAAGACGACGAAAATGGCTTTGCTCAGCCAGATTGCTATAGGCAGGTTTCTCTCAGCGCAGTAGAGGAGTCTTGCCTGAGCACACATTGTCACGATCAAGGACACATGAAGCGACTTGACCTACCAAGGCCGGGTTGGCCCACCATCATCGCGTCGGCATTCTTCGTATGTATAATCGTTCTCACCGGTCTCACGAAGCCAGACGTATTCTGGGCGGATGACGAGGACGTCTCGAGTTGGTTGGACGTTTTTGCCACACACCTCTAGAACCTAGTGAATCTTGTGCAGACAGATGTGGTCCCACACGCTTTCGGCAGGGAGGGAGACAGCGTCGTCGTTGTCGTCGGATTTTGTTGGCATTAGCGTGTCCTTGCCGAGAGAGGACTGGTGTCACCAATGACCCCAAGCGTTCGCCCACAGATCTGTGGCAAATGGCGAACAGCTAAGATGAAGATCAGACAAGGCGAGTATTGCTGAAGTGGTTTCGATAGAAGATGAGCCCAACGAGTGGCCGAAAGAAAGCAGGATGCTTGCCACTGTCAATGGACGGCGCCTCCGCGCAGGTCGGGGGACAAACAAGGTCAAAGAACGCGCCGAGCACTCTACTTCGCTTGCCTAATAGCATTCCCTTGCGACTGCGCTGCCCCTATTCTAATGGACCAATGCCATCCTTAACGTTTCTCCTCCATTCTCAAGGCCCTCGATGCATGGCATGACGGGAGTCGCATGCGGACAATATGCACAAGACTGAGCCTCCAATATCCTGATACTATGGGCCTTTACCCGTGAGACTCTCTCAGGAGGTACTGCAACTGGTATATGTGGCGTATAACGTACGATCTCACCCACGTCGGCTCTCTCGCGATTGCTGAAACTGTTCCTAGATCGCGTTGCGCGCGCATCCTCGACATACGCTATCTCAAGGATGAGCACATCGAGCGGGGTTGTACTTGAGCCACCTCGTCCAGGCGATTATATTGCGCAAGTTCGCCTACGGGGACTCTGCATTTCACAGCGAGTTGGGCGCGTCGACGTGTCGTTCGCGATCACATTGACAAATGCAATCTCGGGATCTTCGACTTCGACGCTCTCCGTGTTATGGATTCTTGTGGGGTGAATTGTTTTCCGACCTGACTAGACCGTCGTCCCTCCCTCGGTTCCCACCCTGGCACTTCAGTACATCTTGCTGTGTTTCCTACCCATTGTCGTCACGCATCAGCTCTCCAGCTTGCCTCTCGCTCGTTCTCCCTTCCTCCTTGCTCTTTCTTCCATTACGTTCTGGAAACTGTCGTTTGCTATTGCGCCGTTGCTCTCTGTTCCTCAAAAAGTGCTGTCATCTGCCGGCATGTTCCCTACATGTTCGAAGGGCTCGCACTTAGATCTCCCACTAGGCCTAATACATACGGTGCGCCTAATGTGCGACGAGCGACTAATGGCGGCTTCGCTGTCCTTACAGTTCCGGAATAGCTTGAGTTCGGAATCTGTCCCTATCTCCTTCCACACTACACGTGGCATCCCACCGGTGGTCCCATCGATATCACTGGACTTGAGCAGCGCTGGTAGTCAGGCTTCCCCCGTACATCCCGCGTAGTGACTTGAGTTATCCCTCCTCTGGGACACCCTGAACGGTACGCATGACTCAAATCTCCAGTTCCTAAGTGCTAATCTGGCTATCAGCTAGTCCGATCCCCAGCCATGCGGTTGTTGAACACATATACCGGAGAGTTTCGAGATTTCCCCAACCATTCGGAGATCCCGTTATACGCCATATTGTCCCATACCTGGGATCCGAACGGAGAACAGTCGTACCAAGATGTTAGGAGAATCCAGGATACGTACAAAATCAGTGCTGCGAGTCGTCAGATATCTTCCCCTTCACCGGCAGCCACCCCGCCTGCCGTTCCCCTGTCCAGCACCCAGCATCAACGTTCTTCCCACTCCCAACCGAGCGATGCACCCTTCTTAGGCCCTGACCCCCGGGCCTCCATCAGCGTAACGGACCATATATCGGCTGGAGGTGCGCATATCTGCCTAGACGTATGAGCTTTACTCATTCTACCACCAGAACTCTCAGATGCCTCACGGGCTGCAGATGGTCAAGATACGTTACCGACCATTGTCAGCACACCTTTCTACGCCTTGTCAGGTATCTGGGAGCAGAGGTGGGGACTATCGGCAAAGATCCGGAAGGCATGCGAAATGGCTCGCAACGACGGCTATGACTTCATCTGGATTGACTCGTCGTGCATCGACAAGACTAGCAGCTCCGAGTTGCAAGAGGCTATCAACTCGATGTACCCCTGGTACGGCAGTGCTCACACCTGCTATGCCTTCCTGTCGGATGTACCGTCCTCAACCCACGTAAAAGTGAAGGGCTCCGCATTCCGCGAGAGCCGATGGTTCAAGCGGGGATGGACGCTTCAAGAGCTCATCGCACCCCCGTGGATCGTCTTCCTTTCCTCAGAGTGGAAGGTCTTGGGAACAAAGGATGGGCTGGTGGACGTCATTCACGAGATCACGCTGATCAGCCGCCGCATCCTGCGACACGAGGATTCGCTAGACACGGCGAGCATCGCGCAGCGGATGTCGTGGGCGGCAGGACGCCAAACGACTCGAGTCGAGGATCAAGCGTATTCGCTGCAAGGTCTCTTAGGGATCAACATGCATACACTCTACGGAGAGGGCGAGCAGGCGTTTCGGCGACTGCAGGAGGAGATTCTCACGAGATACCCTGACCAGAGTATACTCGCATGGGGAACCGTTGCCAATCTCCCCACGGCCTCACCCAATGCTCATCCCGTTGATTGTCACCTCACTCGTAAGCTTACCAACTCGCTCCTCGCGCTGGCTCCTGGTCCGGAATTCTCGACGAGCAACAACATTGTCCCTACAAACGATACATCCTTAGACGCCTACCGTCTCCCTCCGCTTGAGTACACCCACACCCCTTACGGTATTCGCACGCGGCTCCGCCTTGTGAGCTTCAAGGCATTAGCGGACTCGGGTGCTCGACTCGTTGCCATTTATCCGCCCAACAACACAGTCGATTGGTATCTCGCCATTCTTGAATGTAGTCCCACTGGCCATGAGGAGAAGCGCCTTGGCAGGGTTTGCTACATCAGACGAGCCGATGAGCTTGCCAACCGCCCATGCCTCTACTCTGGAGAGGCAACGTTCGAAGTGGACGGGCGCCTGAGCAAAGCTGACCTCTTCGCTGTATCATCGAGTGACCTCCTCGACCTCGATGCACACTCTGAAACTAAGACCGTCTACCTTCCCTATCTGATACGGGGAACTGTCGGCGGTGTCCGGGGGTTGCTGGATCCAGAAGCTCATACCATCCGCCTGACAGTTCCGGTACAGCTTCGGGATGCCCTACGGGACTGTGGGTTCACCATCTCGAACACCCTGGGTCCCACCGAACGCCGTCCTCATTCTCATTTCTTCACGATCTCCGGCCACTCTCTCAATATCTACGTGGAGTTTGTGCATCTGTCATTCAATCAGCCTAGATTGTCTAGAGTCGTGAACCTGCTAATCGGTGCCCGCGTTTGGCTCTCCTGTCCTGGCGAGGATGGCCGTGTCCTGGCTCCGAGCCGCGGTGCTCCTCCGTATGCAGCCCTTACTTGGAGAGATTACAGATCGTGGCCTACCAAGCTCGCGTCGCGCAATGTCGTGCTCGATGCGGGAGAGAACATCTCGGTGCAACTCGGATTGGTCAGAAGAGAAGGTTCTTTCTATGGTCCCCTTCAAATTGACGTTGCGATCATGATGGGGGCAATTTGCGCACCGCCTCAAGAACCAACACTTCCCACCCCCTCCAGGTCGTGGAAGTTGTCATATGGCCTAATGCGTCCTCATCAAAGCATTTCGCTCACACTGCTAGGAGTCGACAGGAAGGCATTGCAATCGCAGGACTACAGCATCCGTCTAGACGCGCCGACCTCAAACAATCCTGATATGCATTCCCTCACCATGTCCACCTCTAACTACTCCATCGTCATGAATTTTTTTCATTTCCTCCATGTGCCGCCAGGCGACGAGGCGAGGAGTCAGTCTCTATTGCTGGCTGCTCGCGTCACCCTGAAGTCATCCGGGTCCGGCCAAGGCTTGCCAATATGCGAGGACGGACTCGGGACGTGTATTGTGGGGTGGCGCGACGACTATCGGGGGCGGAGCGGTAAGAGGTGGAGCTGGGAAATCGGCGTGCGGAATGTTGCTCTCACCACACCCTCCGGTATCCCGCTGACACTTTGCCTCGACTTGCATCTGGCGCAGCTATCCGAATACTACCTACGGGTGAATGTGGTCACTCCAGAGCACAACACACACAGTCAGGTGTCCGCGTAAGTATAGTACAGGTAGTTAGCACCAACCGAACGAAGTCCGTCATCGAGACATTGGCCATGCGACGCCACGGCGTGCGCGACTGCTAGAGCTCCAGTCACGGATCGTCAGCTCCTCAGCCCCTTCGCCTTACTCCGGATCAACTCCTCTTGAACTCAACAATTGGGCAGTACTCGGAGTGCCATACAAGCTCACAGCTCAGCGACATGCTCAGCTTCTCTCCAGTTGCCGATGTAAAGCCAACTGTCTGATCAGGCTCGAATCGCCATGGCCAGCCTGACTCTGTGGTATCTTCCCATAGAAAGGTATGCGTCTCCTGATGTTGCGATCCTCCTACGTCAGAGAGAGTCGACGCGATCTGGATGTCTGCTCGCAGAGACAGTTTCTCGAACTCCCCGTGGGGTATGATGCGCGGGTGATACTCGATGGTGATGACGGGATCAGGAAGGGAAAGTGTGAGACGGTAACAAGAGCCATGGTCGGACTCGTGCGGGTAAGGTCCTTCGAGCTTGAATTGAACGGGATAGTCGGGCAACTCCAACGCGCTCCTGAAATCGCCGTAGAGCGATAAGCCGAATTTGTCAATAGGCCTCGAGAGACAGGGTAGACGGTAGTGCCACGGCTGCGAAGACCTACCATTCGGACGTTCATGATCATGATATGCCTGATTCGCTCGTTCTGTGTATCCTCGATCGCTAGTACTTGACGTCTGTACTATTAGTAGCATGTTGTACGAAAGATCGCGCATTCGAGTGCTGGGGCTAAATTGCTACGTCTGTTATCCTATGAAGAGTGCCCTTTGATGTACCCGGTTTATACATAAGACACCATCCTGCTGTCGGAGGGAGAACAACTCGCTTAGCGGCGTCTTGAACCCAATGCTAGACATTTGCACCTCTGGATCTGCGCATAGTAGGCGGAGATCACCATAAACACATGCCGTCAGTTCAGCAACATGTGTGCGCACCGAGACCGATCTCCGGGGTAGGACTGCAGACACGCGCCCGCGGCTACAGGACTTGCGCATACGAGTGGCGAACAGCAGCCCCGCGCCGATGTATCTGGTAAAGCCAACCCGAGTATAGCACCACTCTTCTTCCCCTTCCATGGCACTACGCGCGGACATCCGGAGGCCGCAAGCCCATTGATTTACCCTCCGCGGTCTCTTCATGATCGACCCGAAGGCATCCAGAGCAGGTTCAAGTTCGTCCTTCTCTCCCAGTCTTCTACTTCCACCCCCTTCCCATCCCCTTCCGCCGCCCGTCTTCCAAACCCTCGCCCGTCGTTCCCACATCCGACTTGAGGGCGGCAGCGCATCGCGTCGGACCTGAGGCGCACCTGAACTCGGAGACCTTGCCTGAGAGCGCTCGCTCTTCGCGATCGGTTCCAGGACAATGAAGTCGACGGGAACGTGCCATGATCACGCTACGCGACAGCAACGTTCGACGGGCTCGCTACCGTGAACGACCTCTCCGTCCGCCGCCTCGTCTAAGGGATCACTCGCCTCGCCCCGGCTTTTGGGAGGATGGTGGCTCAGTGCGCCTACATGCATTTGAACGGGACGGAGCGTGGTCAGAAACCACGTACGTTTGCGTGGACGAGAAGAAGATATGCGGATCTGTCGGTGCGCTTATTGATGTCATCCCCATTGACAGCGGCCGCCTCGCCCTCGATGGACGGAGGGAGGTATTCGAGCGAGGCGTCGGGGTACCGGTAGGCCTTCTTTCGTGTTGCTGCCTTCGGTCGGTCCAGCTCATGAGGCAGACTGTCCGGGCGCGACCTAGATGTCAAGCCCTCGTGGGCCGCCAGACACCTGCAACGACGGAAAGCATAGTGAATGGAGAGACGTGTGGTGAACCGGATACATCCTTCCGCGCCTTCCTGCGACCCCTGTCATCTCACGCGCCTCGAGCAGGACGTGGTGTAGCTTCTGTAGGAACTCGTCGTCGATCATGTCCGGTTGTTCTGCGGGGAGCGAGCTATCTCCCAGCTATAGCCGGTCCCGCAATATTGTATCCCAAGGAAGTGCAGCAGAGCGAGTACGCGACGACGGGACAGAGCAAAGCAGAGGGCGCAGGGCGCGTCAATCGGCATGAAGAAGGCGAGAGCTGGAAACAAGACGCACCTGGCGCGCGGCGCCGACGAGGGCGGGCTACTCAAGGCGGGGGAGGAAGCCGCGTAGGAAGTCGGCGTTGAAGTCAGTGCCGCAGAGTTTGATGGAGACCTCCTGGAACTGGAGGGAAAAGTTATGAGAGGTGCAGCCCTTGGCATGGCAAGCAAGGAGATTGTGTGTTATCAGACGGACTATACTGCAGTGGGAGGAGGTCAGTTGCACCTCGCATAGGCCAAGAAGCCTCACTCCGAGCACGTCCACGCCTGTCTATGCCATTGAGGTGCAACGCAAGTCCGATGTGGTGTACAGTCATACACGGGTCCTCAGGACAGTCAAATGTTGTCGCTCATCCCAAACCATCCCCTACCTGTGCAGCCCATATCGGACAATGCCATTATGTATGGTACACAACAAGGCATTGCACGCCTAAGTTTCATGGTAATCCAACTATGTGTGAGAGGGATCGGGGACAATCATCCCAAATTTCTCTTATCGCACGTCCCTCGGTCCTCGGGACAGCGCTTACAGCTAACTGCAAAAACGTCATGTGCTCGTGCATTCAGCGCCCTGTCCTACTGATTCGGGCAGGTGGCCAAACAAGGCACGCGCGCACAGAGCGGACCCAAACGCTCTATGTTTTTGCAGTTAGCTGTAATTCCCTCGTATGGAACGAAATTGCTGTTGCCGAGGATAGCAGAACCCGGATGTGGACATCTAAACGCCCGATTGCTTGAGCGCAGGAACTAAGTATCGGAATGGACGATGAAGTTGGCGGTTTTTTGTGTTCATGCGCTGATCCCGAAGCTCAACATAGTACAACGGACATTTGAACACAATTGGATTTTGCAGTGGTCTTCGATTCGACACGTCTCGTCAAAATGATGTCCCCCCGTACGTACTACAATATACCTATTGCCACTGTCCTTTCCCATTCTCGTGCCATCGGGTGATTGACTAAGGCTGTTTGCGGCGACTCTCCTACTCTGCAGCCACTGACAAGATGATGTGGTCCACGAGCTCAGCAACCGGAAGGAACGGTGGAATCGTCTTTGTAAGCGGCGGCATTCGCGCCCAGCCCGCGGGACGCAAACTGCGTCCACAGCGTGCAGAAGTTCTTGCCGCCGAACCTGTTCTTATCCGCCTGGATCCAAGCGTTGCGGGCCGTTAGGACTACAGGGAGAGGACATAATCGTCAGCGATGGTGGTTATACATCAATCGTGAGCTAGGACGCTGGCATACGTACATGTCGGGTTGCAAGGCTGCAGGGTGAGCGCGTCCAGGAAGAGGTGCAAGAAAACGGTGTTGCCGCCGGTTGTCCTAAGTTCGGTATGTATCTCATCAGTGAAAGTGTAATCGACGAAAGTGAGGCAACGGAGCTTACGTTGGGTCCGTGAGCGCCGTGGCCGAGAAGCCGTGGACGCGTACGAGGCCAGCATAGACGTTGTGGAGCATGTTCGCCCAAACCTCGCCGATATCTTCATTTCCAGATCCATGAGACGGCTGAGGGTGGGAAAAAACGCTACGAAACATACCATGGACCTCAGTCAAGTTCTGCAGGCTTGAGTACCTCAGTGGGTTCGTGGTCCTAGCCAGTGATCGCCTCAGAACGAGGCAACAGTACCTCTAGCGTTTGTACTCACGCATTCGTCGAGTATGGGTGGCTGCGGATGCCCGCAGGGTCGTTCGTGACGTACTGTCCCACCACGAAGTCGACCACCGTCGCATTCTTGTGCTCGGTCCATCTGGCCACGCTTCATGAGCATTGCAGTTCCAGTTTTCGAGAAAACCATCCCGCGCGACTCACTCGGCCATCGCGTCCGACCACCCCTCACCCAAGCCGCCCGCTTCGTTCGTTTGGAGACAGCTGCCAACATTCAGCATGTCAAGATCACCCTTCCGTGCAAAATGCATGTAGAAACGTGCCGCCCAGTGCCCCCGCCCGTCATCCGGTTGCTGATCCCATGCGTGTTCTCGTGGACGATGATGTCGTTCTCGAGTGCACCGTCGCGCTCCGGGTTCGTGTAATCCCAGAGGAACATCCTCATGCGCCCGGATTGGCCACTTCAAGCGACGCATCTGATCAGCCAGCTCCAGCTGCGCCTAGGCGCGAATAACATGCTTACTCTGGCGGCGTAGCGAAATCGGCTGGATCATACCACCTTCAGCAACCCTGCGCACACATACAGTCCTCATCCACGACATCGCACTCACCATTGTCGGTCCCAGCAGAATCCTGCACCGAGATCGTGACGCGGTCGTTTCCGGCCCCGCCCTTGCCGAAGTTGTTGTTCTGGAAGTTGAACCCGGCCTCCGTGAAGCCGTACACGTACGAGATGTCGTGCACGGTATTGACGATGTAGAACGCGTTCGTGCGCGCGGCGTCGATGTTCGCCTGTGTCGTCGGAGCAGCTTTGGGGTTCTGGGTGAAACTGAAGTTCAAGCCCACGGACGACTGGGTGGTCGTGTTCGTTTGCGCGCCCTTGAACGCGACGGCGTTGTTGCCTCTGGAAACAGACGAGCGAGCTCATGTCAGACGGGAAGGGTAGCAGAGAAACTCCAGCGTACGCAGTGGAAGTCGTGTTCGTAGTGCCATCGCTGTGCCAGCCATCAGGAGACGCCGCGAGGTTCTGAGGGTTGTTCAGGACCTCGAAACCCTCGAGTAACGTCTCCTTAGTGATGGGGAGCACGAGGTACTACGGGCACAACGGACCGTCAGCGACCAGTGTTTCTTCTTACAAGGCATAGAGAGCACACTGACTGATGCCTTGGCGACGAAGTCTGTCAGCTGCACAAGCTCCCCCGAGTGCGCGTCCACAAAGGCCTCGAACCATGCGCCAGTCGTGTCGTTCTGGATTTGCACGACGTGCGTCAGGGCAAGCGAGCCGTCTTTCTTCGCCACGAACTCGACCGTCGGCGGGTGCTCGTTGAACTTGCCAGACAGCGCGCTCTCGGCCTTAGAGATCGCATCTTCGACAGAAATAGACGGGCTCGTGGAGGGCACGTTTGCTACGGTGGCTAGATTTCAGACGCGTGAGGGCAGAAAGCGGAGCAGCATCGACTTACAAGGGGTGGTCACGAAGGAGGAGCCGAATGAGACGACCTTGTTGGCCATGTTGAACGCGACGTTCGCGACCGCATTTGCAACCGGGATGCCGTTCTGGGCCCAGTCAATAGCGCGATCAGTTCTCGGGAGGCGCATTAACTTCGTAGAACGTTCTTACAATCTGCTGGCGGATGAACGCGTGCTGGGCCACGTCACTCGAGAAGCCCGTCCTGAAGCCGATGCTGTCCGCATCGATGTTCAGACGGGATTGGATGAACGAGACCGTCGCGTCCTTCAGGTCGAACTCGTCCCGCGCCGACAGCGGATGGTCAATCCCGTTCACGCCGAATGTCTAGTCAGACAAGAGTCAGTACTCTGTACTATGAGGTTGCGCGAGGGAAGCTGATGCGTACCTCAAAGGACGACTCAGGATGGAAGCTCTGGACGACCACACCCGGGCTGATTTCGCGGACCTGTAGGGTCGTATGCTTCAGACTGGCCGGGAATGGGGAGGCAGTAGCTGAAGTGGCAAGCACAACTGCTAGGAAGATAGACCGCAGAAAATTGCTCCAGAACTTCATGGCTGAATGCTGTCACCGTATGCGTGCGGGTCGACTAAGTCCTGCGAGGGGATAAGTGCCTGCCGCTCCGTCATGCGCATACTGGCTATTTGTATCGGTGAACGCGTGGCGGTGAAGTCTTCATGAGAATGTAGCACGTCGTGCTCGTAGGACCGGATTGTGATCGTAGAAGTGCCCTCCGGCCGCTGAGGATGATTACGGATGTGCTACAGACACTGCGTTCGCTCGAGGGTCCTCCGATCGTGGAAATGGTCAACCGTGCTGCCCGCTTCTTGCTCGAATGAGGTGAGCAGAGGACGTGGAAACAACAATGAACATACCGTTCTAGGACTCACGTTCACGACCCTGACATTGCGAAGGCGTTTTTATGGATGGTTCTGTCTCTGAGGTCCGTGTTCTGTCTCTGAGGTCCAGGTTCTGTCGCTGAGGTCCGGGTCACTTGATGAAGATAGCGGAGCAAACCATCGCGGCTCACTCAACTGTGGCCTTATCGAGGTCATAGAGCTCTGCTCTGGAGACAGAACGATGTTATTGGAGCACTGCGGCACAACAAGGTTCTTTCCGCTAGAAAATGACGCCACGATGAGATGCCTCGCCAACGTGAGCACAGCTGCGTTCCATGCTTGAAGAGAAGCATGGAAGGTAATATACGACAGAGTATCGCGAATCAGGGTGAGCACGAGATTACAACTAGTGAGAGCACTGATGCACCAACCATCAACACTGGGTTCGCCCGCCGACGTGTAGCGAGCTATAGGTGGGTAGGTCAGTTGCAGCACACACACTCCTACGTTGACTGCTGCTCCTGGCCTTCTTCCCGCAGACAAGGGCTATGCGCTGAAAGCAGGATCCAGTCGCGAGAAGGAACACCGAGGTCAGCCACTCGCAAGGTTTTGCCCCTGTTTTGAGCGTTTAGAGAAGGTCCGCGACCACGATCCTGCCATTGCCAGAGACCTGCTTGTTCCACTCCTTCCATGCCTCAAATTTCAGGTGAAGGCTTGGACTGAACGTGCGCGTGAGTACCGAAAGGTCACATGGGGCACGGTGAGATCAGAGAACGAGTCCGCCACAGCCCGGTAGCGGCGGTCGAAGCAGCGAACGCCCTGCCACGCTCGCCGTAGGCAGCCGCACCATCAGCATCGAAGACGACGAAACGTTCTTTGCTCAGCCAGATTGCTGTGGACAGTTATCGCTCAGCGCGGTAAATGAGTCGTAGAGGAGTAGGACATCCTTGCCTGAGCACAAAACAGCAAGATCAGAGACACATGAAGAGATGTGACCAACCGATTCCCAGCTGGCCCGTCACCATCATCGCGTCTGTATTCTTCAAGGAGCCGTTTTCACTGTTGTCACGAAGCCAGACGAAGTCGGGGCGGATGGTGAGGACGTCTCGTATTGGTCAGAGGTTGACGTTTCCATCACACGCCTATACGGTCTAGTATAGGTTGTGCAGATGGGTGTGGTCCCACACGCTGTGACAGGAGAAGTAACACTGTCATCGTAGTTAAGTTTGGTTGGGATCAGGACGTCCTTGTCGGGGGAGAAATCCACCGTAGAGATCCCGTCTAAGGACCAGTGAGGTCCGAGTCGGGGATGCCCTCGAGCGTCCGCCCATAGATCTGTCGCGACTGCTAGGCGAGGAGAATCAGCCATGGCGAGTTTTACTGGAGTGGTTGCAAAAAAAATCGGGCTCGAAGAGTGGCCAAAAGACCGAAGACTCGAGCCCTCTGGGCACTTGCGGCCGTTCAGGATGGAGGAGGATACTTACTTGCCAATCGACGGCGTCTACACGCGGGTCGGGTCGGCAGATGCGGGGGGCAAACAATGTCAAAGAACGCGAGCACCGCTTTTGTCCAACTGCCCACGATCATCCTGTACTTTTGTCATTAGGCAACGTCAACCTCGACGTACCCGATCCCCTGTGCAAAATTGTATCCATTCCACGGCGATCTACGCGCGCAGTGGACGGGAACATGCAGCTTCGGGATTATGGTTCCTTGTGGGGCGACTGCCTTTTTTTCGACCTGACTAAGCCGCCGTCCATTCCTCGATTCAAAGCCTGAAACTTCAGCGGTACTTACTACGTCTTACTGACACGTACCCGGTGTCGTCGCGGGCTGCCTCTCACTCGTTCCGCCTTCCTCCTCGCTCTTCCCTTCGTTCGCCTTCGGGACACTGTTCTGTGCAAATGCTGTGATTCCTGCCATTTTTCGAACATGTTTGATAGTAGATTGCATGATGTGAAGTACATAGGTGTCATAACTCTGACGCGTCTGGTATGTGAGGCGCGGCTAATGCCAACGTCGCTATCAGCCGGTTCCACTGGCATGTGTCAAAGTTCAAAACGTTCAACGTTTACTAACGTTCTGCACCTGTGACGCCACAGCGTGTTTCCTGCCATTGTACGCGCGCGGTATTCTGCCGATGGTCCTAGCGATATACACCGGGTGCGAGCAACGCTGGCAGGTGACCTCCGTACTTTGTCTGCGCAGTGCAAGCCATCTCTGGGACACGCCGAGCGGTACGTATCGCTTTGATCTCCCGTTTATCGAGTGGCTAACCTGGTTCTAAATTATCTCGACTTCTAGCCATGCGGTTGCTGAACACATATACCGGAGAATTTCATGAATTCCCGAACTCTTTAAGAAGCCCCGTTGTACGCCATATTGTCCCATACCTGGAATCCGAAGGGAGAGCAGTCGTACCAAGACGTTAGCAGGATCCAGGAGGCGTACAAACTTGACGCTGCGAGTCGTCAGACAAACTCTTCGTGGAAACGTTGCCTCGCCGGACGACAGTCTTTGAAAGTGGTAGGCGGTTACCTTTTGCGTCCCCTTCGCGTCGAAATTCTCCCATTCAAGGGCACCCGGATCTCTGCCGTGCCTTGACTGGCAGCCACTCCGCCTGCCGTTCCTTTATCCAGCGACCAGCATAGAGATTCTTCCCACTCCAAACCAAGCGATGCGCCTTCTTAGGCCCTGCCCCCGAAGCCTCCACCGGCAAAACGGACCATCTGTCGGCTGGAGGTGCGCCTGTTCGCCTAGACGCGCGAACTGTACTGATCCTACCACCGTGACAAGAAGCCTTAGACTCCTCTCAGATTGTGGATAGCCACAATGCTCTACCGTCCATCGTCAGCACACCTCTATCCTTTCTCTGGAATATGGGAGCAGAGGTGGGGGCTATCAGCGAAGATCACCCTGGCGTGCGCAGCCGCTCGCAAAGATGGCTACGACTTCATCTGGATCGACTCTTCCTGTATCGATAAGACTAGCAGAACCGAGTTGGAAGAGGCTCTCAACTCGATGTACGCCTGGTACGGCAGTGCTCACACCTGCTATGCCTTCCTGTCGGATGTGCCGTCGTGGGACCGCGTAACTGCCAAAAGATCTGCATTCCGCGGGAGCCAATGGTTCAAGCAGAGATGGACGCTCCAAGAGCTCATCACACCCCCATGGATCATCTTCCTTTCCTCAGAGTGGAAGGTCTTGGGAACGAAGGATGGGTTGGTGGACCTAATTCACGAGATCACGCTGATCAGCCGCCGCATCCTGCGACACGAAGATTCACTAGACACGGAGAGCATCGCGCAGCGCATGTCGTGGGTCGCCCAACGCCGAACAACTTGAATTGAGGATTGGGTGTTACAGCGAAGCGTGTCAGCACTCAAGGGGTCGTGTGCAGGTTATGCACAACGAGGACGCAGGCTGATGACAAGCTTAGCACACTGGTTCACTGGGGGTCTGGGGGTTCGAGGTCACTAGGGGTCTAGGGAGTGAGAACGCTTGATTGGTACAAGAGGTCAAACTGGGGTGCCCAGTGCAAGACCTGTCCTTATATACTAAAGTACACGGTCGCTGACTAATTGGAGAACAATAGTCACAGGACAATAACGATGGAGAACAATAGCGAATGGGGACAAAGGAGTCACGTGGTGTTGTGACCACGTAGTACAATGGCGAAAAGAACAATAGCGATGAGAACAATGGGGATATGAAGCATGGTGTTGGAACCATGGTAGGTACGAGTGTCCGGGTTGTGCCGTAAGAAGAGGGAATGCATGGTAGAGAGGATACGAGGAGAAAGGAAAGAAGAGACGCCCCCACAGGGCGTTTGTAACATTGGGTGTATTCGCTGCTAGGCCTCTTAGGGATCAACATGCATACACTCTACGGAGAGGGAGAGCAGGCGTTTCGGCGACTGCAGGAGGAGATTCCCATGAGACTCCCTGACTAGAGTTTACTCGCCTTGGGGATCGTTGCCAATCTTCCAACGGCCTGTCTAATGGCTGATCCCATCAACTGCCACCTACATCGTAAAATCACCCCTTCTCTAATACTGGCGCTGGTGCCTGGTCTGGAATTCTCGACGAGTAACAATATTGTCCCTACATACGATATACCCCTCGGCGCCTATCATCTACCCTGACCAGAGTATACTCGCATGGGGAACCGTTGCCAATCTCCCCACGGCCTCACCCAATGCTCATCCCGTTGATTGTCACCTCACTCGTAAGCTTTCCAACTCGCTCCTCGCGCTGGCTCCTGGTCCGGAATTCTCGACGAGCAACAACATTGTCCCTACAAACGGTACATCCTCAGACGCCTACCGTCTCCCTCCGCTTGAGTACACCCACACCCCTTACGGCATACGCACGCGGCTCCGCATTGTGAGCTTCAAGGCATTAGCGGAATCGGGTGTTTGACTCGCTGCAATTCCTCCGCCCAGCAACACAACCGATTGGTACCTCGCCATCCTTGGCTGCAGTCCCACTGGCTATGAGGAGAAGCGTCTTGGCAGGGTCTGCTACATCAGACGAGCCGATGAGCTTGCCAACCGCCCATGCCTCTACTCTGGAGAGGCAACGTTCGAAGTGGACGGGCGCCTGAGCAAAGCTGACCTCTTCGCTGTATCATCGAGTGACCTCCTCGACCTCGATGCACACTCTGAAACTAAGACCGTCTACCTTCCCTATCTGATACGGGGAACTGTCGGCGGTGTCCGGGGGTTGCTGGATCCAGAAGCTCATACCATCCGCCTGACAGTTCCGGTACAGCTTCGGGATGCCCTGCGGGACTGTGGGTTCACCATCTCGAACACCCTGGGACCCATCGAACGCCGTCCTCATTCTCACTTCTTCACGATCTCCAGCCACTCCCTCAGCATCTACGTGGAGTTCGTGCATCTGGTATTTAGCTATACAAACCTGCTAATCGGTGCCTGCGTTTGGCTCTCCCCTCCTGGCTCGGACGGCCGTGTCCTGGCTCCGAGCCGCAATGCTCCTCCGTATCCAGCCCTTACTTGGGGCAATTACGGCTTGTGGCCTCAACGAGCTCGCGTCGTGCAATATCGTACTCGATGCGGGAGAAAACCTCTCACTGCTACTCAGACTGGTCAGAAGACAAGCCTCTCACTATGGCCCCCATCATATTGACATTGCAATCCAAATGGGGGCAGTCCCCGTACCGCCTCGAAGATCAACACATCGCTCCCCCTCTCTACCTTCGATGGCCGTGCTCCCTCGCTCTACCTTCGATGGCCGCGTTAACCGCATTTGGAGCGATCCATTGGAGCATTCTGATTATGGGCTAATGCGTCTTCATCAAAGCATCTCACTCACACTGCTAGGAGTCGACAGGAAGGCACTGAATTTGCAGGACTACAGTATCCGTCTTGACGCACCGAACCCAAACAATCTCGATATGCATTCCCTCACTATGTCCACTTTGTCAAGTCTTTTCACTTCCTCCATGTGCCGCCAGGCGAAGAGGCGAGGCGCCAGTGTCTACTGCTGGCCGCTCGCGTCAACCTGGAGTCATCGGGTCCGGCGAAGGCTTGCCCATATGCGAGAACGGACTCGGACCGTGTGTTGTGGAATGGCGCGACCACTATCGGGAGAAAGACAGGCATTGAGGCTGGACACTCGGCGTGCGAATGTTGCTCTCACCACACCCTCCGGTGTCCCGCTGACACTTTGCCTCAATTAGCATCTGGCGCAGCTATTGCAATACTACCTACGGGTGACTATGGTTACTCCGGAGCACAAAAACGAACATCACATGTCGCAGCCGTGGCACCGCCGTCTACCTTGTCTCTCGAGGCCTAGTGAGCAATTCGGCTTATCGCTTTTGGCGCTTTCAAGAGTGCGTTGGGGCTGCCCGACTACAGCTGGTTGCGGAATTAATGCCAGCCGACTCCGAACGACGCTCGTGCACTTTCTGCATCGTAAAATGAAACAAATTCCATAAATCGCCCTGCACTATCAAACACCTAGATTACGAGGTACTCGACCCCTCTAGGTCTATAAGAGGCTGAAACATGATGAACAAGGGTGATGCACGACATTTGCAGAAGGCTCTTTGCAAGGACCTCACAGGCGCTACTTTGCGCAGGTAGGCCAGAGCGAACAGACAGGCTCTCAAGAATGGAAGAGACAGTATTTGGATGGTTATTCACCTCAAAGACAGTTTTGATGATCCATATAGGCTATTACAGAACGTTGTGTGGCAAGGGTGCCTCGAGAAAACTGGAACTAGGTGCTACTTAAACGCTGCCTCTGCCGGTGTTGCATAGTGTTGATGATGTGTCTGCTGACGAAGTTCGTACTGGAAAGGTATCAAGAGCACCTAAACATACTTTGTTACAGATATCAGAGCGGGGAAACGACATTGAAGCCCACGAGAGTCACAAAGATATACCGATGTCTGAACCTCTTCCGGCGCTTGATGCGCTGGCAAGAGCCAGGAGGCAGACTGCCTACTGCTCCGGCTAAGAACGTGTCAAATCTCCCTGTAAACCCACAAGACCTAGTCTGAATCAGCCACTACTTTTATAAGAGACATTTCAAGGCGGTGCGCAGATGGCTGAGTGAGAAAACTCATCGCCCATAGGAAACTTCCAGTGATTTCTCTCGAAGGGCATAAGTCGGGAACCAGGAGTCCTACGCTCTCCATTCAAGTTCGTGAGGTCTCATACTCGCTTCTACAGAAATTATATGAAGTTCATAGAGCACAGGGTGTCACGGACGTTGGACAGACGCCCCTTTTTGCCGCCCATTCCCTTCCCTTTGACGCCCACCTTCCATTTCCGGACCGTTTCCTTTCCTAGCTCATCCCAGTTTGGACACTGTAGATACGTTCCCACCACCGCATGCTACGTTCCTGTGATCGCCATGCCCTTGCCTTTTCTTTCTCGCCCTTTGTTCTCTCTTTGTCATCTTCACTGCCTCGCTCTCGCGCCTTGTCCTTGGTTGCTAAGCAGCCCCTCTAGTATATAAGGACCCCCTTAGGCGCTCCCTAGTCCCCATCTCGACCTCTTGGTCATTGGGACTAGGTGAGTGGCCATAGCGTTGTATTTCCCTTCGAGTGCTAATGTATAACTTGGTCATTGGGACTAGTCTGTCGCTGTCTGCGTGAAGACTAGCTTTCGTAGGTCTCGTGCCTTCGTGCCGACCTCCGCTCTGCCCTCGTCGAGTTTTCTGTCACGTTTATCCCTCTCCCTCTCTCTTTCCCCCTTTTGGCTCCTTGCCGCTCGCCTACGGGGTCGTCGCCGAATGTCGACCC